ATCAATATTCAATATAAGATATAAATAAAGTATGAGGCCAAACTATTCACAAGCTGTGAACCGCGTAGTTTATCCCAGCTCTATATAAATGTGAGGAACTCACTCTATTTTGTCATGCCAATTCTGTTGTACAGTTTTAGATTTCTACTTGAATCTTGTGTGATGAGAAGTACCTTAGTCACAGACATAGGGTAAGGTGGAATTCAAGCCGTTGGTCCTTGTGTTTTGTCATATATGTTTGAGGAGAGATTTAGGATGATGGTTAACTTGCAATTATTTGCTTATTGTGCTTAAATACTCTTCTTCAAACAATTAGAGGGTAGACAAACAAAACTAGGCGGGGGGAGAGAGGAAATGAGGAGCCAACACCAGCGGTTAAATATTTAAGCAAATTATCAACAAAATTGTTGACACCCCAAAAAAAAGGGGTTAATATAATCTACAGTCTCTCGAGTTTGCTCTCATTTTGGTTTTGGTCCCTCAGATTTCAAACCATAGGTTTTGGTCTCTTAAGGGGCAAAATGGTCCAAGTTTTTATTAGATTATAAGGACCAATGCTTTAAATTACAGTGAAACTTGAAGGACCAAAACCTATGACTTAAAATTTGAGAGACCAAAACCAAAATGAGAGTAAACTTGGGAGACTAGAAATTATATTAAGCCAAAAAGGGCGGGGGGGAACAAAACAAAGCAAAATTGTGAAAAGGTTGTCTCATGACTTGAGAGCTTGCTCATCTGTTCTAGCTATTTGATTCATATGGTAGTTTCATAGCCAGTGTCGTAAATACTTCTTTGGTTACATGTTATGTAGCCATCATATTAAGTAGCTTTACATTACATCTTACTTCCCGACGTTGATCTTACTCCTGAACTTTGTTTTGCAGCCGGATCCCCATGATTACATGGACGATTACCACGTAAGCCCAAAGCTCTCTAATGGAAATTAATGTGAAATACTTTATTGCTTTGCGTAGTTTCCACGTTGAAATAACATTAATTTGTTGTTGCTAAGACTTAACGTTGCTAGTTGACTTGGGATGGAGCGGGTATTTGTCAGTCCATGCTTAGTTGCCATTCCAAAAAACCACCATTCTTGTCAAACCTGCAAAACAAAGAATACATTTGCACAGAGAAATACATACAGGATTAGCAAGATGTGCCTTATGCCAAACTTAAATCTAATTAGAGCCACGCATTTGCTCATGAATAGAATGCACCTGGTGCACCAAATACAGATGTAACCGGCAGGTGAACCATTATTATGATGTATGCCTTTTGAAAGATTGGACGATGGCAGCTAGACCTTTGGTAATGTCTGTTAATGTTGTTTCGGATTACAAAGTGATAAGATATGTAATGATGGAAACTGTAGTAATATTAGATGACTTTGTTGATTTGTTCATGCACTTTCTGACGCCTAAGCAGACAATGAGCACAAATAAAAAACTTGTACGCTTCAGTTATATTCTGCACTTGCGATAACCATCAACAGCACTCATGAATATGCATATCCCTGGTCTTGCAGGATGAGCTTTGAAACGTGCTTCCTGATTGAACTGCTTCGATGTATTGCAAGTGGGAAAGCTCAAATTAGGACCCTGGCTCTTGCTCTCCAGAATATGGTCTGTCTGCATAATTGCTGCTATTATTAATGCCATCTTTTCCGTTTCTCTAGTGTTGTGTATTGCAGGATCAAAGCTGCGATTGGACTAACCATAACTAGCTGCTGTACTGAAATGTGAATGTGGACCTCAGCTTGATTTCTGTAGTATTGTATTACAGTTGCGTTTGCTCTCTCTCTCTCTCTCTCTCCCCCCCTCTCTCGTACATATATAACAGTTGCGCTTGTTGTGAGTCCTACGTCAGATAAGCTTTCATGAATCATTAATCGGCAATCATTAATAATATTATTCTGAGGCCGAATCTTGATGAACTAGGGGTCAAATGCTTGAAAGCTTAGCACAAATATGAAGGAGATTTGATTATTGTGAGGAAATTGACGGCCTTCTGTGCATGAAAGAGCATAGTTAAAGTGGGGGCCAATTCTTGCAAAGTATCAAGAGAATGATTATGAATGGAAAATGCAAATAATTTTGGTGCCTTCGCGGGATACTTGGTCAGATTTTCAGTAACCCATTATTGCCTATGCCAAGGAAAATGTGAACCTTATTATGCCTAAGGTTAAGGTTAACAAATTTTTGCTTCCCTCCAGGGAAATATTTGGAATCATGAGAATCGTGGTCTGTGGTCCATGATATTGGTTTCGAAGGTTAGGCTAGTTATACACAGAAGCGTGGTACCATTGTGATGTAGACTTGGCCACGGCAGGCCCCGCTCAGGTTGGGGGCAGGCTTCCAAAGGTATTAGAGAACATGATTAAAAAAAAAAAAAAGTTACAAAGTGTTGAATGTCAAATAAGTCATTTGTAAATTTAGTGTTGTCGACGCTAAATAAAAAATAGTACTAAAATTGATTTGAAATTTAGTAATTTCTTACTCTTTTTTTTGGATCATTTTCCCAAGGCATTATTAGCATCGGCGAATATCTCCCTTCATTGTATTGAGCCAAGCAAAATTTTGGCATAGATCTTTGACAGTTGTTTTGGCATCGCTTGGCTGTATCAGGGATGAATGACAAACGATCGCAATACGATAGTGCAGGCTGATGTTAATAGAGATGGGATGGTTAGGAGTTCATGAAAGGCAGTGTCTTTATGATCTGTTTGTTAGCATGGAATTGAAGCCTGAGAAGTAGGATTGGGGTGGGAACTGAAATTGGTTGTTGCAAGTATCGAATTCTATAGAACCGAGTGCCTCCCCATATGGATCTTAGTTCCATGGAATTGATAGACTCTCTACTCCACCTTTGTTGGTTCTCGTTCCCTCTTCATGCTCACCAACTCTTCTCCACTAGTGACGGTGACGACAAGGCTCTACTCGCGATGACAGTGGTAGCAAGTCTCCACCAGCGGTAGCAACGACAAGTCTATAGAACCGGCATAGATGAAGCTTCTTTAACCTCAGTCGCTCCTCCCTCTTCTGTCTGCGATATCTGACGTCCACGTCTATTGCCCCCTCCCTCCTCAATCTCCTTCACTGATGACGTCTTAGGGAGGATGCGGTGGTGCTTGATTGATGATGCTTGCACTTGATAGGTTTGGAGTTTTAATGATGGCAGGGTTTCTATTTCCCACGTTTGATTAAAATGATGGTGACGAGGATGATGACGGTGTTCCAAATTATGGTGACTGAGGAGGAAGATGAAAGATTGAACTAATATGGGTCTTCCATATTGTTTTTCCCCGTGGTGTCCTAGCAATGATTCTTCCCCTTTGCAAGAGGCCCTTTATCAGTTGCAACGGTTCTGTGGTCTTTCCCAAAAAAAAAAAAAAAAATAAATTTCACTTCACTATGCCCCTGTGGATTAGGCACAAATGTGATTTTAAGTAAAAGTAATGTTTCCTGATTTTTGTTTGAATTTCATTTATTAAAATTACTTGTAGATATATAATTATCAAAAAGCAAGAAGAGCAGGCAAGAAAAGTATAATTTAGTATAATTCTTATAAGTATTTGTTATTATTTATAATTATTATAAGTACTGGTTATTATTTAAACATAATTTTAATTTAATAATAATTATTAACAAGGGTAGATAGGAGAAATTTTTGTTACTAGATTGTTATCAGAATTTTCCAAGTGCAAAACTTACTCCCAATAGTTTACGCTCAAACGTGTGATTGGGATTAAAAACCACCGTTTAATGGGATTTCAAAAAATCACTTATTTAGGTTGAAATGTGATTATTTGAGTTTTCATCACAAACAGGCACTTATATACAAAAACTCTTACACATCACAGGGGCGTTGCTTTCCCACATCTCATGTGCATGTCGTAGGCATTACTGGTGAGACGAAAGGGGTCCATCGTAAATGAACATCACGGGTCATCACTTTGATGAGCTCATCATGAGCATCATGTTCTCCTTTTTGTTTGGATGTTTCGGTTAATTTAAAGTTTTGGATTAATATTAGTTCGAGCTTTTATAATTTGATCCAACTTTAGTTTTTATAGTAGTTTCAAATTATTAATTCTGGTTCCTCATAGTTTCATAATTTTTTTAATTTGAGTTAAATAAATAATCTTTATACTTTTATCGAATTTTGGTTTTAGTCTATAACCAAGTTCATGATTTAAAATCACGAGACTAAAAGCAAAATTAGATCAAATTGTAAGAACTACCAATGATGTTAACCAATTTCTAATTTATAATTTTTAAGAAAATAAATTTATATATATGTTTTAAAGAAGTAACAGTTACTAAATTATCCTTATATTAAATTCTATATCTATCAAAGTAAAATTTATTTTAAATATAGAATGAAATTTTAGCAAGAAACATGCTTACAAGTGCCAGGCAGACCTTTCACAAATCAATATTACAATCCATTTAAAAAAAAAAAAAAAGAAACATCGGCCTTCAGCTAAAAAAAAAATTGCTTCCTGTAATACTTGTGCAGTTGTACTAACGCTGATTGCTCTGAATTAGTAATCTTAACGTCACGGGCAACCATTCAACAGTCAAGTCGCTGGCCTCTATCATGATTTGCAATAGCAAAGTGTGCTGCTCTGCTTGCATCAGTACGCCAGAGCCTCAGAACAACCCACAAGTTACAAAACAAGGTAATACTTCATGACAACTGTCTGCTTCCTCCTGATATTTCAACTAAAAAAGTATTTAAATAGAAACCAAATCATAGTTTTAAAAATATTTTTATAGTTTACAAAATAAATATGTGAAGGAATTTCGTTTTACCAAAAAATACTTTTTAAAAGTATTTTTAAGGGTTGCCAAATACTCCCTAAATTCATGGTTTAAAATTAGTGTGCTTCGTCCATACATGGACTGAATAATGACAACTGTACAGAAGACCGCAAAAAGTTTTATATAAGAAAAAAAAACCAAAAAATTAGAACAAGGGAAAAAAAAATGATCACGCTGTGGGGGGAAGAAAAACATAATAAACGCATGATGATTACAGGGTGATCTTATAAACAACTAACCAAATTTACAGACTAATTTTTACCTTTAAAAAAGCTAGAATGTAACACTACAAGGACACTTATACAACAGACACCCCTAATTGGAAACGCGACTACGATACAAGTATCCATTCAAATATGCGACAAGGTCAAGTTCCATGTAAGAACGTACAACTGGCTACCCTTCTCACATGTCACAGGAGGAAAGCTTTTCTGCACGAATATTAAATAAAGAAGCTCATGTCGCCATCCAGTATATGATTAGCATCAGCAAATGGATAACCCCTAAAAATCATAAGCAGCCTGATTATAATGTAACCACATCTGAATCCTTCAGATGACAAAGGGGTTATGGAGATTGGTATTGATGATTAATATGCTAGACGTGGCACTTACTACCAGCCATTTAAATCTGATTTCTCTTCCTCAATCTCTCTCACACTTTTGACTACATCAGCGATCTTTTTGGAGATGTTTTCAGTGTGCCTTTCCAACTCGTTCAGAATCATATTTAACTGTTTTTCATATGCAGCACACCGTCTCTTGCATTTTTGCCTTTCATTGTACAACTCGAGGGAGAGTTCACGAATTCTCTTATCTTTCTCATCCTGCAATTAAATGCTAAAAGCTTCAATGACTGCACAATCCATTGTGAAAAGTTTGAGTCACTAATAGTAATAATGAAACAAACAGGATGTGGGCATTCAACACTAACTATAAATAATAACTAGACATGAATCAAAGTATCCAACCCAGTACAGGCAACCCACTAGGTGTAAAACTCCGTTCTCATGCATAAGCTTCCAATTCTATATTATCCAAAGTGCGTTGGATAATATGAGCAGGTTTTCCTTCAAGTAAAGAGGGTTCATGCAACGGCAATGTCCTTCAAGGAGGTAAAAGAAGTCAATCTCAAGCTGCACTAGCTTCCAAGTACTTCTTGATCAACCCTTTTTCTTCCTTTTCCCCTTTTCTTGGGCCATAGGCAACAACAGCATAAAACTTGGGCAGCAAGCTGAATTTTGATGCATAAATTATCGTCTAGTCATATGTAGCGTTCTTTGACCAGAGACTTACCTCGCTAATAAAGTGCTTTGCAGATCCTCTCCATGGAACTTTACGAGGACTCATCAGTTTATGACAATGCTCCTCCACAAATTTGGTAAAAACCCACCTCCCTCCATCCCGAAAAGCCAACCTTATCATAGCCTGACAACCTTCTCTGGTGACTGGGGGAGAAGGAAGCACTCTATCTTTTCTATATACATATTTTTTTCCATGAAAACCTTCTTTTGAGCATACAAAATCTTGACCAATAACCTGATTATTTACTCTTGAACGACGATTGTGATGTATTCGTACAGCAAAACCTATCTGCCTGTCGTATGCAATGTAGAAGTCTCTGGCTTCATCTCTTGAATTGAACTCCATGCCCACAAATGGCTCTGATGTTTCAGCACTTTCCAAAGTATCTGCAACAGATTGTTCATCTTCACCTGAAAAGAAGTCTAGGTTTTGTGAGAGCTTGTCTAATTTGTCAGGTTTTTCACTAATTTCTGCTTGCATATCAAAGACACTTTCATCTGAATCAAATCCTCGGCCAGATTGGTGATCCATCATCCTCCTACAGCAGATGCAAAACAGATTATCCTTCACAATAATCTGAAAACAAAAGGAAATACGACACATTATTACAACCAATCATTATCAGAAACTTATGCATCAAGTTACTAAAAAGTTCATTATTTTCTGTCTAAAAGGTTCCTCTTTAACTTATGCCTCAGATTGGCCCAAGAAGAAGAAGAAGAAGACTTTATGCCTCTTATCTAGGATCAGCCTCCAAGGGTGGTGCAAGAAATAAGGGAGAATTGCTATGAGGCTCTAGGGAAGAAAAATAACTAACAGTAAGTCTCAATGACAAGTGAGGAATTGTCATTTCCGACACAGGAACTTGTCATCACCAACTGCTATGTTGTCAATGGGAGTAATTATGCTCATTCCTTGAGACTTTATACAGTAATTCTCCCAAGAAATAAAGATAAAATCTGTCGAACTGAAGCTTTTACTTATCTCCGTATATGTAGCTATACCTCCTTCTTGGACCTAGAGACTCCAAACGAAAAACACTTGTCAATTATATAACTTTCGAGAAATTGAAACCACAAAAAGCAAAGAAAATAAGGGTTTTTTTTTTTTGAGAGGGGGGGGGGGGGCTACTGTTTGTCCTTTGTTGTTTTCCCTTGATTTCTATCTTTGTTGCAACCCCAGCAAGAACCCAAATTCCTAAAGTAGACTGGTTGCTGGGACTTCTAATTGTCAAGCTAAATATAAGATCACTTGCTACTCTCCAGAAACCAGTTAGTAAATAAGCCCAAGCCTGCTTTAGCTTCTTTAACGTTTCAAGGAAAATGGGAGTTAGGATTACCCAGATGCCTAATCCTTAGCATTTGTGTTATTCTCTGTTGTGTTATATATAAACCATCCAAACCAAATATTTAGTCAGTCGATAGTTCTCACCCTAGTCATATAGGAAGCACCAATACACCAGAAAAAGGGGCTACTAATATCCGAAAAAGAGAAGGCCGGATGATCAAGATACTACACACATACCATTCTTTAACGTCAATATTGTTGGCTTTTATTTGTCCAATAAATTTTGAAACATTTTGAATTGCCTCAATACTTGGGAAACATGAAGAAACAACTTCAAAAGATTTAAGAGCCTATAGAGGAAGCTATCATATAAATAACAACGAAGATAAGCATTGAATTTGAATTAGAAAATCTAATTTAAGTATGTTTTATAATTTCATTAGTAGCATATTATAGACAGCTTATTTTACCCTTGATATTCATGTTTAGCACTCAGTTTTTTTTTTTTCTTTCTTTTTTGGGTTAATTTCTTGAACACACAAAGTCCCGTAAACATCTTACTTATGGTTTGTAAGAACAGAGTATATTGATGAATTAAGTAGCGTTATCAAAGTAAAGAAAACCAGATTAATTACCCTAAACTATGTTATTTGTAGACGAGTCCATTAAGGTGCGGTGAAAAAGGACGTAGATGGAAGAAAATACCCAGCAAACGGGTTATGAATCTCCCCCGCAAATATCAAGAGAACAGAGATCACTTATATGTGAACGCATGTCTTCTGAAGTGCTTCAGATACAAGGCATATAAGTGGAAGGCGAAAACCTGCGAGGAGACAGGTCAATGGATCAGTATAAAATGTTTTTCGGTCATAAAAAGTATCGTGCTGGTTAGAGCTGCTGAGTTAGACTTGCTGCATTCCAGTTCCCTTCATTATGCATGGGTCGCACGAATACTCGGTCAAAATTGAGATAGAGGAAAACGCAAACGCAAACGGGAATAGAGTGAGTTATATCAAGAAATAAGGATTATAATGAATATGGTAAGGGGTAAAACGAAAATTATTCAGATGTGAGACGAGGGAGAGGGAGAGGGAGAGGGGGAGGGAGAGAGCATGACTTCAACAAAGCTTACGAGTTTCACAGATGAAGATAAAAACAGCAAGGGAAACGAAAGGTTAGCAGAAAGAATATCAGTATGGAACAAGTTGGCGCGCGTTCAAGCTGAGACCTAGAATAGAATTTGAAGAGTTGGGAATGGGGCAAGAGGTTCGGGGAAAGAAAACAAACGAAGAAGGAGAGGAAGGCACGGCCACCGACCAGTTCAGAATCCAGCTAATAGGATCGGTTTGTCCCCTGGTCGCTAATCTGTACCGTTACATAGATCTAACGGTGAGGAAGCTGCTTTGTTAGTTCATATGGGCTTCCCGACCACTTGGGTTCGCATGCTGATGTCTTGCATTTCTTCAGTAACTTATCAGATCCTAATTAATGGCTCATTATCTCAGTCTTTTCATCCGTCTTGTGGTCTGCGTCAAGGGGACCTTCTTTTTCCGCATTTGTTCATTTTGAGGCTAAGGTTCTATCTGCAATGATCTCTTTGGAGGAAAGCACGGGTTCATGAAAAGGGTTATTGATCTCTCAGGATTCCTTACCTTTGACCCATGTAATGTATGCAGATGACACTATCTTATCTTATTTGCACAGGTTGATAAAGCTAATATGCAAATAGTGTCACGGGTTTTGCAACAATATGAATATATTACAGGACAGAGGGTCAATAGGTGTAAATCTTGCTTAATACTTAATTTGAAAGATTCCTTGGCTCGCCTTCTAGGTATGAAATTTCATGCTTCTATTGACAAATACTTAGGGGTGTATGTGGATTTAGGGAGGGATGAGAAACAGGTTTTTGAGGAAATAGCGAATAAGATTGATTCTAAGCTTCAAGCATAGAGAGCAGCTTTGTTTTCTCAGACTACTAGAGCTACACTAATTAAATCAGTGTTATCTTTCTCATTGGTTTATATTCTTGCTAGCTATAAGTTGTTGGTCTCTTTCTATCATAAATTGGATATGAAAATGGCTTCTTTTTTTTTTTTTTGGAGTTAACATTACTGAAAAGAAGATGTATCTATTATTCTGAGATAAACTCTGCATACTAGCATTGAAAGGTGGTATGGGGTTTTGAAAGATAGAAGCTTTTAATATGGCCATCCTAGCAAAATCAGTGGCATGCCTTTTCAATGCTGCATACACTTCTTTGCTTGCTAAGGTTGTAAAACTGAAATATGTCTCTTTGGATGACGGTTTAAGTATGAGTTGTTTTCCAGAGTGTCCAATCTAGAATGAGATTAAGACTGCAGTTCATCTAATCACAGATAGTCAAATAGATTATATTGGAGCATTGGGGATGGCAAATCAATCAATCTATTTAGCTGCTTACAGTGAATGATGCATATGATCTCTTCAATTACTTTACCGACTATGAAAGATCTTATTCTACAATATGGTTCCTGGAATTTTAATCTTCTCTATTCTTCAGATGTAAGGAATAAGATTGCTTCCCTTCCTGTTTCCATTTGTCAAGGAAGAGATGTTCTATGCTGAAATGGTAATGTTCAAGGTATCTACAAGGTTTTTGATGGATATAAACTATGTCTTCAAAATGGCCTCATGAATCCACCACAGGCTAATATGGTTTTAAGTACACCTTCTGTTTTGGATAAGGCCCTTCGTTGGAAGTTTCTTTTGAATGCTTTGCTACTTAAATCATTACTAGCGATAAGGAATTTGAATGTTGACTTGGATTTCTTTTTTTCTTCTTTTTTTTTCTTTTGTTGCGGGGAGAATGAAACTATGAAACATCTGTTTTTTATTGCCCTTGGGAACGAGTTACTTGGTTTGGGTCTCAATTGAGTTTCTGTTCTTCTTTAAAAGATCTCTTGGATCTATCCTAGTGGTTGTTGACAAATCTTTGTAATTCCTTTGTTAAAATATAGGTGTTGATTTGTTTTCATCTTTACATTATTTGGTATTTTCGGAATTTAAAGTTGCATGAACACATATGGTCTCATCCTGAAGAACTGTTGGAATATGTGAAATGGCTAGTTTGTCAATGTAGCATTCATCAGGATTGTTGCTTGAAGAAAGGTTCGAAGGAAGTTGTTCTACAAGCTTGGTCTCCTAGATGTGACTTGTCTGCTTGGGTGTTGGAGGTACAGATTTGTAAGGTTGGGGTATAGGTAGGAAATTCAAGCATCTTCTGGTTGAATTTCACTTCCAGTTCAGTTTGCTTTTGAGTAAGGTGGTCTTGGTTAAAAAGGGGCAAAATGGAGTACGGTTGATGTCAGAGGAAATACGAAAGAAGCTTAATGTTGTACACTATCGATCTCTGATTGCTTTCCCCTGTGCGTATCATTTGTCATTAGTCTTGGGCGGGAAAGCCGAATGGCAATCTTTCCCCTCCTCTAGAGCTTGGGAGCGTGTTTGGCACGAGGGATTTGGAAGGGAGGGAAAAGAAGAGAAAGGATTTTAATTATTTTTTTTATTTGGTAACATACAAATTTTAAGAGGGGAAAAAAGTTTTCCCCTTCCCCTCTCCAACCTCCCTTTTAAAATTAGAAGGATTTGGAGAAAAAGGACAATATTTTACCATATGATCATTATGCTCATACTTTGTTATGTTGTGATCATGATGCCTATATCTTAAATAAAATAAGGGCAAAATTGTTCATATTAAAATATTTTTTCCTCCTCTCTTCTCATGAACCAAACAAAATAATATTAAAACTCCTCCCCTTTCCTCCCATCCTCTTTTTTTTTTTATAAATTCAAATAAGGTAATATTAAAATTTTTCCACTCTCTTCGTCTCCCCTTCTCTTTATTAAAATCCCTTTATTTCCTTTCCCTTTCTCTTCATTAAAATCCTTTCATTTCCTTTTCTCTTATTGAACCACACAGACTCTAGAGTGCTAGTTAGTGATATTAGATGATACCTTAGGGGCTGTTTGGATAGAAACCAAACCATGGTTTCAGAAGTATTTTTACGGATTACGAAGTAAATATGTGGAGGAGATTATCTCGTTTTGCGGAAAAATGCTTCTGAAACCATGGTTTTGGGTTTCCCAAACACCCCTTTAGTGGGTTCTCTCGTACTTATTTTATTCCTTGTTAAGCTTTGTACGGCTACTACTGAAAAAAAAAAAAAAACATTTCCTTGTCTGGACGTCGCTTTCCGACTAGTCAACCGGCTCTGCAATTCTGCCATCCTTATCCCCGCAAATTTATATCCAAATAGTACATTATTGATACAGTTCACTTATTCATGTTGTTCATTTCACCTACTAAACACTTCATGGGATATGGCTGCTTGCTGTCATGTTTCCACTCAACTAAATTTTAAGTTTCTATTTATAAATAGGATGAACATACCAACTACCATAATAATCAAATAAACATGTTAGGGGTTGTTTATTTTAACTTTTTTAATAAAAATATTTATTAATAAAGAAATAATTTCAAATAATTTAAGATCTTTGCTCATCAATTTTTTGAATCAAAAATCACTTTTTCGATTTTTTTAAAAAACTGTTTTGAATAGCTTTTGATCATCTTAAAAAACACTTTTAAGTATGGAGTATTCTTTATCATATTTTAATGTATAAATTTGTCTACAATTTTTTACTTAGAATTAATATTATCTTGAAAGTTTTTTCAAGTTTAGAATTGCTCCGAAGTATTAAAATAAAGTAATGTTGGTTCTCACCACTAAAAATGTCAGTCGATGTCAATTTTTTGACGGACAGCATTAATTTTTAAATGAGATGGGGCAGCATCACTACACTTTAAAACTTCTAAAATAATACTCCTCCGGTTTTTAATATAGGATCCAATTTTTGAGTTGGTTTTGGTCCTAAATATAAGACTCATTTCTCATATTTATCAATTTTATCTAAATTACCCCTATAGATACTCCCTCAACTATAATTAAGTAAAAGAGAGAGGGGGTATTAAGAAAGATGATTATGGTGTTTTAGGAAAAATGTGTCAATTTTCTTATAATTAACTAACTTACCTAATTTTTTTAATCTAATCAAATTAGTTAAATGGGTCTTATATTAAGGACCGGAGGAGTATTAAACTAAAAAAAAAAAGACTGTTAGGACAACATTGCTCTTTCAAATAAATTTACAGCTTAATCCTCATTTTAATGAAATGATACTTAGGAACTATGGCCATATTGAATGGCCACAACTACAATCTCACATGCGTCTCCAGTCACACACCCGTTTAGAATAAATCTACGCACGCCATGCCGCGCACAAAATCCTCGTCCAGCAGCGTCCAAGCAACTCGCATAGTTTCTCCAACCTTAAATATAAAAATTAATTAGTTAATAAAAAATTACTCTTCTTATCCTATTTACAGGATAGAAAGAAAACAAAATTTTTAACCCCACTTATAAGACAGAATTTTTTTATATGAATGTATAACTTTACTTTTCATTTATTATTGTGTTAATTTTATCTCATAAGATATATATATTAAATAGGAATAAAATTAAAAAATTGTTAAATTTTAAATGAGTTAATAAAGTTTTAGATTTTATTGATTTGTGTAAAACATACTAAAAATAATTTATAAATAGGACTGAGTACTTTGTTTCTCAATTTTAATTTGATACCTATTAATTTTTTTCTCTTACTTAAATATTTTAATTTTGTTCTATTAAACACGGTTAGCTTCTATACAAAGACTAATGCCACTAACAAAGAAAAGTCATAGGAGCTAACACTGTTAATAGATCAAAATTAAAATATTTAATTAAGAAAAAAAACCCAGGTACTGAATTTAAAAAAAGAAAGTAGAGATACCTACAAAATAATTTTCTTAAATTAATCTATAAAAACAAAAATAGTTAAATTATTAGTTATCTATAATAAATATGTATTATTTTTTCTAAAATATTACTTTAATTGATTAAAATATGTGTAATCAATAAAAATTATTTGGGAAAAAAATAAATTTAAAAAACTAAATGGATCATAAGTAATTACTTTCTCCAAAGGATTCCGTGTTAATGCCGAAGGCAAGGCAAGCGAGGACACCTTTACTCAGCAGATAAACAGGTTGATTGACATAGAGATATGATCAACGTTCACCCACGTCAAAACTCATCACAACCAACCAACTCGAATGAACACGACGAAATACACAGATAAAAATATTCTAAATATGGAGATATGCCATTTATGGAAATTTAAAGCAATCCAGAGTCAAAATCAGAAAACATAATCTGGCAGCTGCAGAGGGAATCGGGCCACAGTCACTTCGAAGGGACTTCCTTCAGGGTTAGCCAAGCTGACATAAGCAATGGCCAAAAAATTACCAAATCAGAAACCACATTAGACAATTCAGTTACAATTATGCGGTGCTACGAGCAAAACTTTGAATCAACACCTCAGAAAGACATAAGCAATGGCCAAAAAATTTACCAAATCAGAAAAGCCTAACAGATTAAAAATAAAAAATTAACGTTAGAGACATCAAAGTCTGAGAATGGTGACTGCTGTTGAAATCGACATCCAACTGACTCGATAATTACATGGCTCAAAAATGAAACCACGGCATAGCCCCGCCAAACTAATTTGTCATCCTAATGGAAAAAGAAAAATAATTGCAACCTTAATTAATTAGATTGAGTATTTTCGTGCTGCTGCTTCATATCCCACTTACCCCGTTACCTCAGTGTTTCAGTATTCCTTTAATGTCCCTATCTACATAAAAAGTAACCCAAACTTCCATTACTAAAGTTGTTTTAGAAAAGTCAGGAAATGGATGTTTTAGGAAATCAATGAGAATTTGGTGAGGTTATCGTGATTTTACTAGTCTGGACTTCTTTTCCTCTTTCACCACCTTCATCTAACAGCGTCTATGGAATAAAATATGATTTCAGCTTTCCAACCCCTATTGTTTCCAAACTCAACCGCGACATGAATCAGTACCATAACAGAAACCACGAGAAAATTCACAAAACAAATTGAAAAAAAAGAAAAAGAAAAAGACCAAGTACTCCTAACAACTGTCAATGGAATCCTGATTACCTTTTCTTGGTAAGGCATGCAATGGGACGAAACATTATTTTATGAGGTGATAGAAGTATACTCCATGAAAAGTGTTGAGGCCATATTGAACAATTTCCTTCTTGACGTAAGCCAATACACAATTAGACCTCCAAGTTACAGGAAAAAATTCAGATTTCTCTATCCTCTCCATCATCCAAAAATTTATTAGTCTAAATATCCCCCAAATGCTGGTGTTTAAAACATCTTCATATGTATTCAAATTTTCTAAGCTCCAATGGACATTGCCAACCCACCCTTTTAGTGGCCATTGATTTTCTTGATAAAAGAAATTTTATTAGAAAGTAAAAATCTACAACTAGCAGGAGGAAAATAAATCTTCATGCTAGGAATTACAAGAAAAGTTCAAAAAAGGCACATGTCCAGATAGCCTACTGGCGCAAAGAGTTATCCAGTCTCTTTGTTTGGCCCCAGAGAAAAAAAAAAAAAAAAAAATCCGTCTCTTTGCAAATTAGATTCCCAATAAAATCATCATGCGCTACGCAGCAAAGGGAAGCCAGATACTAAGTTCTATCCCATAGAAAACCCAAAGGAAAAGATATCCCCTCAAGATGCATGTATTCTCGCCAACCAAACAAACCACTAAATGCCATAAACCGCACATCACCCCACTTTTGCCCTTCTTATTACCAAACACTTCAAATTGAATTAGAAGTTCTTCCAGAGTATTGGAACACCCAACTCTCAAAAAATACCAGAAGATTATTCTACAGGGTATCTCAACAAATGTAGAATAAATTGATAGGAGGCCATTAATTACTTATGCAAAGCACATATATGAGGCTCAACAGGGTAATGGATGAGCAAGATAGTGGGTCAGGGAAGTCACAACAGAACGCTGGAGTTGTTAGCAGGAAATGTGGGCTTAGTGGGGACAATGACAAGGCCATTCCCATGTCATCCACGACATCTTAGCTCCACCAGCAGCACTTATACCACTTCCCATAATTTAGGGATTTACTTATTTAATAATTGTTAAATTATGTTCAGGCTTATAAATAGTTGCTGTAGGTTTATGTAGGGAGACTCTCCTCGGCTAAAGAATGGGATACTACCTACAATCCTTAATACAAGAGCTAATTGACTAACTTGAATAAATTAAGGAAATTAGTTAAATTAGTTATTTATGATAAATAGGTATTGTCTTCTCTAAAATACCCTTACTAATCATGTATATTAATTAAAACTACCATTTAACATGTACAACTACTACAAAGACTACGATAGAGAAAAATAGATAAATATGAGAGACAAAGTAAATTGAAATCTTATATTTAAGACCAAATTGAACGTCAAACTGGTTTTTATATTAAGAACTAGAAGTAGTTATTGCTCAATTCCTTTCTAGTAGTGTTTTGATAGAAGTTCAATTCGCATTCTCACTTCTATTATAAATAAATGGAGCAAGGTTATTATGCTAGATTTGTTCATAGTAATCAATTGACATTCATGAATCCAAATCCTAAGATTGAGATTCATGTGCATTAGTCATTGACAAATCCTCGATCCTGAATCACAGGAGTGTTTCACTTAAAATAACCAGCATGCTAGATCAATCAACTGTCAATGTGATCAACAATAACAACAACAATAATAGAAACTAACAAAACCAACAAACAAATCAAATACCTGCCAGGGACAAAAGTAAAAGAACCTTCAATGGAACCTGATGGTGTTGGTAGAGGTGTGCAACTCTGGTACACAAATTCCTTATCACCAGGATACAAAAGCGGGAACTGCAACCACATAAGATTGAGCTCAATAGCTTAATCACTATGTTAAGAAATCACTTGAAAACTGGAAATTATAAACCTTCACAAGTTTTGGAAATTGACTCAAACAACCAAAATTTGTCAGGTTACATACTTCCCCCCCTCCAACCCCCATCTCAAAACAATCTTGTAAGCACCTCATGACATTCAGATAGTTCATATTGTCTGCTGGGCAGTCATGAGGCTTGGTTTGCCAAAACTAGGCCAGAAAGGAAAGAATTTGCTGAAACCAATATTAATTCACTGTAACTGGATCGATCTCTGGTCATAGACTAGCTCACAATATCAGAAGCACACAACGGTATCACAGGAACGTGAGATAGCTGCTGGTTTTAAGAAGACATATAAGAGCGTATCAAAAAAAAAAAGAATATAAGAGGAAATTGAGGAAACAACCAAGAAGAGAAGTCCGCTGGTCAAAGCAATTGTCCGAGAGCTCCAGAAAATGGGGAGCAACTCTAATTTGCAGCTAGCTACCAATCTTTTGAGTCTGAAACCTTGTAGGAGGCGTAGGACTAATTTTGGGGAAGTATAATGCTTGTAATAGAAGAGTAATGCCCTTAGGACTTATTTTGAAAGGGAGTGAGTGAGGGAGAGACCTGGCCTCTCGAATGACATGGGAGTTCCACTGTGTTAGCTGTGTTCGTTTGTTCTTTTCAGTGTAATCTTTCATTTACCGTTGCTGTTGTGATCTCTTTTGGGTTAGAGAGAAATAGGGCTTTGGCTCGAATCATTGAAGCTTGTTGTATCTTTGATTCAGTTCTGGAACATTAATATCAAAGCCTCAGGATTTTTCCCCATTTATGGCTGCTACTGTTTCGTTTTGCTGGTTTGATTTCTAGTTTATTGAATATTGCAGCAGGATCACAACAGAATGATTTGTTGATACATGTAAAACATAGGAGTTTATTCAATCATTAGACACCTAACACATCAAAGTCTCTCCCTATTTATAATCAGAAAGGAGTCTCTAACTAATTCCCAATTACCCCTAATCACTAGGCAACCATACTTCCACTCTCATACTGATCCTCCTCCAAAAGGATTGGGACAAATTCAGATTTTACAATTCAAGATAGCAAACCTAAAATTCTGGAAGTAATTAAAACAAAAAAAGGATCTTCTAATGCGTTGAAGACACTGGGCATCAAATTTGGCCGTCCTTTCCTTATTGGATTTGCCCATGTTACCCAAGAGTCCACTTCATAATACCACTTTTATTGGACCTTTTTATTCCTTTTCTACTAGAATATCCAAGGTGCACTTTATTTCTATACAAGGTCTTTAGGTCTTTCTAGTTTGAGGCCAAGGCAATGTAAAGCATAACTTGGCCCATTTGCAAACACACACGGCCTAGACAATACTTTTCATAGTGAGCAGCTTTACAACTTGCCTTCCTATTGCACATGGTATCCTTTCCATCAGGATCATCCCACTTTAAATGATCCATGAGGTTTGTTTTGGGTGAGAAATAGAGTATGATGCTTAGAAAATTACAACAAACAAGGGCAACATTAATTGCTCTTAGTGCTCCTTCTTGCTCAAAGAATATTCCCACTTGAGAAGTAATGAAGCATCAACACATGCAAAGGCTTTCGCCTGAGGAGATAACCCATCTTCATTGTCAAACATGACAAGGCACAGTTGTAAGTTCGAACCTGTTTGTCGAAAGTATGTTTGCTTTTGCCACCCTACTCTCTTCATGATCGCTGCCTCACGTTATACCCAATTCTATCTTGCCTGTATTCATTCTCTGTTTTGGAATCTTGCTCTCCCAGTGATTCTCCTTTTTTCAAGCGGAGACTAAACTTGGATGCATGGTTTGTCCTAGAATCTTGGTCTCCACAATTTCTTTTGCTACTTCCTTCTCCATCTTTGTCTTCTTGCTTCTTCAGCCAATATATCTCTTTAAGATTTGCCACATACATTGCACTAGCCAAGGTGCTTGGATTGAAGCGTCGAGTTCCTTCTTGAATCTCTAAGGTCCTCCTATGAAGACCCCCATTGTTGTAGATTCTGGCAGATGCATTGTTAGAAGTTCTTTAACTTGTTCCACCAATCTTCTACAAATGTTTCTTGTTTCAATTTCAAAATCTCTATCATAGCTATCAGAATCAAGTTTTCAACGTCAGTGCTACGTTGCTAGAAAACTTGCTTTGATATCAAACGATACATGTAACATGTAAAGAGTTTATTTAATCATTAGAAACCCAATCTTACTGTTGATACTAATAAGGGAGTCTCAAAATAACCAATTCCTAACTACTCCTTCCCAATCACCAGGTAAAAACGCTCTTCCTATATGGGCTAAAATGCACAAAATGAAACCTCATTTAATTTACAATTCCCCAAGTCACATTATAGGACCTTGAAACATTATTTGGCCCATGAACTATGTGTGTATGCATGAAAATGTATGTATATGTGTTTGTGTGTGGATATGCATGTCTCTGTGTACGTTGGCATTTTCTAATATTCTCCCATCATCTATACTACCTGAGGTTGAGGCTCCAATCACTACACAGATTTCCAGAGAAGGATACGCCCTCAATAATTTTCTTCAAGTTTAAAATTATGCACAAGCCTTTTTAGCTACTAATAGGTAAACAGAAACTGATTATATGGCAGCACCAAAGTCTTCTGAAGCAGTGTTTCAACACATGATAGCACTGCAATGAGCGTCAAGTAAAACAGACCATATAGTGGGACATTCATGAAAATGGGTTGGAGCAATTCGCCTGCTAGCAAGTCATAAAAGGGCCAGCTTAGCTCAGCTAGCAGCTTCAACCGGATGCCCTCAATTACTAAGGTCCAGTATGAGATTTAAAGTGGGGAATGCCCAGTCCCATTCTCCATAAAGTTTACAGCAGAGTCTTGTAACTGAAACTTCATACTTAAAGTTGAAAAATTAACATCAACATATGAGGAACAGGTTTAAATTATGACCCGACAACTAAATGTTTATCAGTTAAGTTGCAGTACCATTGAATGTTTAATCTTGGAACATGAAATGTGAGAAATACAACGCAGGCCATAGAACCAAGTTACATGTAAAAGGGTATTGACAAAACAACAAAATAGCTAATATTTATCGTGAAATATCATGAAAAATGATCCGCCTATAAACAATGACCAATGATATGCTTCGACAGCAGGGCATGTCTTATAAAAAAGCAAGTTTATGGAAGGGGGAAAAAACAATATCATAACTAAAGACACCCCAGGAATAAAAAAAAAAGGAAACAGAAGAAAAACAACTTATACCTCTCCTATAACAGCTTCTCCATTAACATCAGATACTACGACATCATCAGCACGGATCAGCCAGTGCCTCCGGTGGAGCTGGCAAGAGTTGAACAACTTTCTGTTGATGACGCATCCCTGAGGTTGAAGGGACATGTGGATTGAATAGGAAAACAGGTACTTCTCACGGTCATCTAGATGATCAGCCAACTCAGGTATAAACACTGCTGATGCTCGAACCTCAACCCAAAAAAAAAAAAACAAAGGCAATAATTATAATTACAACTTTCTTGAGGAAGGAATCACATACATAACAACAAAAAAGTGAAAACCTATTTACCGTATTAGTCAATGAACTTACTAAACCACATGGTACATATGCTTAACAATAATGAAATGCAGAAATATTTTGTTTTGAATAAAAAGTCATCTTGCCTGATGCTGCAACCACAAGAGCATAATTATAAATACTAAATCACTTTACTCATAATAAACCCAATGAATCAAAGGCTCAAAATTGCTGCGCCTATGATCTTCATTTCGGTTACTATTCCCGTAGTGTCTCCTCAGCCCCTAGGGCAAATGGGTTGGAAATAAAATATAATTCAGAAACTGGTTGTAAATTGACTCTGGATTCCTTGGTAAAAAAGGAATCCTTTGATGTATCACCATGCAAAATATTTTGATGTACAGCCAAGCACCTCTCCCACCCTCCCTCGCCTTTAGTTTACACAAGAAAAGCAAGAGGGGACCAAAGAAAAAAAATTTAATGTGTATAATGCAAAGTGCAAAACATAAGAAATTTTAGAAACTAAATCAGCATTAAATTTGAAATGTTGTACATATTAACAGGTAAATGGACAAATGAAAATTTATTCAAAAACTTGACAAGCGAAAAAGAACTAATTGTTGTGAAAGTTATGCAATATGACTTAGCAAACAGCATCAGCCACGACTATTGAGAAACGTACAAAAAAGGAAGTAGTTAGCATAATCCTACCTCCACACCATTAGTTACAGCTGTTGAACAAAGAGGGGGTTCTTCTGGGAAAAGACTAATGCTTCTAACATTTCCTTCTTCACGAAGTTTAATAGTGCCATTTTGTAATCGGCGACCGTGCTCTTCTAACCAAAGTAGCATGGCATCCTGTTGTTGATCACCATTCAACCCATGTCCTAAGCTAATCAGATCATGTGGTACACAAGGAATCATTTTTCCATCGGTGGCAAGATTCCTGGTTCCAACATATAGTTGACCATCGGTACAGTTGAGGAAAAAAAGCTTTTCACTGTTTGTGGAAGAAGCAGCCATGACAATATACTTATATCTTCTAGAAAAACCCAAGTGGCGTACGATTTGCTCAGTTTCTAGCATCACCTGATTTAAAGGTAAAAGATACACATTTACTGAATGATTATAAAAAGAGTAGCCACCAATTAGGCCCAAAGAACTGTCAAGAGTACTATTAGCCAGATGTTCACTGGTAAATTCTTGCCCATTTTGAAAGCGATAAAGTATTCTTGTGGGAAGAGGTAATTTCACTTTTAAAGCATCCTCCAACTCTTGAATCTCATCTTCTGATGCACCTTTACAAAGTGTTGCCTCAGCTTCTGGAAAGTTATTGGCCAGCCAAGTCTTTATTCTGTCCCAGCACCTTTTCACACGTTTCACAAGGGACCAAGGATACATAAGGAAAGCTTCTCGCCAAATTTGGTAGGTTACCTACACATACATAGATATTGTCTCAATCCTCGCTGCACCAAGAATCCACAAGACAAGTTTGCCAAAGAAAAAAAAAAGTCAACAAGGTATATTTGAGGGGGGGGGGGAATCAATATTGAGGATTATGATTCATGGGAGCCGAATAGCTAATGAACATAATTGTTTGAACATATATGGTCTGACAGCTAACTGCTATAATACCAATGACGTAGAACCAACTTCTGTGTGGGAAGCTTTAGCCTCTAGAAAGTGGCTAACAGCTATGAAAGAAGAATTTAGTGCTCTTCTATGAAATCAAACTTGGAAATTGATTCCATATCATGATCAAATGCAGCTTGTTAATTGCAAACGTGTTATCAAACTAAAAGATAATTCATACGGAAGCACTCAGGTATAAGGAAAGAAAGTTAGTGAAAGAATTTCAGTGGGATCATAGTATTGGCTTCAATGAAACATTTAGTTCTGTAGTAAAAGTAACCACAGCTCACATCATTTTAACACTCGTAGCGAGTGGTTGGGCTATTAGACAACTTGATGTAAACAATGCATTCTTCAATAGGGTACTTCATGAGACAGTATATATGCATCACCCAGAAGGTTCTGACTGTAGACTTAAGTTTCCAAACTCAACAGGGCTCTATATGGTCTCATATAGGTACCTAAGGAATGGTTTGAGCATCTTCAATATGTCAGTTCTCGCACTGATCACTCCCTACTTTCTCTGCACGTAAATCATCAGGTTCTCTTTGTGCTAGTACATGTTGATGGGTAAATTGTAACCGGTAGCAATTCTCTATACTGAATCCATTTTCCTAAAGCTTAGTCAAATGCTCTCTTTGAAAGATTTGGGTGATTTACATTTCTCTGGGGAATTTAAGCTATCTGAAATCAGTCTGGACTTTGAACTTTACCAGTATCAAAAGTGCTACATTTTGAACCTGTTAAAGCGGTTTGCAATGGAGAATGCTACTTCTTGTCCTAGTCCCATAGTCAAGAATCAAGATATGTCAAAACATGATAGAGCGCCGTTGAAGGAAGTATAGATATGCTGTGAGTGCTCTTCAGTACGTCACTACTAATAGGCTTGGTATCTCATTTGTAGTTAATTAATTGAGCCAATTCTCTAGTGCTGCTGGAGTTCAACAACAAGGGGTGAAAAGAATCCCCAAGCATATCAAGGGGATTACTACAGTTGTTCATAAGCAAATGTTCACAGGCAGAAGCACAACCAAATGATCTTAATTATTGATAAGTAGGATGTTTCTACCACAACATAAAATATGGTGTAGCTCCACCCAGATTAGAATATCATTCGACCAAATTGGAAAATTTCACACTATTGTTACTCTTATTAATATTCTTCCATATTCTGTTTTTGGAGGAACTACACCATATTTTATGGTGCGCATGAAACATCCTGCATCTCAACAATTAAGAACATTCGGTTTTAAATCAACTCAAACATCAAGGTCAGTTGTGAAAATATACTTCATGCTTGTTATAAGAAACATCCTAGGCTTGGGTTAGACATCAAGGCTTGTGACAATATTGATCTCTAATTCTCTGATTTTATTTTTTCTAATGTAAATTGAGCTTCCTGTGTAGATGATATGCAGTCTACAGCAGGACATTGTGTTTTTCTTGGCAATACTTTGGTTAATTGAGGAGTATCTTAAAGGCAGACTAGTTGCAAGATCCAGCACTCAGACTATAGGTCTCTTGCCCTTTTGGCTTCTGATTTGACATCAATTAAGTCATTATTAGCCAAAATAAAGTGCTCATCAAACGAGTACCACGTATTTGGTGTGACAACATTAGAGCAACAGCTTTAGCTGCTAATCTGGTGATCCATCCTCATACTAAACATATAGAACCTGATATTCACAATGAAAGAAATCAAGTACTGAGTAAATACCTAGTTATTCTGAAAGCTTCATCTTCAGAACAACTGCCAAACTCATTTACCAAAACCTGCAGTTCATGCAATGTTCTGGTCTTTACATAGCAAAGCAAACTAGGAATGTGTGAAGTATCTTCTAATTTGAGGGGCAAAGTCATATTTGAATAGGTGTGATCTTCGGTATCGCCTATATGCAATTGTCACCCTATGGTAGTCCCGAGGAGTGACATTTAATTACCATCAGCATTCCCGATGCATAATGCTCACTCTCTGGTAGTTCATATGTGTATTTACACGTATTAAAAATGCTTGCCTAGGACTATGTGTTCTCTTTAGACAGGTTGGTTGAACGGGTATACATTATGTGAATTGCAATTGTAATAATCACGTTAATGGTACACCGTATCATTTTCCTATAAAAATATTGGCTATGGGTGCCTAGCATCAAGTCTATCACAACTGAGTATCCACTCACATCCTTGTTTTTCTTATTTGAAAAATAGGTATCAAATGAAAAAAATGCAGAATGAAAAATCAGACGTTGAATTAGAAATCAAGACAACAGCCAAGGAGGTTGTGTTTGGGGTTAGAGTTCTAATGGCTTTAAAAGCAGGGCATTGGCAGATGAATAAAGTTGGATATGGTAAAGACTAAGGAATTAAATAATAAGAGGCAATAGAGCGCATGCACAAACCCTTTTAGATTTGGACCAAGTCAGACCAGGGATGTTGAGAGCTTCCCATCCAATTCAGCACCCTAGGGGAGACCACGACTAACTAGCATGGCCCCACATAACAGTTTTGTCTTCATTAGCAAAAAAGACATCGACCACGGGAATGAAGTTGGATGAATAAAGAGAATATTTCCAATAAATTCGAGCGGTTATTGAAAAGATTTTCATATAGAGCGCTGATCATGTCGTAAGAACATGATATACTAAAGAACAATTTTTTTATTTTTTATTTACATTGGGGGCAGTGAAAAATTGAAGAAAGGGCACGAGCACAGAACAACAAAGTCATTTCGCTTTTAATGAAGGGTCACCTTGAATGAAGGGACGGGATTTCCAAGAGGATCTACAGGGTTGGTGACACAGAGATCCTGAGAGCAAACTCTGAACCATAGAGAGTCTTCGGAAGCCGAAGACCTAAACTTCTTGCTCACACAAGCAACCCTGGCAATGTCTTCAGGGCCAAGTTTGGCCAGGATTATGTGCAGCGCTAAATCTCCCACCGACTCCAAACCCATCTCTCCCCTGCGGAAATGCTCTCTGATTGTGTTCCGCTCGCGGGTGCAGCGACCTCAGGGGTGCTGTCCCTGATCCTGATTGACTTCCTAATTCCTATGATCCTATCTATTGTCATCATTTTCCGCTGTGTTTTACTTTAGAAGAAAAACACTTTCTTTTTCTTTTTCTTTTTCTGTTTTTTTTTTTTTTGGCGATCACTCCATGCTTCCATATCTCGGTGTTTTGCACACAACTGAACAACGGTAAATTATTCGATGAGGTGATCCTAGATCTTCAAACGTTAAAACCGTTATAATGTCATATCTGAGTCGACAGGAAGGTAAAATAACGTAAACTTTTAACTGATATTGTGCATTATTATGTGGATTGCAAAAGATTTTCTCAGGGTATTTCATCCCTAAAGTTTCGCAGTACAAAGCAATTTGATAATTTTTTTAATTGATAAATACTTAGTTGATTAGTCAGGTTACGCATTAAGTATAAGCTAAAGTATTCATTTGGTCTCTTAATTGTCCCTTAACTTTAAAAAGTATACTTTTAATCCTTTAACTCTAAAATTTTTTGAAAAAATAATGATATTAAGATCTTAAATGTTGATAAAATATTTCAAAAGCCAATATATTGAGTTTAATTTTCGAAACATCTATGATTGTTACAAAAAAAATCATCATTAGAGCCTAATGATTTTAGGGTTAAAGGACCAAATGTATGCTTTTTAAAGTTAAGGAATCAAATTGAAATTTTATACAAAGTTAAAGGATTAAATGTATACTTTAGTCTTAAATATAATATCGCATGTTTTGATAGAAAAAATATGCTAATTTTTCAATTTTATGATAGCAACTATTCTACAAATATTTTAGGAGTAACGATACTGTTTAATCCAAAAACTGTTTTACATAAACATTTCGCGTATTAGTTAAACTTATTTATATCTTTAGAGTCAATTGTCAATATTACTATCTGCTAACTTAAAAACGACATTGCAATAATTTTTAAAAATATGATATAGAAATAACTGCAATATGATTCTTTGTCCAAGGAAACTAACAAAGTAGAGAGGTAGCATTAACTTCTAAAATAAAACTCAAAATCTCATTTTATTGCAATGAATTACATTATTTTAAAGCTTCAAATTACAATTTAATTAATGTGGACTCGTGAGAATTCCATGAAACATCCATTAATTTAATTCTACGTGCTCAATGTTTTTGAAACTTGAAATCTTGGCTGATATTGATATGAACCAACCTAGGCGCCAATAAGCACTAATTCATGCAACGCATTCAAGCTTGTCTCCACATACCAGAGAAAAGGGGGGGGGGGGGGAAGCGTGGGCGCGCAAACAGATCTCACCAAATTTTTAATGGAAAACCTTAAAAGTTCAAATTGATTCTAAAAGTTCAAATTGATCTCAATTTTACCTAGAACAAGTAACAGTTTGACTATTGTCAACATATCACCTTTAATAATAATAATAAAAAAAAACTGCGTTATGTTTCGCATCTAGCAGGTTAAAATAAATACATAGCGACAAGTAGTTCGGACAGAAAATGCAGTCGAAAATTGTCTCCATCAACAGGGACAAACGATCTTCATTCATTCGCATTTGTAATAATTAAGAACAAGGGTTATGCAGTTAAGATCGAACACTGGGATTGCCACAGGAACAACATTGTTGGAAGAACAATTAAAAGCCCTACGCAAGTGTCGATGATAAAGCCTAAAGGAAGAGACATAGATGGCACCATGAGGACGAGTTGACCTTTCTTGTCTTCCTTTAGTGGCGTAAAGCAGCCCACCAATGACGAATCCCACCCGAACATGCATTCATGCACAGCCATTAAACCTACACGTCCATGAATAGAATCGTTACGCTTTTTATTTTGGTTCCAATTGACCCATGACAACTAAGATTTGCCAGGAACATAAAAAAGCCGCCGTGATAATTTTACAAACGCACTTTCCAAGCTTGGGCTAGAGCGAAAAAGTTATAAACTTATTTGTCAAATACTCATAATGTTCCAGAAGTTAATAGCTTCGACCTTGTCAACTGATAATAAGAAAATAAAATCCAGATAAATACCAATACCTCTTGCAGGTATAAAGATAGAAATCAAAATAAATAACTCTCGGGGCCCAGAATAAAAAAAAAGAGAGTTTGATTCAGTGCGCGAAACTAGTTGGAAATGGAGACAATCATTGATACCATGCCATGAACCGTCAATCCATGTTCGGTGCCTAATTAATTCCACAAATCCGTTTAAATCTATCGCCAAAATCTTCCACACACATCAACAATACCAGAGGATCACAATCTCTACAAGTATTTGTTATTCCACCCCTCAGAAAACTTGCATGCCATGTAACTTATTCAAAAACACTAGTAAGGGCAATGATAGATGGTTTCCAGAGCTAAGTTACTAGACGAGTCCATACTCTAATATTTTCCAGTGAGATGGGGCATTATCCCATTATCCTCGTTGAAGCAGTCGACAATCATAAGCAACAAATTTTTATCATCAACATTGTACCTTGCGTAAAATGAGGCAACTAGAATGTCGGGTACTTCAAAATTTTATAACTTGCGATTTTGGTGAATTTTAAGAGGTGATTTTCGATTTACATCGGAGCAAGTGGATTAATCGCTTCAAGCTGTTGGAGCAGGACGTTAGAATTGGGATAGAGCTGGTACATTAATGGCCAATCAATGGCACATAATCGAACCTATTTTCCAAATTAGTTTAACTGTTCGGACCGGCTGATCAACTTAACGAGGAATCATATGAGAAGGCTGCAAGTTTTTCCTTGTATCCTCTGCACAACATGCGACTCCTCACTATATTTACGCAGGTCAATTTATAGCTTTGGCACGAGGAACAACATGGAATTTATCAAGGCTATAAAGCGCTTTCACCTAGGTCTGTCCTTAATCGTTCAGATTCGATTGCCATCACATCAAAATATCAAAGTTTCACCTGTATAGAATAGCTAGTGCATTTTCAAATAGGCCAGCATCACACACGAAACTGCAATTCTACGCATATACTGGTTCCACCGAACGCCATCATGGTTGATATAACATTCATAAAAATGTATGCAGCAAAAGGTTGCGTTCCATGTGAAGATATGTTAGGTGTAGAAAGGGGGAAAAAGGTCCAGGCTTCTAAACAAAGGGTTCTTCACAAACATTCGTTTAAGAAGATTCCAAAGGCACCCATTGCAACAACAAAACTCCGATCACATGGATATTTTCAAATTAACCAAAAGAATTATTTCAAGTTTCCCGATAAATATTCCTGCACCAATTAAGGAACAAAAATAAAGGGGTTCGAGTTGTTTTGAGAGAAGGGAGGTGGGGGTTCCAAACTGAGTCTAAAAGCTACTCCATCACTCCACTTAAAAGGGCTAATTAATTCATCGGCAATTATGATTTTATTTAGGAACCTAAAATACCTCACCCACGTAATGTTTATATGATTAAACCTTTTCAAACCCCGAAGCAGAATTTGTATTTGCGGAAAAAAAAAAAAAAGCAGAAGAAAGAAGACCTCACTGAGAGGAATAATACCGAGGAATAAGGAGAATAAGTGGAAGGATAAGATTGGTAATTTGGCATCGAGTACTGAGTGTGTGGATTTGCTGAACCCATAGCTGAATATGATCATGAGATGGTAATAAATAATGGTAATTCTAATTTTACAAACTCGATCAACAGTCATTTTCTCATTATCTTTAACAGCACAGTGAAGATCTTTACATAATTCAAGTTACAGATCATATTAAAATAAATTGGAGAATTAATAGGAATTCTCATCTCTAAAATCTAGATTCAAGGGTCAGGTGAAAAAATCTAGATTTAAGGGAAAATGCTAAAGAAAAAAGGTCAAAAGCCTACAGCTAAGCAATTGTGAGATACATGACAGATGAAAAGTAATAGCACGCAACCGAAGCAGAGTTCAAGATTCACTAGGCTACATTTATGTTATAATAGGATAACACTAGATCTACGAGCATATTCAACCACCGACAAAGATATGCTATAGCAGTGAAAACATACAGATAAAAGCATCATGGTGCATAAATAATAGGAAGGCAGCAAAATCAAGACTCTGTACAACATAATTCAAATACAAGCAAAAGTCAACGAATAAAAAATAAGATAGGTATTATAAGGAACTAACGATAGAGCAGGATATAAACAAAATCACAGTCTACTCCACGAGTTATTTGCTAAATTCCATTGGAACCATGGTAGAAGACCCCACACACACACACACAAAAACTACGCCAAATGACGAAACAGATTTACCACAAAAAACACAAAACAAAATGTAAAATGTTCTAATTGGTTCCAGAGATAGCAACTCAGAAACTGAAGTCCAGCGGAGACTAGCTATCAAGAATGAACTGATTGCAAAATATGCAAATCAGATGCTCTCGACACCCAACCCCCCCCCCCCCCCAAAAAAAAAAAAAAAGAAAACGAAGTTGGTATACTTCCCATGCGGCTAGATAGTTTTCAACACATCAGGTTCAGAAACCACAGGAAGTTTTGGCTATCAGTTGCAGCAAGGCCAAGCAGAATATCAAACTTCTGCTTACCAAAATCAGTACAAGTACAACATGAAGCAAAGCGATTGTTCTAGGACCTAGTAGTTCTACAGGATGAAGAAGCCATCCTGATCATGCTCTATCTGAAAAAGTCAATACACGTTGATAACTTTGAACTTTCTCTTCAAATGCCCTGAGCAAACCAAGCAATCTTTTTCTGAGGACACCCCTTATAAACTACAATCATTCCTGACAAATATAGACATTTGCCTTCATGTTCTTCCTGCTTTCGCAACTTAAAAGCTCAAATTCTAAAAGATCCTTATTTCTCAATGAAACTAGATGCTTCTAATGATTTCAGATTCAGATCCCACTAATAGTTTCGGCTAATATTTGCAACACGGCTACGCAGAATATCAAAAACTAAATATGGAGTACATGTATGGCAAAGATTAATTTACACAAACAGGAATACGGCCAAAAAGAACAGTTCATGGAAGATAATTACTTACAAAATTCTCACTGTTGATTTCCAGCCCCCCGTCCTCCTTGGGTTTGCTGCTGCTGCTGTATTTGGAGGAGAAGACTGGCAGCAAACTGTAGTGTTGACTGGTACCTCTGGTTTTTATCTGCCTCCACTTCTGATGACGCACCCTGACTAACTGCTTGGAGAGCAGGTTGAAACTGCTGATTTGGAGGCTCTGCGTTCACTTTTTCTGCTGAATATGGCATAGCAGTTTGTTGCTGAGAAGGGTTAGCACCATGAACTTGATTAGATGAGGAAACAGAAATATTAGGATTCTGAATAGCCTGAGAACTATATAAAACAGAGGCATCTATTCCCTGCACCACTCCATAGCCTTTCTGAGAGCTGGAGGACACTTCAACCTGATATGGTTGATTCACTGGGAGGGATAACGTTACTTGTCCGCTTTGAGAAGGCATCAAGTTAGTCATGGGTCTAGATGAGATGGCAACCTGCTGCTGTAAGCTGGCTGCAGAATCTTGGATATTTGTACTGCCAGGGACCACTTGACCAGGGTGGCCATAAGTAGATGATAGTGGATAAGGCTGATAGTACGTACTCCCTGCCTGTTGAAGGACATGACTGGACGGATCTGCAATTAGATGGTCCTGTTTCCATACATGAGATTGGTTTCCGTCAGTGGGAGCAAATGGAGGAAATGGAGCTTTCATAGTTGAGGAGCCAACTGCTGGCTTGGCCCCATCAGCAGTAGATGATGGTGTAGTTCCAGGAAGCAAGGAGGCTAGAGTGGCAATAAGCTCAGGTGTTAATGTAACGCCAGGTTGGGTTCCTGCAGCAGTATTGCTAGAAGTATAGTCTGAGGGTACAGACTGAACTAAAGAGGCGCCACTTGTAGCTGGATAAAGTGGTTTTGAAGGAACTTTAGACTCATCATGCAACAACCTATTATAATCCATAGGCAAAATTTCTTCCTCCTTTGCAGGGATCTGACTATACTCTACTTGAGAAGGAGAAATCTGCTGCCTATCAATATACCGACTGGAAGGTATAGACAAAGGCAGTGGCTGTTGCAATGATGTGCCACTTGGCATAGATGGAAACTTAAGAACCACACCATATAGACGTTCAGGCCCTGCGACTTTTAAAACCTTTGTTAAGAAATCAGATGGAGGCACCAAGAATAGAGTGGTACCATCAACAAATTTGGCAACACCAGCACGGTTTTTAGCACCAAGGTAGCGAAGAAATTCAGTGTATGATGCAAAGTCATCTTCACTATCAGGCAGGAAGAAGACAATGTCAAAACCGACAGCATCTGCATAATGTTTTGTTAGCATATCCAATCCAGTCCTGGCTGAGCAATCAACAACTTCCGGCCTGCAAGAAGGGACCACAACAAACATTAACCGCTTTCACATCTCACATTACGGCAATAAAAGTAAAGCATCAGCACTTTAGGACTGACTAGGACAAAAAGTCCTTAAAGCAAGAAATTAAGATACATTTTAATTTCCTTACTTTTCCACAATTCACAGAAATATTAAGAACATAAAAATATGAAGATGTACTCACAGCTCAGTCCCTATCCCTTTTCCTATAGGAACACATCTTGCTTGACAAACTGGCGTTCCCCCTTTTGCAATTATCCCACGCCATATGTGATCAATATCGACTTGAACAGTAGCAGGCACTCCAGTTGAGATCCTTGTGCCCACTGGACCAGGGGGAGCCTTCCCTTGCATGTTTACAAATGGACCAGAACCACCATCAATAACTGGCTCCATCCCATAAGATTGCTCTAGCCCTACTGCACGGTCATCAGCATTTCTTAACGGAAAGGGAACATCATCAACAGGTAAAGCACCATCTATCCTTGAACGCTTTGAATCCCTCTGAAACTGGTTTATGTCAAACACATCCCATGCGCTAGATGTGGATCTAGTTGGAGGTCTAATACCCGGTGCCGGATGGAGCATCCCTGGTGCTGGAGGAGATAGCCGTTTCCAATTTGGACCCATTTGACTTTTGGAGCTACCATCCTGAAACTTTTGGTTTGTGCCCAGTTCATTAGATTCAATGCCTGAAAGCGAAGGTTCAAGACTACCTTGAGGACCAAAAGGTCTCAACGGTACATTTGGTCCAACAATAACACCAGGTGCTAACTGGCTGGAAAGATTATTTGGAACCATTGGACGACTATGTCCAAACACATCCACCTGCAATGGTCGAAATGTTTGCTCAGTTAAGAACATGTCAGGTTTTGGTCCTTTGCTTACAGGGAAAACGCCAGGGTAATCTTTGCCAGGTGCCAGCTCACTGCTTGAATACATAATAGTAATCCGAGGATCATTAAAAAGCCGGCCTTGAAGACCCTCTTTAGCACGTCGAGCTTCATCCACACTCCTGAATTCCACAAATGAGTAGTGCCTTGAAGGAAAGCTCTTGATTCTCTCAATTTCACCAAATAAAATCATGGCATTGTGGAGCATCTGCTCATCAATCTGAAGAGAAGGAGGATAACCTATCCACAAAATATTGCTGGGTTGACTATCTCCCTTCCTCCCAATTGAAGGCTGTGTTTGCTGTGAAAAAATGGCAATCATCCTTAAACAAAAAAATTATATAATTCAAAGAAATTACATGCAGGGTCCAAATATCGTTTGTCGTCATGCATCAAATAACAGATATATAAACTAACATAAGACAATTACAGGAAGATGATCAGGACTCTCACCAGTGGTCTTTTCTGGCCAGAGTAGAAATCAGGAGGGCCCACGGTTTTTCCCTGAAGCTGCCCATACTCGAGCAACATATCCTATACAAAAGTAATGAAAATATTAGCTACTTAAACAACCAAAAAAAGGCATCATAGTATGAAGCAAAAGAATAAACATCTACTGAGGCATGGAAAGCAGTGAAGGAAATAACCCGTCAACCGATAGCCATATGGAACATAAAGGCCCCAAGTAATTCCATGACCGCTGATATAACTCATATCCAAAGCAATATCGAAGGAAGTTAGACAATGTTCAAATTCAGAGCTACCAAATACATTAAAGAAAGATAAAATATATGTAAAATAGCTCTGGAAAGAGTTGTTTTCTCAGATAAAGATAATTAGGGAATACAGGAAAAACTATTCCAGCTTGCTTTTCATTCAGTCAATCATATTCCACTGATCCAATAAAATATATTACACAGAAGGAGGCTCGAGCCATCACTAGGCGAGTGATAAAACAATTTATTGAGCAAGAAATGAAGTAGAAGGAAAACAGAGCAAATCCACATTATAAAGCATAAAGCCATAAACTTGCCTTTTTTGATGATTGTGATCGAAGGAAATCTACGCGAATTTGATCGCCACCAATACGCTTTCCATTCATCATTTTCATGGCATGAGTTGCATCATCTAAATTGTAATATTCAACAAATGCAGTGTTGCGGTCTCTGACGAACTTAAAATCCTCAATCTTACCAAATTTGCGAAACTCAGCCTCCAGCTCTTCCTTTGTAACAGATAGGCTAATACCACCCACCCAAAGTTGTTTACATGGCTTTGCCTGAAAACAGGTTTTTTCACGATTTCAAACACACATCTTACAGACCATCCATAAGCAATTCTAGAAAGAAGCAAACACAAAAAAAAAAAATGTCTTGTTACTGTTAAAAGCAATCACAAAATGCCAGCTCCATGGAGTAGAATTGTAACACAGGCTTCAGAGCCAAATTATGCATTGGGGGTGGGTTGATGATAGACAAGGCAAGGCCACATTGCTACTCCAGCAAATTCACAAGTCATTAGATTGAAAATACATCAGTGGCGTCTGAGGTGGACCGTGCCATAAAGCACCAAAGCTATAAAAACATTTACCAAAACTGTCCAAGCAAGATGCTGCTTAAATCTTCTTAGACAAGAGTTTTTCACACATTAACTACAACGGATACTCAGGATTTCCATCTTTATCATATTCTTATCAATCTTCATACAATGCTCTCAGGACACAAACTTTCTTCCCCTTCTTCTAAAGGGAAAACATAAATGGGTAATCAAAGTAATTTTTTCAATCCGTAAATATCAGGACTGTAAAATAACAAATATGTGTAAGCAAAGGAAGGGAAGGAAACCTCATAAATTCATATATAAGGAGAAAAGTACCGAAGAGAAAGAAAATCAGTTCTACCGATGAAATAAAGGCATCTGCAAACTGAAATAGATTGTTGAAAAAAGTAACAATGTCTAAGAGCTAAATTGTTTGTGACCCATATCATATCATAGAACATTGCCTTTTGCTAGCAAGTTAGCATATCATAAGTTGAGCAAAATATCTGCCAACATCCTTTGAAAAGTCTAGCTAAGATATCAGTAAATCTAAAGTGCAAAGATTTATCAGCAGTTCAAATGAACTAAAGAAACCGAAGTTGAAGAATCAAAAAGTAGGAATGCTTTATTGTTCTGAGCAAAGCCCAAACAAAGGTATCAAATCCAAACCAACCTTTACGTCAGTTTATTTTCATCTATACTTTGGGCATTGCTTCAGTCCAACCCCAAAGTTCATTTCACGGCTCTAACCTTTCAAGAAATAGCCAGACTCAGGATATTCAAACCAGACTGACGTACAGAAGTAGATATAACAGTTGAAACACTATTCATGCTAAAAGCTAATCATTTCAACACTTGAGGAAAATGAAGGACAACGAAATAATGAGAACTACAACTGAACTAGCAGAATGATTCGATCTATTCCAATAATCTCCAAAATACTTTGAAGGAACTGAATAATAGGATACAACAAAAAGTAGAATCCTCCAGAGTTCTTCACAGAAAAATTTTAGTGCAGTTGAAAAGGAAAAATTGCACAAAGACAAAAGGTATATATGGATCCACTCCCAGTTTTTTCTCCCACATCCTGTGTCTATTCTCTCTCCAAAATCTACAAGAATTATACAATAAGCAACTCCAAAGAATGCAGACTCTGAAACAAATTAATTTTAGTAATGCTCAGGTTTAGCTTAGGTCTGGAGTGTAACAACAATCCAAACACACCCCCCCCCAAAAAAAAAAAAAAGATAGAGGGGGAGGGAGAGAGAACCTTGTCCAATAGTGTCAAGGAAGATAAGAAGTAATAAATGTTCATGTAAGTGAAACTCTTGAGAACGAGAACATGTTGCTATTGCCCAATTTAACTAAGAAGGTGACATCAAAGAAGATAGCAACTGATGGACTAGGATGATCAAATAAAGAATATAGTACAAGTAGTTTTAATTTAAGATAGGCGAACACTATCCAACACTGAATCAGACTTAAAAGTCTAATGCAACCTAACGCGATAAAGTATATATTTCTAGGACATTTCTAACCAGGTCTTCCTAAATACGCACAAAACATTATCATAAGGTTTATGTCTGAAATTGCTCTAATTTTGTTTGCACAACAAATGATAAGGTATATCCTCCCCATACCACCCAATAAGCCGTTTTAATTAGATGCAAGATTCTAGCATTTCTTAGACGTCAGATTTTGTAACTAAACTATGTACGCACCCTCACTTATCAGCTTAATCGTTAAGTTGAATTGGTCCTTAGCATAAAGTTAATATCAGAACCTTTAAATGACCAAATCCTCAGAAGTTCATTCCTTCTTGTTCTCCACACACCTTAGCTAGTAACACACCTGCCACCCAAACTTCCAGTACACAGAGCTTTAATCTAAAAAGAATCGCAAGAGGAATAAAACTATTCACGGACCTCTATTAACAACTTAAGCTTGTGAGTTAAATTAGTTGTTGACATTAAAAAGAGAACTGCTTTCAAAATATTAATGATGAAAAACTTCGGAAATAGAGTTGTTCTATCTCCTTTGGATGATTCATTATTGTAAAGAGCAAGATTTGGACATCAGAATATTTATAGTTAATTATAACCAAGTTTTGTCTCCTCCTTCTCTTCCTCGCTCTCTCTCTTATATTCCCTCTCAAATATCTAGTCAGAGTTCATTGCTACACCAGCTGAATTATGACCGAATCACGGATGCCATAAACAAGAAGGTAAACATGCTGTGTCGTGAAATTGTTTAATAAAAGCAGATCATTGGACATTTTATACAACTCAATACATGATCAATTCTTTCACATAATAATAACTCTATCGGACAACTTAAACAGCAAATGCCGCAAGATTTTCACATAAGTTTCGTCCCATTAGAAATAGAAATTCAATCATTAAATTTAGAACATGCTTAATCAGCTAGTATCAACTAGTCAATACCCTGACCCTCCGAATCCCCCTTCTCCCCTTTGGCCTCACTTTCCTACTGATTAAGCAAGATGACGGGCTATGAAAGGTAATGTTACAGTTACTTTGACCATAGAATTTAGAACCTTAACATTTTCGTGGTAAATATAAAGCAAATGGGAGGGCATCAGCTTAATATAAGTTCATAAATTCATTGCAACAACACGTTTTAATGCATCGTCCATAAGAAGACTCTAAGACGAATGGTCATCACAGAGATCTACAACATGTGGCATCGGAAAAGACTCCCTCAAGAAGGCACGACAGGCGTGTACCTACTTGAAGTGGCATTGCCTCAATCATTACGATGAGAGGACACTCTGGCATCGTGCCGCGGCACCTCACGAGGCCCTTGATTAGGACTGCGATTCTAAGATTGTTACGTAAAAATGCTGCAATTTTGTAGACCGCACTGGGCACTCTCCTCTAATATATTTTGCATTAAACTCAAATATTTTGCATTAAATAATTTACTAACCCATTTCTCCACTGCTAGAATCTTTATGATATACTACCTGATTCTTCGTATAAAAACTAGTTTGACTTTCAATTTAACTTTAAATATAAATCCTCAATCAACTTTGTCTCACTTTTTTTTTTTTTACAAAACAATCATTATAATAATTACACATGTTAAAGATTCCATCAAATGGTAGTTATAACTAATACACATAATTAACAAAAGTATTCTAAGAAAGATAACATCTATTTATTACAAATAACTAACTTAACAATCTTAATATACTCAAATTAATCAACTAACTCTTATATTAAAAATAAAAAATAGTACCATAAAAGCTGTAACTTTGCAAACCTTGCTGAGCACTCTCTAACATTCGAATTAGATAGTTTTTCTCAGGCTTATTGCCATTTATTTCTCCACAGCTAAGAATAACATCTATATAATAGACTCTTTGGCGCTTTCGGTAAAAGCACTGTTCCTCCTGTTACTTTGAAGATTTTGCCATTTCACTTGGCTGTCTAATTGAAATGCGTAGCAGGATCAGATACTCGCTCTATTGATGCAGATTTCTCTTCTTATCTTTCATTAACTTCTTTCAAAAGCATGTTACCTTTCTGACAAATTCTTTCGCCAAAGTAAAATTTTAAAGACCGCCTAATTAGGGAGATGGATGATGTTGGAAACTACTATCACGTGCATAACTGACAAATATCGACGACATGTTTAGCCATGCAGCTGTTTCACAAGTCAACTGAAGAATGTACCCTAGCTCAGGGTCTAATCAGTGTCTTTCAGTGTGTGTGCACGTAAATATCTATCGTTCTCTAAATTTTGCTTTACAAAAGTTTGAGGTTGATAATAATTATGGCAATCACATGAGCCAACAAATTAGAATGCCTATTTCGGCGAAAAGGATGAAAAATCCTAATTTTACCATATTCGATGACTTGAACGATCCACGGTAGGCCGTCCATGAAACTGCTTAGACAACCATAGGTGAGAAAATATTGAGCAAAAGTCCAGCAATGATTTATCTACGACTCTTTTCAATAGAAAACTCCCGACTAAAAACTTTTCCCTTAGAAACAACAATTCACTTTCTCTTGCGTTGGAATAACAAAATTTTGAGAAGTCGAATTCGGGACTCGAGTTTCCTCCATTAACAACAAATTGGAAGTTTGTTTCGTCTAACGACTTAAAATGCTTTCCTCCTGATTATTAACTTAGGTCCTTGCCCAACGCACCTCGCATGATAAATTTGAATCCACCCAGCTGAATCGCTTCCCTCAAAGAACTCGTAGGAAAAGTTAGAAGTGATAATGGTCGGGGTATAGGATTGGAGCATATAGTTAGATAAGTTTGGCCGCGAATTATTTTGGTACAATAGAAAGGGCGAAATTTTACCGCAAAGGCGTAGATAACAATACATGAACCCGCAGAGAAGATGAAACATAAATTATGCAAACCTAACCAAGTACAAAGATCAGAACAAACCGGTCTCGCAAACTCAATCTTCATGGGAATTCCGCGCAGAAGAGTGCCTTGTAACGCGTTCTTGGCAGCCTTGGCATCATCAATGCGCTTGAAAAACACGAAGCCGTAACTCCGAGAGGAATACGACGTGACGCTATCAAGTGCGCCGTATTGAGCGAAGAGAGCCATAAGATCGGACTCTGTAACCTCGTGCGATAAATTGCCAACCCATAGATTGTTGGAAGGGGTCTCGGGATCTTCGAAATCCTTGACCATGCCACCGCCTTCCTGAGCAGCCTTGATCGATTTAGGCGGGAGAGGCATTGCAGTCCAGAAACTATTGGGACCAGCCGAACCTACAGAAACCCTAACAAAACGAAAGAAATGGATTTTTGTTGCGAGAGTCGAGTGATCAGCGTATCCCTCCCTTGATTCTATTGTCAATATATTATATATAAATTTTTGGCACCATAGGGTATAGGACGCGAGAAATTCTTGCATACACTCAGCGCACCACATCATTCATGCTCTGACCAGTAAAAATATGCCATGTGACTGATCTAATCTTACCTGTAAGCTTATGTGTCAGCTTTGAAACTTATTTTAGATTAATAATTTAACTTAACAATTGTTTTTGGAACCCGTGCCACCTTTTTCATTCGCTCATTCCTGTTCATTTTCGTTCGTCTTCATTCTCTCCATACTCTCTCTCCCCTGTTAACTTTTTCTTCCTCTTCATTCTCTTCATAGTTCATAGTCCTCTTTTTTGGTCCGTCTTCTTCTTGCTCAACCTTAATCTTTTTTTCTCAAACTCTCTCTTCTTGTTAACCTTTTCTTCTGAGAGACGCTACGGTTCTGTTCTCAAAGCTACAGGAATATCTTCCTTTGCTCCATAGACTCGCCAAAGAGGAAGCAGGAAGATGCTTGTACAGCGGACATGAAGAAAGAAAGAAAGAAAGAGAGGAAAGTGGCAGCGGCCTTCTCAATGTTACCGAGGTAGCATCAAATGCGGTCAGATTTGTGGCCAAGAAGTCAGCGACAAAAGACCGCGTGTAACCCCTGCTACCGTAGTGAATGCAGATCTACTAAAAGGCCAGTGTCGGAGAAGTCGCCGTGAGTCATGAAGACGGTGGCCTTAATGGGAGCGTCCGAAGCCAAAGGAAGGGTTGAGTGAAGATGTTGCCACTGTAGTTTCAGAAGAAGCCATGTCCAGAGGCAAAGTAATGAAGCTGTGTTTGGTTGATTTTGAGAATAGTGGCGCCAAAAGAAAATGGTTGACCGGGAGGGAGAGAGAGAAAGAAGAGGAAGAAGACGAGCGAAAATGATAAGAGAGGAGTAAATGAAAAGGAAGGGCACGAGTTCCGAAACAATTGTTAAATTAATTAAATCAATCAATCTAAAATAAATTCCAAGACTAACACATAAGCTTACACGTAGGATTAAAATGAGTGATATGGCATATTTTTACTGTCAGAGTATGAATGATGTGATGCGCTGAGTGTATGCAAGAATTTCTCGTAGGACGCCTGCCGAACAGGGGCAGCGCATTGGTTTAGGTCTTTTCCTCCCTCTTCCTTTTTTTCCCTCCTGGGGAAAAAAAGAAAAACAGCTTGGTGTATTCATTCAAAAAACAAGACAAAAACAGCTTTGTGGATGGGAGAAACTGTTGTTATTGTTGGCGAAAAAATTGTTGCTATTGTCACGGAAAAAAGAGAGAAATTGTTATTAGAGCAACAAGAGATGGTAAGCCATCCTCACAAGTTGGAATCTTTAAAAAAACACTTATTAAGAAAGTTTTAGGGAAAATTGCAAATAAAGACCTCTCAATATATAAAATAGCAATCAGGGACCCTGAATTTGAAAAATTGCTCACAAGGACTCGGTCCCAATTTGCAATTATGAAATCATGGCCAAATTACAAAATACCCCTCTTTAATTTTTTTTTCAAAAAAGAACACCATGCCTCGCCGGATTCCGGCCGCCTTCCTTATTTATTTTTTTGAAACTGTTTTTTTTTTTTTAATTGGGGGGAAGTGAGGTTGGGGGGATTTGATCTCCCAACCTCATTGCTTCCCAAAATTAGGAATGACCATTGAGCCAACAAATATTTGCTAACATTATAAACAAAAAAAAAATATAAGTTAATTCATTTACTCTTGTTCCAGGTGATAACAAGAATACATTTGAAAATAACAAGTTCTGATTATAAAATAACAAGTCTGGGATTAAAATTTAACAACACGTTTTTTTTTATAACAACACACTCTGTTGCAAGTGATAACAACAATACATTTGAAAATAACAAGTTCTGATTATAAAATAACAAGTCTGGGATTAAAATTTAACACAGTTTTTTTTATAACAACACACTCTGTTTTAGGTGTGATAACAACAATACATTTGGAAATAACAAGTTCTGATTATAAAATAAACAGTCTGGGATTAAAATTTAACAACACGTTTTTTTTTATAACAACACACTCTTTTTCAGGTGATAACAACAATACATTGGAAATAACAGGTTCTGATTATAAAATAACAAGTCTGGAATTAAAATTTAAGAGCACCCTTTTTTTTATATAACAACACATTTTATTCCAAGTGATAACAACAATACATTTAAAAATAACAAGTTTGATTGATAAAATAAGAAATCTAAAATTAAAATTTTAACAACAACATTTTTTATAACAATTAATTATTTTATACTTTTGAAAAATAAATTATTTATAACTTATAAAAAGTATTTTAAATCTATTTAATTTGCTAAAAAAATAATTTTTATCTCCAATTTATAATCAAAATTTGAAGTGTAATTTATTATAGATTAAAAATACTTTTTTATTGTTCAAATTTATAAATAAAATTTAGGGAAAATGACAACACACTTTTTTAATTTTTTTTAAAAATTTTTTAATCTATATATCTATACAACTCATTATAAATCAAACTACTTCTTATAAATTATAAATAGTATAATTTATTATAGATTAAAAATACTTTTTGATTGCTTAAATTTATAAATGAAATTTATCTCTAATTTATAATTAAAAATACTATTTTTTTCTTTAAATATAAAAACTATTTTTAATATTTAAAGAATGAAATAATAAATTATACTATAATATTTAAATACTTAATAATAAATTTTAATATTTAAAGAATGAAATAATATAAAATATTATAATGAGTTGTATAGATATATAGACTAAAATTTTTTAAAAAAAAATAAAAAGTGTGTTGTCATTTTCCCTAAATTTTATTTATAAATTTGAACAATAAAAAAGTATTTTTAATCTATAATAAATTACACTTCAAATTTTGATATAAATTGGAGATAAAATTATTTTTTTAGCAAATTATATAGATTTAAAATACTTTTTATAAGTTATAAATAATTTATTTTTCAAAAGTATAAAATAATTAATTGTTATAAAAAAATGTGTTGTTAAATTTTAATTTTAGATTTCTTATTTTATAATCAAAACTTGTTATTTTCAAATGTATTGTTATTATCACTTGGAATAAAATGTGTTGTTATATAAAAAAAAGGGTGCTCTTAATTTTAATTCCAGACTTGTTATTTTATAATCAGAACCTGTTATTTCCAAATGTATTGTTGTTATCACCTGAAAAAGAGTGTGTTGTTTAAAAAAAAACGTGTTGTTAAATTTTAATCCCAGACTTGTTATTTTATAATCAGAACCTGTTATTTCCAAATGTATTGTTGTTATCACCTGAAAAAGAGTGTGTTGTTATAAAAAAAAAAACGTGTTGTTAAATTTTAATCCCAGACTTGTTATTTTATAATCAGAACTTGTTATTATCAAATGTATTGTTGTTATCACCTGCAACAGAGTGTGTTGTTATAAAAGAAAAACGTGTTGTTAATTTTAATCCCAGACTTGTTATTTTATAATCAGAACTTGTTATTTCCAAATGTATTGTTGTTATCACCTGAAACAGAGTGTGTTGTTATAAAAAAAAAACGTGTTGTTAAATTTTAATCCCAGACTTGTTATTTTTAAATGTATTCTTGTTATCACCTGGAACAAAAGTAAATGAGTTAACTTATATTTTTTTTTGTATTATAATGTTAGCAAAAATTTGTTGGCTCAATGGTCATTCCTAATTTTGGGAAGCATGAGGTTGGGAGATCAAATCCCCCCAACCTCACTTCCCCTCAATTTTAAAAAAAAAAACAGTTTCAAAAAAAAAAATAAAGGAAGGCCGCCGGAATCCGGCCGCCGACATCGGAGCTCCGGCGGCCGGAACTCCGGCGCCGGTGGCCGGATTCCGGCGAGGCAGTTGTGTTCTTTTTTGGAAAAAAAAATTAAAGAGGGGTATTTTGGTAATTTGACCATGATTTCATAATTACAAATTGGGACCGGGTCCTTGTGAGCAATTTCTCAAACTCAGGGTCCCTAATTGCTATTTTATATATTGAGGGGTCTTTATTTGTAATTTTCCCAAAGTTTTAATGTTAATACTTTTGACTTATAAAAATTTCTCTCAATTTCAAAGTGACTTGTAAAGTTTTTGAGTTAAAAAAAAATTATTATTAGATAAGAGATTACATTAGGATCTCAAATACTATATCACAAAAATTATATTACAAACTAAATTTTATATTAAAAACTAAAAATAATATTAAATATTAGAATGTGAAAAATAAAGTAGAGGACTATGAAGTTAGACTCTTTATGTTGAGTGTACAGATTGTTGCGATAAAATAGAATAGAAGAACATAAAAAGCAATATAATTTTATAACTTTAAGAAAGACAACTCATTTTTAGTATTTCTTATTTTTATATTAATATTAGTTTTTGCCTTTTAGTTTTTTTCTCCCTTTGGATCAGGTCCTTCTATATAAACTAAGTTATAATCAATATACGTTTAACTTGCTAAATTCAATATAAAATCAGCAGTTTTACCAACTTCATTCCCTGAAATTGATGTAAGAAACTACTTGATCTTGCAAGAGTTGAATTATGATCGTAGTGCTTATGAAATAGAGTCAAGGAAATTAGTGAGATGACTGAATGAAGAGCAGAAGAACATTTTTGATATTGTAATGTCTTCATTATCTTCAAAATCCAGAGCTTTCTTCTTTGTTTATGGGTATGGAGGAACAGGAAAAACATTTTTGTGAAATGCTTTGACAACAATTTTTCGTTCTCGAGGTGACATTGTTCTTACAGTTGCGTCTAGTGGGGCAGCTGCTACACTATTGCCATCGAGAAGGACTGCTCACTTAATATTTGCAATTCCAATTTAAGTTAATGAAGAGTCTATATGCAACATCAAGCAAAACTCACCGTTAGCGAACTTAATCGTATCCACAACTTTGATTATATGGGATGAAGCTCATATGGTTCAGCATTATTGCATTGAAGCATTTGACAGGACATTGAGGGACATTATGCACTGCAATTTTCCATTTGGGGGCAAGTGTGTTTTGATGGATGGTGACTTTCGCCAAATCCTTCTTGTTATTCCTAAAGGTTCGTGAGCTGACATTGTTAATGCATGTATTAGCTCTTCCTATCTATGGGACTATTGCAAAATATTTGAGTTGACATAGAATATGCAATTGTCAGCAACATCAGCAAATGAAGATGGCAATCGGTTGAAAAAATTTGCATAATGGGTGCTAGATATTGGGGACGGAAAGATAGGCATGGCCCATGATTGCATAGCCGAGATAGAAATACCTCATGATTTGTTGGTGCAAAATTACACTGATCCAATAGTTGCCATTGTGTCTGTTACATATGCTGATTTGATGGAGAATTTGACGAACAATGATTACTTTAATGACAAGGCTATCCTATCCCCAACAATTAAAGTTGTTAATCAGGTGAATGAATTCATGTGCTCTATGATTCCTGGTGATTCTGTTGAATATTTTAGTAGCGACTCAATTTGCAAATCATCACAAGACAGTGATGGATTTGAGAACCTTCATACAATCGAGTTCTTGAATACCATTTCTAGCTCTGGTTTGCCCATGCGTAAGTTGACATTAAAAGTTGGAGTGCCTATTATGCTGTTAAGAAATATTGATCAAGCCTCTGGATTATGCAAGGGGACAAGATTGAGGATAACACATTTGGGGAAGTCTGTGATTGAATCAATAACGTTGAATGGTTCAAATCCAAGTGAGAAGGTTCTAATTCATCGCATGGACATGAATCCTTCTGATAGTCGTCTTCCATTTCAAATGAATAGGAGACAATTCCCAATTGTATTATCATTTGCAATGACTATAAATAAAAGTCAGGGGCAATGTGTAGGCCTATACCTGCCTAAGCCTATTTTTACGCACGATCAACTATATGTTGCTCTTTCAAGACTTAAGTCAATGGATGTGCTAAAGATTTTGTTGCATGATAACATGGACAAACATGTCAAGACAACCACAAATGTTGTGTATAGGGAGGTTTTTAGGAATCTTAGTGTGGGGGGAAGAGGGGAGGAATGAGTCGTGCATCATTTGATATGAAACATTAATTTGTGCATCTTTTTTTTTTCATATTATTATTGTAAAGTTATTTTGTCCCACACATCGCGCAGGGTTGCACACTAGTTAAAAACACAAAAAGATAAACCCACTTAATCAATTTATAAATTCAACTAAATTTGACGAGTTTAACTAAATAAGCCGCTTTTATCCACACACAAAAAGTCACTGCTATGAATTTAAGTGCAAGTTAAAACGATTTTATAAATTACAAATGTGAAAAAAAAAATCAACAAGTCCATTCCCGTGACAATAGTCTATAATAATCTATCCTCCTAGTTCCTATTCCGATACCCCAACTTTTTTTTCCTTTTGCCAGCATTGTGGTACCCCAATCTCTCCGTCATTTTTCACTTAAATTCTACACGAAACAAGAAATATCTCCATACATTACAATGATAAACGGTGCAATACTTTTTTAATGATTTTTCAAGAAAATAAAACTACACAATTTTATATTTTCTTAAAATTATAAAAAACACAAATTTGCGCTGCTTCATCATCATCATGAAACATCATAATGTCCCAAAAAATCGCTAAAATTTGATTACGTTTACCTGTGTTGGCCCGTTATCGAGCTAACCTAACATGGACAACAATTTACATGTTAAACTTCCAATGATCGATTTTTAAATGAGAGAGATCAATTGCGTATTATTTTCTAAAAAGTTGCAAATTCGGAAAGATGAGTGTAAATTTGTAGACAACCGATTTCAAGTTATTTGAGAAGTGAATTCTATTAACATTTAAGTAATTTAAAATTTGAACTGTTCCCACTCAATGACCCTTAGTCTTTTTTCAAAACTTCAAATTTGGGTTTTTGTCACTAAAGTATCATTCACCCAAATAAATTCTTGGCCTCCCATAGGCTAGTACACCTTAGCCTGCATTATCCAAGCCTTGACTCATCCTATGCTTGTTACCACCCCTAACGGAACAACATTGATACAATGACTCTTGATTTGAGCTACTCCTTCAAATTTCACTTGTTATACATGATAGAGAAAAATGTCAAACAGCAACGTCTTCGGCCTAATTAATAGTCTTAGCGTGATTAATCGGGGGAAATATATCCAAATGTCTTGACATTCCCCATCCTTTCTCAGAAACGCAACCCCGCATAAGCACTAGTATGTATTATAATAGTACATGGTAAATCACAAATATCAAACAACTAAGCTGAAATTCATTCGGACTATCTCAGCGCCTTTAGCCTTCATGTCCTCACCCACTGTCATGCTCAAGCGGTGACATGGAATCAGGTAAATTTGTTGTGAAAAATGTCATTGATTTCTTTAAACAGTTGGACAGAGCACCTACTGTTCCATCAATTCCTGATTCATATTGCTCATAAACAAAAAATGCTGTAAATGCGAAGACCAGAGCTGCAAAACAGTTCAAAAATGAGAAAAGATGAAAGTAAGCAATCACATCAGAAAGTTCTTCAGCAGCAAAACTACAATTCCATACCTATTCCTATTGATGACGTCAAAAACTGTGACAGGATCAGCTTCAGAAATAGGAGCGAAATTGCAACCTGCATCACTTAAGAAATGCGAAGTAAAGGCAAAGCCTCCAAAGAAGAGAAACCTCTATCATAGCGTCCCATTCTCGTATAAATCACTGTTTCTGGCTGTTGAGCGCGGGCCCAAGCTGAGATATGTCAGGCAGAAGAAGCCCAATTCGAATGTGTAGTGATTTTTATGTGACAAGGGTAATTTTGGGTATTCCTAAGAGTTACTTACGGAAAGGGGTGAGTATATTCGCTGGGTGGGCTATGTGGGTCAGGCATGGAAAAGCTAAGAGTTGTGTAGGAGAGTTCTGTGCCTCTCGAATGTGCAGAGTGGTATCGTTTAGGTAGTGATTTCTGCAATTCTCCATTGCGGTGGAGCTGTTTTGGTGATTGAATCATACTTCTATAGCCTGTGGTTTGGCCCACCACTTTATGAGATATCCCCATTTTGTGTGTCAAAAAGCTTTGAATTCAGAAAACCAATCCAAAACCAAGTATTTGTCCAAGATATCATGGGGGAAAAAAACAAACAAAAAAGGCAATCTCATTCTCAATATCAATAAAAACACAGGTTGCTTACATCATAAATTTTGGGGGGAAAATTGTTCAGTCAGAGGAACGAGGATCTTTAATTTTATAAAGAAAGTCACATCTTGTACCTTGAAGAACATAGACCAATCACTTCCTCGAGCCAATATTTTAATGTTCCGACAACCAATGTTCCACAAGTACACTGTTGTTGCAACTGAATCTTTCACCGCTTTCTCCGAGATCTCAAAACTAGAGAGACACGTTCTTTGAATAGGGAAACCAAATCTGTCATTAAGCACACTATAATTAGTGCTTAGACAACGATTTCCTTTCTTAATGTCCTACGGGGTTGAAGTTACCAAGGTAAAAATCCCCAGCACAATTTTCAAAAGTTCATATAAGGTCCTATGGCTAAGATGAAATGATTTATGCACTTAGACCATATAATCGTTATTAAAGAGAGACCAGAACCAGCACACCAGAAAGGAGAAAAACTGCTAATTGCAGCACGAGGCAGGCTTTAGTTGGCAAAAATGTATGGTCAGGGTCTTGCAAACATAAAACTTTTTAAATTGACATACAAATAAGATCTCAGTCTTCGTAAGCATGTACTTACAGATTTGATGGTAGGATTCCATATCCATAGAGAATGACAGTTGAAAAAAGCAAAAGTCTGGCGGCAGATGACGTAAAAGTCCTTCCAGAAAGGAAAAACCAATGAAACAATATAACCAGTGCAAGGAAATATGTAAAGGATGTCGTTTCGTCTCTCCACAACAAAATGTCAGCAACTGCAACAATAAAGTTCAACGTTATTTTGACAAACAAACATCTTATTACAGATCTGATTCAGAGCATCACGAATAAATGTGAATGAAACCATGTCATTAGTTTTTAATAGAAAAAATAAGACAGCTAGACATGGTCCTTTTCTTATGTGAGAAAAAATCCTTCAAGGAGTTAGGCCAGCTAAGCATCAAGGGGTATAATAGGGAATTGAGTTTAGTTAGTTACAGATGAAAGAGAGTAGAATATAGCATGGAGAGCAAAACAAAGAAGGCTAGACATGTCTAAGGTTGTTGGGAGAATCTACACCTCTTGAAAGCAAAGGAGTGGTATGCTTGAGTGTTCTGTTTTCGCTTTGTAATCCCAGAATTGTAGCTTCTTCCCACTTAAGACTTGCACTTCGGTAAAATTTTCTCTTGAATGATATTAGTTAGTTGGGAAGACGAGGTTAGCTACTTACAATACCTACCCATTAGTATAAATAGAAATATGGCATTGTTATAGGCGTCTTTGGAATCATGTTTTCTGTACTTTTCCCTCTTTCCTCCTGTCAAGGGTGTCACAGCTGGTTTTCTGGCCACCCAACATCAACAGAAATTATATCCAAAGGTTAGTGCTAAAAACTTGACCGCCCAAATGCCTTGAAGATCTTGAGTAGAAGATGGAGCTCCACAGGGCAATGGTCCACGGAGATTTCGTGCAATTGGAGGGGAATTCTTGGACATCAATGAGCTGAAGCAATTTGTGATTAAGATGAAAGCAGGAATGGCTGATTTGGCTTTGGTGATGTCATTGCTTGTAATGAACAGCGTATCAAAAATTTACTTTTCATTTATCAGCCAAATCTGAAACACGAATAGCAAGATGCTGCAAGAAGGTAAATTTGACAACAAAAGTGAAGAAGACAACAAATATAAGAAAGAGATGAAGATGAAGAAGGTTAAAGAGATTAGATTATTTTGGAGGAAGCCATGATGGGGATGGGGAAGCATAAGGAGCATGGAAACTAACTAGTTCCCTAGATCAAGGAGCAGTTGTCGACTAGATTAAATAAGCCTTTAGAGAAGCCAATGCTGCCACATTGCCTAATGGGAAGTTTTCACACTGGACTTCCTTCATCTATCTTCAAGCTTCTTCACTAGGCTCTCCAACACTGGCAGTTGGGCGTCTTTAGCAGGGAGATAAATTCTGCAGGTAGCATAATGGTGGTGGAAGATAAGTAATGCCATTAACATTAACCAAGTTTACTCAATGAGCCATGGCGGACAGATTCAGGAAGGGGGGATTTCGATTTTAGCAAGTCTTACTCCAAAAATTCAAACATGGCAAATCACTAAGTCACCAGAAGGCAAGAAACCAGTGAGATGTAAAATGGGTTTTCACAATTGAATATAACCCAGATGGAAAAATTAGTAGGTACATAGCTTGATTGGTGGCAAACGGGTAGTCACAAACACATAGCGCTGACTGCCAAGAAACTTTTGCCCCATGGTAAAGCTGAACACAAAAAGGTTGCTCTTATCCCTAGCTACAAACTGAGATCAGTCCATGCAGAATATTGGAGAGAAAATGATGTCTTCACATGCATTCCATGGAATACTAGGATACAATTGACCTATTTATACATTGGAGGAGAGTAAAGCCTAAGAAATCAGAGAACAACGCTTATTAAAGCCTAATGAATAATAATAAAGGCTATACAGTAATAACAAGTATTTACAATAAATATAGAATATTCCCACAGTACATCTATCAGCTAGACATGAAAAATGCCATTCTTAATGATGACCTAGAAAAAGTTTACGTGGAAGTTCCTCAAGGCCCCTCAGAATATGGTATTCTAGGTATAGCTTGTAAATTGTACAAATCAATCTTATGGGTTAAAGCGATCACCCAGGGCTTGGTTTGAAGGGCTTACAAGAGTAGTAAAGAGGTTGGGATATATATAATGTCAAGCTATTCATACACTTTTTTGGTTAAACATATTGGAACTAAATTGTCAGTCTTAATAGTCTGTTGATGACATAGTCCTCACAGTAGATGCTACGCCAATGATACAGGGGCTAAAAAAGTCATTAGACAGAATTTGAAGTTAATGATTTGGGAGCCAAACCAGCCAAAACACCAATGGATCCCACCAATGAATTGGATAACAAGGAAGAATCAATTCCTGTAGATACAGAAAGGTACTAAAGGCTGGTAGGAAAGCCCATTTATCTCTCTCACACACCACCAGAAATAAGCTTTGTAGCTAGATTTGGTGAGTCAATCTGTAAAGAAGCTACAAGAAAAGCATATGAAGGCAACGTATAGAATATTGAAATGTTTGAAGATGACTCCTGGTTAGGGACTTTTCTTTGCCAAAAGGGCCTCTAGAGAATGTGAAATTTACACAGATGCCACATGGGCAAGCTCACCTATTGATAGAAGATCCGCTTCAGGCTATTCTACTCTTGTTTATGGGAATCTAGTAACTTGAAGGAGCAAAAAGCAATTAGTAGCGTCAGAAGTAGTGTAGGGGCCAAATCCAAGGCATTAGTACTTGGACTATGCTAAGGAATGTGGATACTTCAATTATTAAAAGAGTTGAAAGTTAAGATTGAATCACCCATCAAGGTATGGTGTGATAATATGGCCACTTATATATCACTGAAAATCCTATTCATCATGATAGAACTAAGCATGTGGAGATTGACAAGCATTTCATCAAGAAGAAGATGGATTCATAGATGATTAACCTAGCCTACAGACCCTCTCACTCTTAGGTCACATACCTCTTTGCCAAAGTACTAGCAAGAACCAAGTTTGAAGAATTTAAAACAAAGCCAAGAATGGTAGACATCTATTCACTAAATTATGAGTATGGGTCAATTAGAGGGCCCTTAGGCCAAAACCTAATCTTTCATATACTCAAATGTTTCTAGATCTATTTATATTTTTTCCTTGATTGTGCAATTATGGTTCACTGATTAGGAAGATGTTGGCCTCAGTCAAATCCTGGTTTTTTTATCTAGGGTTTGTGTCTATAAAGTCTATCATTGTTCAGGAAATAAAAAATAAGCTCTTCATCATCACAAAATTCTTCATAGAAAACATTTTGAATAATGTCTTTTATGAAATAATACAATTTTATACCTTTTTCAAGGAAAAATTGTGCCATTTATTGTACAGATTTTATATCAGCACTGATTAGTTTTTTATTAGGATTTATTAGCTTTTACTATTCTCTCTCTCTCTAGGTGTATATTTTCAGATGCATTGTACCCACACAATACGTTGAGGTGCTTATATGCATGATGGTTGAGGCGTTGTTGAGTGTCATCGCTAGTCCCAAGCAATAGAGGAGGCTCCGATCGGCTAATGCCAGAAAAATCATGACAAGAGGGGGTGTGAGGAGCTCACATGCGCCACCACAACATTCTGCCATAGTAAGCTTCTGGCAGCCCATGAGAGCATGTGGAGGCCCTAGTTCAACGACTTCTTCTGGTGAGGATGATTGGCATTCCCTAGACAAACCCAGTGTTCCCTCATGTCTAAATAGCCTTCTCTCAAAGCGTCTGGGTCACGTGCAACATGTTTTCTACTACGGCTTTGTGTGTGTGATGTTGGGCTGCCAATTCATAGCTGTTATGAAGTCTCCCTTCAAGTTAAAATGACAGGGGTGATACTATGGACACTCCTATGCGTCATGAGAGTTTCTAGATCTATACTAGTTGCATCAGTGGCAAAGAGAGGAACTTTCCTCTAGGCCTTGAAGATGTCTCGTAACACAATAATATGGATTGTTGACTCAGGGGCTTCTGCCTGCATGGCTAATTGTCATCAATTGTTCACTACCAATTCTCCGTGTGCTAGACATACTAAAGTAAAGATTGCAGATGGTTTTTTAGCACCAGTTGCTAGCAAAAAGAGTATTCGTATTCAGATTCCATATTTTTAGAATATGTCCTACATGTGCCTAAACTTGATTGCAATCTCATTTCGGTTAGTCAGTTGAGCAAATAGTCCAATTGTTTTGCTCACTTCCTACCATCTCATTGTGTTTTTCAGGATCTGTCCTCTAGTGTGATAATTGGAAGTGCCAAAGTGTTTGAGGGGTTATACTGTTTCAAGGTCAGCTAAGTGGGTAACTTACTCTCACCTACAGTAAGTCATTCTGCATCGACCTCAAATCCTGATGATTTAATGTTATGGCATAAAAGGATGGGCCAACCTGACTTCCAATACCTTCAATGGTCGTTCCCACATCTATGTCCTCACCATGATATTAGTGCCACCCATTGTGATGTTTGTGAACTTGCGAAACACCATCGATCCTCCTATCGTAGAGCCACACATACCCCCACCAAACCTTTCACAACCACACACAGTGACTTGTGGGGACCATCCCGTGTTGCCAACAACACCCATAAGAAGTGGTTCATTACCTTCATCGATGATCATACCCATGTTTGTTGGGTGTATCTCTTAAAAGACAAATCTGATGCCTCATCTCTGTTTCCAAAGTTTTATTTCATGATTAAGAATCAATTCAATTCCAGTATCGAAGTTCTCCATACTGACAATGGCACTGAATATTTTAACTACGCCATGAGTATGTTTCTTTGAGAACATGGCATCATCACAAAAGTACCTATGCTCATACACCCCAACAAAATGGAATAACTGAAAGAAAGAATAGATATATCCTAGAGGTTGCCCAAGCCCTCATGCTCACTTGTAATGTTCTAAAATATTTTTGGGGAGATGTTGTGCTCACTGTAACACACCTCATAAACATAATACCAAGTCATGTACTATCTTTTGAGACACCTCTTAATAAACTCAAAAGTATCTATCCTACCTCCCAGATTGAGACCAACCTTCCTTTCCTGATTTTTGGCGGCACAGCATTTGTTCACCTACATCAAAGTTCCAAAATTGAACCACGTGCTGCCAAATGTATCCTTCTGAGTTACTCACCAACTCAAAAGGGCTACAAATGTTATGACCCTGTCTCTAAACAAATATTTGTAAGCCTTGACATTAGTTTCCTTGAAGATACACCATTCTATCCCAAGCCTTTACTTCAAGGGGAGAATATGGGTGAACTTTAGTCTTGGGAAAGTATAGAACCCAACAAGAACCCAGAATCCAATAGAAACCTCACTTCAAATACACCACCTTGCCAACTTAAACTACTTGAACTCACTTCCGTCACTCTTGATCCTCCATCACTGATGCCCGGCTCCTCTTCACTTTCTCTTGCCCCTACTCTTGTGCCAGAGGAAAATTTGAAAACAGGGGGAGAAGTAGAACAACTACAAAAAAGAGAGTTACAAACTTACTTACAGAGGAAGAAACCAAAAAATAGTAAGTAAATTACACTTGAGGCACCAAGAGGGTCAAAACTGGGGGTAGCTCCTAAAGTTGAAGTAACAAAAGAATTGGAACCTATTGCACCAGATACAAGGCTCTTAAAGGAACAAGAAGTTTCAGTAAGTGAATCCTCTGATTTTGATCTTCCTATTGCTCTTAGGAAGCAACCTCATCTATGTACTCAACATCCTATAGAAAGATTTGTATCTTACAAAGCTCTTGCTATGAGATTTTGCACTTTCACAACTAATCTTGACAAAATAAAAATTCCCAGCAACATTAATAAAGCTCGAGAAACACAAAAGTAGAGGAAGGCTGTTATGGAAGAGATGAGAGCTCTTGAAAAAGACAATACATGGGAAGTTATCGATTTACCATGAGGGAAGAAACCTATAGGATACAAGTGGGTTTTTACAATTAAGAATAAGGATGACGGCTCCTTGGACAAATACAAGGCACAATTAGTGGCTAGAGGATTTACCAAAACCTATGACATAGATTAGACCGAGACATTTGCTCCAGTGGCAAAGCTTAATACAGTCAGAGTCCTATTATCAGTAGCCACAAACATTGATTGGCCACTTCATCGGTTGGATGTCAAGAACATGTTCCTTAATGGTGACTTAGAAGAAGAGGTTTACATGCCCTACCTCTAGGTTTTGAAAACAAGGGAAGAAGTAGCAAAGTTAGTTAAAGAAATCTATCTATGGGCTAAAACAATCTCCCAAAGCATGGTTCGATAGATTCTCAAAAGTGCTAAAAAGATAGCACTATTTGTAGGGCCATTCTGATCATACATTCTTTGTTAAACAAAATGGAGGAAAGGGGGCCGTTCTAATTGTCTACATAGATGATACGATCTTAACTGGAGATAACATTGAGGAAATTAAAAGATTGAAAAGAGTCTTAGCCTCCAAATTTGAAAAGATCTAGGCCAAATGCATTATTTCCTTGACATGGAAGTCACCAAGTCAAGGAAAGAAATATGCATCTCATAGAGGAAATATATCCTTGATCTCTTGATAGAAACAGGGATGCTTAGGTGCAAGCCTACTGACACTCCCATTGCAGTACAAAAGGAGAAGAAGAAGAAGGGAGAAAAAAGGAATAATGGTAATAAGAAGGAGGGAAGGAGGAGGATCCCTAGAAAACTCATCTACTTGTCACATAAAAGACTAGATACTGCCTTTGCAATGAGCTTTGTGAGCCAACATATGCACTCACTAAAGGAAACTCACCTGCGATCTGTGTACAGAATTTTGAGGTACTTAAAGGGTACCCCAAGAAAAGCCTTATCCTTCAAAATGGCAGAACAACCAAATATAGAGATATATACTGATGCCGCTTACGAGGATGTCTTTGAAGATGGAAGATCCACATTTGAGTATTTCACCTTTGTATGGGGTAGCCTAGTAACATGGAGGAGCAAGAAATTGAATGTGGCGTCTAGAAGTGCAGCAGAAGCTGAGCTCAAAGCCATAGCACATGGAATTTGTGAGGGTCTAAGGTTGCAGAAGCTCCTCAAGGATCTACAAATGGAGATGGAACTGCCCATCAAGCTCTATTCTGACAACAAGGCCACCATTAGCACGTCCCATGATCCAGTCCAGCAGGACAAAACAAAACATGTTTGAAATAGATAGGCGCTTCATCAAGGAAAGATTGAAAATGGAGTGGTGTGCTTGACTTATGTTCCATCAAAGAAGCAAGTTGCAGATGTCCTTACCAAGGGACTTCCAAGATTCAGTTTCAATGAATGCATAAGCAAGTTGGGCATAATTAACATCTATGATTCAACTTGAGCAGGAGTGTTGGAATATTCTGCCATTTATTGTACAGATTTTATATCAGCATTGATTAGTTTTTTATTAGGCTTTGTTAGCTTTTATGAGCTTTTACTATTCTGTCTCTCTCTGGGTGTATATATCCAGATGTATTGTACCATTCAAAAGTGAGAAAATAGAATCATTTTTTCACAAGATTCCACATAGTATAAGGTTCCAACCTTTTCCGCCACCTACTAGCTTTTCTGCTTTTGATTTAGGAATATTAATTGGGAACACTATAACAAAAGAGAGTACCATATAATAGGATAAGGTTCCGACCTTTTCCACCACCTAGTAGCTTTTCTGCTTTTGATTGTCCAATGGAGTCTCTTGAATGATACGAGTCTCTTGCCAAATGAGAGAATGCCTCTATGGTTGATGTGATGCCTTCCTGTGTGGTCAATATAAGCAAATAGAAAGCAAATCTTATGATTAAGAATTTTCATAACATATATGTACACAACAAAGTTCCAACAATCATTAAAAACACAAAGAGGAAGTTTTACGAATGGCCTGGAAGAAATGAGAGAAATATTTTAACCTCAAGTGAGACTACTGGCAAATATCCAATATCTTTCTTAGCAGCTGTGCAGTTGAACGTTCTAGTATGTGAAGCTAAATGGAAAAAGTGAACTAATAAAGGATAGCTGAAATATCTGGATCCGATGTTTTCATGCGCCCACTTTACAAGCAACAGAATGTACTGCACCATCTTGACAGGAAGTTTTATGAACGGCCTGGAATTAAACAAGGATTTCTTGGTCTTAGTTAACACCATAAAAGATCGTAAACCAGCATTAGAAAATAACTATAAATAACTTGCCATTGCTTCCAGCAGTGAATATTACATACTATACCTTTGATATCCAAGACCTTCTAATATAAAAGAGATAAATTTCCAGAACTTCATAGGCTCGAAGTTTGTAATAAGAAATGCCTGCACTACAACAAGAAGATCCTTGCTTATGCATATATGCTAAACCGGAGCTGGACCCCATGGATACTCTATATACATACACACCTTTCCAGCTACAGAAACTGTTTGAAAATTCAGGGCTTCTTCTGCACATATATGGGCATGAGCAACATTCTCAGAATAGGTGAAGTCAGAAAGATTATCACCACTTCCTATAATGAACTGCAATGAGAAATTGTTAATGTAAAAGCCACACTTAACAGTTGACGACAGCATCCAGGATGTTTAACACCTCAACTAACAGGAAAACAAACAAAGCTTCATAATGAAGCATAACAGAATTAGTCTCATAGCCAACATTCACAACTAGTTCAGAGAACCGTAATTGTGAATTTTAGACTGCCCCAACTATGACAGACTATGACGTCAGTACAGTTGTATTTATTACAATGCAAGTCTGAAATGGGCTTCAGATTAGACAACTTTAAGTTAAAGTTCAGTTGGAACTATGGCACCAAAACAGTTTATTAGCGTTCATTAGGTCCTTGGCATTCATTTCTTAATTACCTTTTATCCCTTTGTCTCTCCCTCTTTCTATGCATATTCGGTGTACTCTTTCATTCAACGTCATTGAAAATATAATTGTTCCCCTAGATCCAACACATCCAAATATTTCCACAGGATAATTAGAAATTAAAAAGAACACCAAGAGAAGCCAACCAATTGCAAGAGAAAAATGACATTGTGGGCATCATTCATAGCCTTCCAGGGGGACAGGTAGTGTAAGAAAACTTGAATTTCTTAAACAACAAGGCAGTAAATGTTTCGAGGAATTAGAAAAGATGACCGAAGGAAATTTCAACCAAGTTACAAGAATTGGCAAAATGGTTTTTACTAAACTTCAATATGGCATTCGTTTTCATAGAACCAATCCCCCGCCCCACCCTAACATCCCCTAAGGCTCCATTGTTCAAATAACACCAAAACATATGATGGAAAAGGAAGCCCACCTTTGCCCAACCAGATATCCCTAATTTCAGAATGAATGGAACAAGCTCAGAGTCACCAGGTCCAAAAACATTACTGGAACGGAGTGCACATGTTGAAAGGCCATCGATGTCATTAGCCCCCAAGATCATTGCTTCTGCTTGAGCCTTAAGGTCACTTAACATGTTCTCAAACTGCAATATACCACCCTATTAAAAATGTTTACTACCCGTAAATAAACAGGATATAACTGAAAATAAGAAAGAATCTCTCTCAAAACAGCATACTTTGCAAGGACATGATAAAGATTCATCTCCATCATGGATATCATGCAATCCATGAAAAACTACATCAGCAGAACTGTTGTATATTAGTCGTTTGACTCTACATTCTCGACAAGCATTGATGACATTTTTTGTACCTGATTCAAACATTTAGCAAACACCATTCCTATCACAGCCACTAGAGCAAACAAAATATTGAATGGCCAAGCGTCTCTATGATAATGGAAGACTACCTTGAACTGTAAGCATATAGCAACTATAAAAGTCATTTGCCTTCATGTCAGCAGCATGATCCATATAAAAAACCACTGAAGAACCTTCAATAACTGCAAAAGATTTATTTTTATGCTGCTGTTAATTTCTCAACATAACAAGTGTAAGATAATAGTAGACATTAATTGTAAATACTTTGCAATCAGTTACAAAGCTTAATTCTAGGGATAATTCATCATAAGAGAATTATTCTGTCATTAATTATAGAGCATCCTCATGTATATAAATACAGACTCTTTTGTCAATAATAAATAAACAAGTCCATCATTCCTCACTACATAGTATCAAAGCATTTTGGCTGCCATTTGATCATTGCAAATATTTCCTTCTTTTTTTTTCCCTGGGTTGCATTTTTCTAGCGAAAGCCAATTGGCAAGGCGTGTTTTTCATCACATACCAAAGGGATCTGCTAGTGACAACATCCACCAAAGAAGTTCAGAAACTTCCAATCGACCTTGTCCATAAGTTTGGCAAATTTTGGACACGCAAGCCAGGCACACATCCCATCCAAGTAGATTTGCTCCTCCTCTACTTGCCAACGCATGGAAGCACAAATGGTGTCCATTTCTCTAGTGACGACACGCATTTTTCAATCAGATTTGGTTACTTTCTCGGTACAAGTATCAACTTTTTGACATTCTATTGGTTGTGTGACAAGTGTTTTGCCTCTGTTTGTGTCTTGTGCTGCTTACTGCTGTTCCTAGTTGAAGTTGCTTATGTTTTCTTGAGGATTGGATGTTATCTTGCCTCCATTAGGTGGTATATGAAACTCTGTTTTCTCTATTTTTGAGTGTGGAATTTTTTGGTGTGTTTGTACACTGGTTGGGACTCAAGTTCCGTATCTCAGTGGTTGTTTGGGTATTAGTTGAGCTCTCCTTTGGCTTCTGATTTGGAATTTGCAATTTGTTTGTGTCGCTAACCTTGCTGCATGGCTAGTTGGTGCCGTTTGAATTATTGTTGGCTTTGTTCATAGTACTTTGAGTACGTTTTTGTGCTCTCTGCAATTGTCTATTTACCTTGATACATTTGGACTTTCGACATAGTTATGCCAGATAGTAAGTGACCTCTGATAACGAGATTGCTTAGTTTTGCAGGTGATGAGAGTTATTTAAGCCCATCATTCATCACTTCCATTGCAGAATTAGGTAACTCTGTTAACTGTCTTATATCTTTGCCATCCAAATGGGTAGTCAAGTGCCATAGATCATATGACAGGTAAACTAAGTCTCTTTTCCACTTTTCAATCATACACCATCACCTTTCATATCGCTTGAGCTCTCTACTACATCTTCAAAGTACCAAACAGAAACAAGAATGGAAATAATAGAATCCAGTTTTTCACCTTGGGTAATCTGACGTTTGTCGCTAAGGTGGACAGGAAAGTAAGAAGCGCGACCAGAAGAGAGAGCCCGGGCGAGGAGGGAGTGGTGCGAGTGATCGAGTTGGATGGACGGAGGGGAATCGGCAATGCGGACGATCCAGTTGCCTAGCTTCAACAGCCTTAAGACAAGCGATCTTCCGACAAATCCTGAGTCGCCTAGAACCACGCAAGTCTTATGGTTCAACCCTGCCAAGCGATCGTCTACCGCCATTTCCGCTGCGACAAAGAAACTGAGAGACGGAAAGAGCCTTGGCGCCGAAACTGTGCCTGGATCTCGTATTTGTCTTGAACGGAAAATTGAAAAAAAAAAAAAAAGGACAGCCAATCCGTTAATGTTTGTTCCAGCTCCAGCGGTGGGACCGCTCCCGCAAGCTCCGAGGCCGCGCGGGGGCGACTAATCATTTGTCTAGGTATTAAAAAAATTGGTTTAGTTTTAAAATACTGGTAACTAGGATAGATTAGGCATTTAAAATTCTAAAAAAAATTGCAGTAATTTTTTTCCTGCATTTGGATCCAATTTATGAAATATTGTGTATTCAAATAAAGGATTTATTTTCTGAAAACTTGCATATGTAACTCGGATAGGACTAAAAGACAGGGTAGGATATCTTGCTTGCGGCCTGGCCCTGCCTTAACCCTATCTAAAAGTATCTTTTTATATTTTTGGATTGTATCTTTTTGGGCTAGACTGGACTTTTTTTCTGGGCCGTACGGGCATTGTGAACACCTATAATGTGAATTCACTTATAAGATAGTGCCCTCAATTTTTCCCCATGTCTACGTAAACTAACACTGGGTTCAAATTCTTTGGAACTTGATCTTGGCAAAGCAAGAGTGAGTATAAATAGGCGTAGATGGGAGCTACTTCTCATCACAAAATTACATGGAGCACAGAGACTTCAACAGGTTCATTATAACGAGTCGACGTTTTGCTCCCTTCTTCATCGCTGGCAAGCAGCAAGCAGGTTGATATTGCGTATTGCGACAGGCGACCTCATTATCATTTTTGATCATGATTTCTAAGCACATACCATCAACCACATGACTGTTGAGCAAACTATCATCCGTGCAGGCTCTCCAATCTAGTACGACGAGGTATGCGCTTGGTTCCGTTGTATGGCCTCATCATGCAGAAGCCAAGATGGGAGCTTCTTATGCGTTTGGAATATTCCGTTCTATGGCCTACTTTTGCATACGTAGTATCAGCTTAGGGCAATATATTCTGATCTTCGTATCATGCTCTGCTGATTCACGATCGTGACGCATGTTCATACATGCAAGTTACCACTCTTACGGAAGGAGCTTTGGCCTATAGTGATGAGTTTGAGAGCCCGAATGTTTCTGCTAGTGACTCACGCCATCCTCCTGATAGTGTTCGACATTGGCTATCCCTGATCTTCGCCTTCCCTCCCTTGCTTTGGGGGTTTCTCCTTTACAGCAGGCTGGTAATTACACACATACAAGCAGAGAGAATGATGAGATAGTCCTTATTCAATGTTCTTCCCACACCCCCGGTGTCTTCAACATCATGGTCAGTCATTGAAGCATCAAGAACTAGTCCTCGGGCCATTTTGAAACAATCACAGCATTCCTAAAATCCCTCCCATGGGAGAATCTCAAGTCTAGTCGAGATGACTTGGTAAAACAAAACAAAACAAAACAAAAATACACGAAAATCTAATAGAAATTGAGCTTTGATCTGCCAAGTCCAATGAGCTTACAGATGCATGCCATATGTACAAAATAGAAAACCTATAAATCAATTAAAGCCAATAACTTTCTTTTAATAATTGTATTTAATTTCCCTGCTTGTAGGTAACTTTTCCTTTTTATAATTGTGCTATTTTGCCAATCATGCAGTGGCTGTTTCATCTATATGTTTCACTCTCTTTAGTTTTATTTACAAGATACATATGATAAGGTAGCTTCATTCTATTTATAAAATACATTTCAAAACTGTTTGAAATTTTAACCAATTTTCTTAATCCCACCAACTACTTAATATATTACTGTATTAATTATCTTTTCCATTCCTCTATCTTCCTTAACTCACTCTCTTCTATAAATAAAACTATGTTTTGCTCAATAAATTTTAATTAATTTTAACCAACTTTTTAAATTATTATTTAAATTTTATATATAAAGTCAGAGTAAGTACTATTTACTCCTGATTCTATTAGAATATCGTAACTAAAGGGGCAAAAAACCCTTTTAACGTGGATCATATAAAAAAAGAATTAATTATATTTTACATATTTACACTGTAGCAGCCGAAAGAATCATCCTAAACAAGTCCAAGATTCCCCTTTCTTCAAATCATTCTAACTTTCACCTACTAAATGAAATACCACCTCCACTTCTAAATATAAGATAATTTGTAGTACAATTTGTACTATAAACTAGTATTACTATAATCTAGTATATATAATCTAGTAATGAATCAAGAATATATCCAGCATACGTTGACGGAGGCAAGCTGCGTCAGGCCAAAAAGTTGGTCTTCTACGAAAGTCAGCTCCAAATAAAGGGGTTTCGAAATTGTGTTGTCATAGCATTTGATAGAAACTTGACTAGATTTTCTCTCTCAACTTGCTTCTCCTTCTTGAGTTCAAGGTGGCGAACCTGGAATTGGAAACAACCAGCATTAGTCAATACTGCCCACCAATATATAAGATTTATTAAGAAAATTTATTTTAATCTTAAATATAAAACCTCAATTTACTTTGTTTTTTAAATTTAGAATTTTTTCCCAAACTATCCTTATTAAATGCACAGAAATAAATCGATTTTTATCAAAAGGTGCTCCAATGCAAATAATAATTAAAGAGGATAGTTTAAAAAATAAACACAAATTTTTTATAAATAACTAATTTAACTAATTACTTTAATTTTTGTAAATTAATTATCTAACTCCTATATTAAATATTTAAGATAGCACTACATTTTGTTAGGATCAAATTGCATGCTTTTGTACGTGCAATACGCGCCAACAAGCGCTGATTTTCTTGACAAGTGATGAACTTAATGAGTAACTGATTAATTTTAGCTTTGTGAACCTATAATCAAAATTAGTTGTATTAAAAGAAAACGTCGTCGAGCTTTGAATTCAAATCAAATGTGTTCGAACTGGAATGAAAATCAATTTGCTGTGTAAAGTGGTCCTTATTTGATAGCCGGTGCAACTCACAAGCTTTTCAGAAGGAAGAACAAGCGAAAATAGTGGGAGGAATTTTAGCAAATTTTTCCAATCTTGTTGAAGGCAAAGTTCTAAACAGAAACATTTTCATTTTGAAAATTAGAAACACGGATTCCAAATGGAAAATGCACCTTGGAGTGGATCCCTAGGAGCTTAGACAAGATTTCCAGGTTAGAGATTGAGGGAAAACATGCTCTATCATTTCGGACTGACCATAAATAAAAGCATATGGATAATCTGATGGGTTTTTAATTATGCTAAATTAGTTATTGGGGATTTCTGTGACCGAAACAGGCATGATATGAGGATGATGAATAATACAGTCCTAATCCCCAGTATCGAAAGTCTCTATTGATCATCCTCCATATTCTTCTAAGTGCTCGTTTGAAATCACTTATATAAGCACTTATAAATACATTTCACATAAGTCAAGTTCTATAAATCACTATGGAAAAGCTACTTATAAATCATTCTAAACAAGCCCTAACTGGACCTTTTTCATACTTCTCTCCAAATGTTTTGTATTTCAACCTAGAACAATGACCTAATTGAACTCAAAAAATTACCTAATTAATGCAAGCACAGATATTGGAGGATGTAGATGAGCCGAAAAGTATATATGCTATTAAATTGCAAATTCAAGAGGAAACACACTTACGATTTCCCAAAAGCATTATGCGTTACCTTTACAGAATCGGTCTGATCAGTGATGATAGCAAGACATTTGATATCATGTTCATTGGCGTACTCATACTGCTCTGTGAGACTCGGATCAGGGACGGGAACAAATTCAGCCTGTCGACACAGAGATCTATGAGCATGAAGCTAAAGAGAAAAACCCACTTAATTTCGCAAACTAGGTTGCTTATATTTCTTTACCTTAAAGTCTTTCTCCCATAATTCAGCCACTAGCTCCATGCGCTCTATTAGCAGACCACCACCTCCTCTTGAACAAACAAGAATATTGGTGCTGGCTTCATTTCTGAAACAGTTAAGCAAGTCAAGTGTGTGCGTATGTGTGTTTGTAGATGCAAAAGAAATGATAATTTGAATTCTAATGATTTGTAAGAAGTTAAAATTGCAACATCAAGCTCAGCGCTAAAGCACACTCACTTAATGGGCTTAAAATCTATCGGACAGTTCTGAATTATTGTCTCTAGCGCAAGGCTGGCTCCTACGCCACTGGGAGGATTTGCTTTCTGGGTAAATCAGAGAGCACTTAACATAAAATTCGTGGACATAAGAAACCAAAAATTGTCTAAGCAAGTAGAAGGCAGCTTACCAGCGCCGAGCCATAGGTAAGTAAAACATGCAAATATATCAATTATGAACCACAGACACTATAACTTTTGGCACCGATATAAACTTGAGGATTTTTACCAAATTGTTTTTCATTGATTCAACCATGATAGAAGGAGTCAACTATACACAGCAAGACCCACAAGCAATTAGGAGAATAATCGACAGCAATAAAAGGTAAATCACCTAATAAGCCTAACAACAACAGCAACAAGAAGCTTTATCACCTAATAATCCCAAGGGTACAAAAATAATAGGGAAATTGCATTCAAGTCCCAAGTAAGATAAATTATTACTACAAGGTCCCATAAAATCATCAAGTAAATCTGAAGTCCCAAGGGACTTGTAAGAGAATCTAATTATGAATTTACCAAGCTATCTACATTGATTAGTTTAGTTGTCAATACATGTCATGACAATTGTTAATATAGCTTGTTTAGTTGTCAATGATAAGTATATGGTGCAGGTAGACATTAGTTATTGTTACATACCGCGATAATTGTTAATATAACTACTATAGTTGTCAATGACAAGTGTGTTGTGCAAGTGGACATTAGTTGTTAATATATGCCTTGATAGTTGTTAATATAACTAATGTAGTTGTTAATAACAAGTATATGGTGCAAGTGGATATTAGTTGTTAATATATGCTACAATAATTCTTAATATAACTAGTTTATTCGTCAATGACAAGTATGTGGTGCAAGTAGCTAGACGTTAGTTGTTAATATAACTAGTGTAGTTGTCAATGACAAGTGTGTGGTGCAAATAGATATTAGCTGTTAATACATGCCACGATAACTGTTAATATAACTAGTTTAGTTGTCAAGGGACTTTATAGTGATAATTACTCAATAACAGCCTCTCACTGTTAGGTCCCTTGAGACTTCAAATTAATTTGAATATCTCAAGGGACTTTATAGTGATAAAATCTCGTGGTTAGGGCTCTACAGTAATTTTCCCAAAATAATATTTACAGTAGATGTTCTTTACACTCCCCCTCTAGTTGGATTATAGGTACTGATCATGAGCAACTCCCCAACAAGTCCTCCAAGTGTATGTCACGGAGGCCCTTTAGAGCAGCCTGTTCCTTGGTAGGAATATAGGTCTTATAGATAACATCCTCTTCAACTTTCCTGCTGAAGTGTCTATCAACTTCAACATGCTTTGTCCTGTCATGTTCAGCAGGATTCAAAGATATGGTCATAGTAGCATTGTTATCACATTAGACTTTTATTGGTACATCTAAGTCTAACTGCAGTTCCTTTAATAACTGCTGCAACGAAAATCCTTCACATATACTCAGTGCCATGGCTCTAAAAAATTCAGCTTCTGAAATGTTTCTACCCACCACATTTTCTACTTCTGTATGTGACAAGATTTCCTCCTATGAAGAAGATCTCCTAACTTCTTTTGACCAAGCCTACTTAGCATCTATTTGGTTTTCTTTTTCAAATAGCAATCTTTACCCAAGTGATTCTTTCAGCTATCCTAGGATACTGTAGACTGCTTCAAAGTGAGCTTCCTTAGGTTGGAGCATATGTCAACTAAAAGACTAACCACAAAAGCTATATATAGGATAAAGATATTAATTTACCAGCTAATCTCTAATGTTTCTCCTTGTCAACTTCTTCGCCAACATCTTTTGATCTCCTCTAGCTTTTTTATAGGTGCACTACTTGGCTTACACCCTAGCTTTAAGACCCATTCATTACTCTTCTAAGGAAATATATAACTTGTCTTAGGTCTTTGACTTCAAACTCTTTTGCCATTCCCCTTTTAGGTGATCCATCTCTTCTGCATCATCCCCAGTCGACTTACATATACTATTATAATAGTTTTCCTGCCTCCTCTATGTTTATAGAACGTGGTGTGGTTTGAGGTGCTCGCTTATAGCCTTCCGTTTTAAGGACTGGTGTGAATTTTTAAAACCACGCCTAGGGAGATTGCGTCAACTTTTGTAAAGACTGTTTCAGTCCACATGCTCTCTCTGATCTCGTTTGTTGAAACCAGAAGGCATTGTTACATAGACCTCTTCAGTGGGATCCCTATTCAGAAATCCATTCTTCACATCAAATTGCTGAAGTGGCAAATAGTAATTGGCAGCCAAGAAGAGAAGGACTCTAATGGTATTTAGCTTGACAATAGGACCAAAGGTTTATATATAGTCAATGCCATGGGCCTATGAGAAGCCTCTGGCCACTAACTAAGCCTTGTATCTTTTAATTTATTTGCATGAAATTTCACTGCGAACATGCGGTTGCAATCCATGGGCTTCTTTCCCTTGAAAGGTTTATGACATCCCAAGCGCCACTTGTCTCTAAAGCTCTTATTTCCTCCATCATAACTTCCTTCCATTTAAAAACTTCAAGTGCCTTATCAAGGTTAGTAGTGAAAGCACGACATCATAAAGAAGGAAACTGTTCAGAGGGGCAAGGAGGAACTTGGTTTCCCCTGGAGAGCAAAAGCAAAATCAAGATCATTAGCTTCATCATTATTCACTTCATTTACATGGGTACTTTCTCAATTGAATCAGATTCAGGCATTGGTTCTGGCTTCTTTTGTTTTTCTTTTCTTTTAGTTCTTTTGGAGCGCATAGTTCTGACTTTCTTAGTGCTTCATATGTGAAGTTTTCTTTCTGATTCAAGTTCTTTCTTCATTAGTAGGTCCATAGTTCTTTTCCTGTTGGCTTCCTACGTGTCTTCTAAATTTGAATTCCCTTTCAGGTCAAGCAACTGAGAAGGAGACAAAGGCATAAGATTAGGTGTAATGGGAGATGAATGAGACAGAGGAGTAGGATTCAGTGTAATGGGGAGACGCAATGAGAGGTGAGGTGTAGGGAAGGAGGGTATTGCAAGCGCAATTATGGGTTCATTGCATCAAATGTTAGCTTCTCCCAAATTCTTCCCATGAATTAAAGACTTGGTGTAGCATAATGTACTCCCTTCGGTCCATAATATAAGAGGTTAGTTAACTTTTCTCACATACCAAAAGATAGAAATTTAGTCATTAAACTTGTCCTAAAATGATAAAGTTACTTTTAATGTTACACTTTTACTATCTCTCGTCTCTTTCCTATATCTAATATGGGCGAAAGTGCAAGAATCACATTAGTTATCCTAACAGTGACTTATATTTCGGATCACAATTTTCTTCCAATCAACATCTTATATTATGGATCAAAAGGAGTATCGTCACAGAATGCAACATCTCTACTTTCAAAGGGATGATTAGACATAGGATTATAGAACCTGTACCCTCTCTTTGATGGGCAAAACCAAGAAAGATACAATTTACAGCCCCGGGTTCAAGTTTGGATCAGTTACACGAGTGGATAAGGACAGAGGTTGCAAATCCAAACACTTTTAAGTTATTTTCAAGTCAGGATTGGGGGAAGGTTTCACACGAATTTTTTCATTGATGTGTCAAATAAAAGGACTTTACTGGGCATTCTGTTGATTAAGTAGCACTCAAAACTGCAAGTGCTTTTATGGATGACCCTAAAGATAAGCACTCATGTAATGGTTGAAAACTCGGAATATTCAATACCATCGTCCATGTACAGTAATTGGATATTCATATTGAACTGAATCTATATCATTTTCAGGAAATTGACAAACACGTGATGCCTCTCTTGTTTCTTTTAGGAGATAAACACCAGGGTGACCCATTCTCCAGTGTGAAAGCATAAGATCATAATTCTCGAAGACCTAGAATTATATACATTTCTCGAAGTTGGAATACTCACCCTAGAGAAGTAAAAGTCCCGCACACTATACTCAAATCAATGTGATATAACCCTGCCAAATAGTTACTGGATAAAGCAAAAAAGAGAATAACAGCATATATAAATGAGGGAAACCCTTCAGCTTTGATATTGATACTCAAGAAACCGAGTCAGATTTACAAGTGGCTTCTTTGACTCTGGTCAAAACCCTCTACAACTCCAAGGATACTCTAAACAGAAACAAGCACCGAAATAGGGTCTAAAAACTGAATAGAAGGATCAACATAACACACTGAACCTTCTCTGACTTTCAAGAGGCCACAGACTCTTCCTTACCACAGTCAATCTCAAAATAAGTCCTAAAACTCTCTCTGTAAACCACAAGACAGTATAACTCAAAAGTAACTTTCACACTTCCCAAACATAGCCCCAGGACCCAGGACTAGGCTAAGAGCAGACTAGCTCATCATTTCTAGTTCTTTATAATATGGAGCCTTCGAACAATTCTTTGGACCAGTAGATTCATTCCCCTCTATTCCTTGTGCCTTCCTCGATTTCCTCCCATGTGTTTTATTAACACCAGCAATCTTATCACAATGTGTTTAAGCATGAAATTACAAAATCTTTGGATCAATTTTCCAGCAAATGCGACCCATTTTTCATGTGTTAAACTTTACGATGTAGCAGTATAGGACGATTACAGTTTCTAGAAGCATCTTTGACTAGCAGATAAATACAAAGGGAAAATAAATTAGTATAACAACCACAAGTAGATATAAGATGCGCACAAAAAACCTACATAATGACGGCTCCACATCTGATGAAGCACATAGTCATAGCAACCACCAACAGCTAGCAAGGTACCTTCTGGGAGTGATCCAGGATTATTCCCCTTTGTTATGTATACCTTCAAAGAAAAGTCCATCCTCATGTAATGATTAACATATATGCCTCAGGCATGCTAGATATGCCATTTCTATTAGTCATCATGCAAGTCAAGTTTTGGAACACTGTAATTGAATGAGTTATTCTTTATCAATCAAGTATAGGAGTTTGGCAAAAACAAAATCAAGTCTAGGAGGGTTTAAGGGAAATTCACAATTAGATCCCACATAAGTAATTACCAATAAGTCCTCTATATTTTGGTTTATAAGAGGTTCTTTAGTAATTTGGAGATTGCAGGAAAAGAAATAACTTCCCTTTGACCAACCTTCCTTTTCTTTGTTTCTTTTTTTTTTCTTTTGATAAATTTTCTTTTTAACCTTTTAAATACATGTTTTTAAAAAAAATTACTATTTTTGATTAATCTAAGGGTCATGCAAGGCTTTTCATTGTTATTAGAGGAATTTTTCATACAGAAAATTATAAAATAAAAATGGTAATCACATAGTTTCTTGAATAACATTTTTCACTGTTCCGTTTATAATTCCTTGTACCAGTTTTAGAAGTCAATTGCTCTAAATTTGCAAGTAATTTTCTTTTTTTTTTTCCAACAATAATCCTACAAGGACCGTTTGAAGAACCTGTGATCAAAAAGTATTGGTTGAGTTGTAAATTTCTTAGTAGTTTGGCTCAAACTTCCGCGTAGTTTGCCACATGCGTCGTTGATGGTAGTGGAAATTTTCTCTTGTAATGAATTGTACACAACTTTGCATCTTGGGGACACTTTACCATATGTCACAAAATTTTGAATAGGATGGCAGGTGGCACATCTCCTTACTCCTTTCCTAAGTGTGATAGGTAAACCATCATCATTCTCATCCCTTTCAGTATTTGCAGCAGGAGAACCAAATAGGCATTGCTGCAAGTGAGCATCTCCACTGGTTTGTAAATCATTTCTATGACCGGCTCTTCTTTCTCTGTCCTTCTCTGCTCTGTTCCTTCTGCCACAGGCAAGCAGTTGCTATTGCTGTATGGCACTTCTGGCACGTCGTGGTATGGCCATTGGACTTGTTTTAAGATGTACAAGTTCTGGTTCAGGTGTTTTCGGGTTTGTCTGGCTTGGTTTAGGACTTTAGATGATGTTGGGTCTGTTTCATGGGTTTCAGGTGCTGGCAGCATTGAAACATGTTCAACATAATGTGCCAGCCTCACACTGCTCTGGTACCATGTAGAAAACAGAAGCAAAAGTCTGTTTTGTTTTGTTTGATTCAGGAGGCGTTTGGGTTAGCTTTTAGAGAATAGCTTTTGGAAAATAGTGACAAAAAATTATTTTGAGAATAGATTTTGTTAAAAAAGTTATTCAAATAAAATGAAAATATTTGGATGGTTGTTATCAAAATCACTTTTTCATATGCAAATTATTAAAAAAAACATAAGTTAATATGACAATTATATAAGGAAAGTTTTTAATTTATATTTTTGTTTAAAGTAATAAATTACTAAATAATATATTTTTATTTTGCCAACATAAGAAATGATATATGAAAAAATATAATTAATTAATAATTAATATGCGTGATTTATAAAATATAAGATTAAATATACTTTTAGAAAAATGACAATTCCATCTCAAAGATTTTAGACATCATGTGTCCTAATATTTTTAGAAAAATTGAACAAACATATTTAAGGCCAATTTATTATTTATATAATTAATAATTAATATGTGTGTACATATATATTTATAAGATACAAGATTTTAAATATATTTTTATACTCCCAAACCATGGCTTTATACCCCCCAATTCTTAGGTAGTGTTTGGTACATATAATGGATGAGAAACCCTAGATAGAATCTGAAGGATCAGATTCTTAATATCTTGCTAGATCATAATCCCAAAATCTAATCTCCAAAATACAAAGAATCCAACAGAAAAGTATATCTGTTATATCTAACCTAGATACTATATTTATGAAGTTAACAGCACAGAAAAATAAATTAAGAAAAACGAAATGTATGTAAGAGTAGAAACTAGAATAATTTTTCTAGAATTTTCTATTAATCTTTCCTGAAATACGTTGGCCCCAAATTGAGGCTATACCCATATTTATTGAACTATAAGTATATATCTCGTTGAAATGATACAATCATTGAGCTTGTTGGAATTTTTCCTAGAATCCTACGTTCAAACATTACTTCCAAAATTATATAACACACCAGAAAGTGTAGTCACCAGTAGAAGTGTTTGTCAGAGAAAATGTATCAACAAGAACAGTAAGACCAATTTACGGTACCTGGAAAAAGAAATCTCTGTAATAACTTTCGGTTGGGGACATTAAAGCATCTATAAAAACATTGCTGTCAATCCTCCAAACTCTCAAAAGACGGCAGAGCTCAGACAATTCTTCAAGAGCCTTGCATGTGCGTTTATCTACATTGGTTTATATTTACCGATAAGCACGAGCTTATTTCTGTAACAGATAATCGTCCATGATTGTCTGATTATAAGAATGATACCAGGAGGAAGGGCTCCTCTTAGTCTAGGAAGGGCCTGATCAGCGGCTCCACAGAATCTTAAACCGACTGTTTGTAACCTATTTACAATAGCTTCTGCTAAATTCAGTTCCTGGGAAAGCAATTTAATTAGAAGAAAAGAAAATTTGAGAAAGATTTGCCACTTGCGAATATTGTGAAAGTTGAAAGCTAGAAACTAGTACGGAACTCTTGCACCCAAGCATGCAAGACTTCTCTACGAAGTTTCTCACCTGCAAAAGCTGCCTCCGTATTACAGCCCATTTTGATTTTCTTACTGACGATTGTGGGCGCAGAGAACCCATCATCGCAAGGAGCTTCAGAAAATTTAATTATATGTAATGTTATGTCCTTACAGACTTAATAATGCAATACTAAAAAAGGCACAAGAAACTAACCTCTGCCACTTTAAGTCTGTGCTCAGCCTTAACACCGATCCATGACCAAATTGCATCCAATAGGTCACCATGATTTAGATGAACGTCACATGCGTCTGCAGGAAAAATACAAGTGACTATATCCCTGGTCACCTGTAACATAACCAGTAAAGATGTCAATTTTTGCATTTTTTGGGTGAGTACTAGGAGGACCATCCTGGATCCTGGAATCTAGGGAGCAATGGATGATCCAACCCAATGCTCCACCAAAAACTCAAAAGATTTGCTATTCACTGAAATTATATTCCAATGTATTAATGAACACAAGAGAAAAAAAGTATAATCGATACACAAAAATTGAAAAGAGCTCACCAGAAAATATAAAATACTAAATATGGACTAGAATAAAATTCTTCCCAAACATTCCCCTACCCCCTACCATGCTTATATTAGTGGGACATGAAAGAAGTGGATACACACCCACTCTCCTCCAGCACAAAGAAACTCTAACACTACATGAAGCAATAACGCACACAATGAAAAGATTCAAATGACACTCATAACATTAAGAGGGTCTTGATATACACTGTCTTGTATCACAAATAAGAGATCTCAACACCCAAAACACCTTTATTTTAACAAAAAGATAGGGGTTTATTAACAACAACAAGTCTTATCTCATTAGGAGGGATTAGTTATGCTCTATTAACAATTAAATCTTAAGATAAATTATCGACCTAAAGGTCTTGCTCAATAACTTCATTGAGTGCTTCCTTTGGTCTTCCTCGTCCTTTTTTCATGGGGCTCCATATTGCTTGATCTATCCTTCTCACCAACACCTCCAATGGCCTTCTTTGTATATGTTTGAACCACCTTAAACAATTTTCTACCTTTTTTCTTTGATAGGCACCACGCCAACTCTTCCTCAAGCATGGATATCACAAATATTTTCTTGCATGATCATACATCCACATCAATATCCTCGTCTCAGCTACCCCAACTTTATACCCATCTTGCCTCTTTAAAACCCAACATTCGCTATCATACAGCATTGCTTGTTTTATAACAATAAGATAAAACTTCTTTTTTACCTTATTAGGTACTCCTCCGGTCCTTAATATAAGACCCATTTAACTAATTTGATTAAATTAAGGAAGTTAGGTAAGTTAATTAATTATAGGAAAAGTGTCACATTTTTCCTAAAACACCATAATCATCTTTCTTAATACCCCTTCTCCCTCTTCTACTTGATTATGGTTGAGGGAGTATCCATAAGGGTATTTTAGAGAAAATTGATAAATATGAGAAATGGATCTTATATTTAAGACCAAAACCAACACAAGAATTGGGTCCTATATTAAGGACCGGAGGAGTACTTTTTTATCACAAATGGCTCCTGCAGCCTTCCCTTTTATCAATATGGAAAAAATTGTTTAAAAGACTCTGTCCCCAGTATAACTGTCCTCCATATGCTAGAATTAGATTGTGCGGGATCTAAGAATAAAGTACCAGCAAGGGGAAAGAATTTTATTATAAAATGCAGGAACAGGTTTGAAAAATGGTACCTTTATGACCTCTGCCTCTGTCAATGCTGATGTACCACCAATTATGTCAAAATCACCCTATAGCAACGGATTTTGTACCAAAAGGACTTGAAATTAGAATAAATATTTGTAGAAAACTTCACATCATTAACCATCAGATAAAGTCAAAACAGGTTATTCCAAGAATACAAGAGAGTCACATTAGTTATATCTGGTCTTCAATCATCTCATTGGGGGGGGGGGGGGGAAGTAACATTGGTTACCATCAACAGTTCAAAACTGTTCATTAAAAAACACAGTAATTTGGGCCAAAAAATCAGAGAGAAACTCATAAGATAAAAAAATATGAACATGCATACCTGAAGGTACCGGTTTGGTGATGAACGTCCAACTGCTCGTCGGTAGACACATGTTATCTCATATCGTTTGAAAGAAGATTTCTACATTTATGTTAGATTCGTTGTTCAGATTTCAGCCTTCATGCTTACAAAAAAATAGGATGCTGAAATCGAGCTATGATAATATTGAAACAACATGTAAACAGTTAGGGACATCTTGGTGAAGGAGAAGTTAGGCTTGAATCACAAAAATCTTAATTTAAAATTTTGAGGAGATCAAGCTCCAAGATTTTCAAATAAGAACAGAAAAACAAAAAAAAAATCACATTAATTTTATGGGATTCAAGAGTCTGTCTTCTATATGCATCGCAAGTCACTCAGAAATAATGATGCATGAGAACTGTTTGTTTTATGTATTGTGGGTTTTGTGTGTTTTGTGCCTTAGGTTACTGCTATGTTGTTTGGTTCTGTTATTGTTTTGTTATTATGTGTTTATCCGGGAAAGGGATGTGTCAACTTGGGATGATATTTTCATACATGTCAGATGGTGGAGGCACCATTGTGTAATGGACCTAGTCTCTACATAGGAGCCTGCCTTTGCGGCTTATTAAGTTTGCTTGATTTTGTATTCAGACTCGAACATATCAGTGAAATAGAGAATCGGGCTCTGTCCTTCACATTAGATCAATTTTGCTTTTCACTAACATGTCACCTCTCTCTGTCCGTCTCCATACATTTACTGACCAAAAATAAAAGCCAGGTTCATGTTATGATCAATTAGGGCAATGCAACTTGGATAACGATACCACGTGATCTCTCGGTCTCACTCTTCTAATACTACAATAAGCATGAGTTTTATTATCTCAACATTCTACATTATGTAATCTAAATATACTAAAGAAAAAATAACTAGAAAATATGATATGGGGCTAGCTCAAATGGCAAGGGCGGGTGAGGTGTGCATAGAGATTAAGGCTTTAAATCCTCTTGATGTTTAATGAAAAAATGAAGAAGAAGAAGATGATGATGACAAAACATTTTCCTTGTTTCTAGTGCAGCGTGCCTATAAAACATTTTTCTGGTCCTTTTTTGCAATTTGGGTTTAGCTAGGTTGGTGAAGATGTGAATGTGATTGGTTACTAAAACGTTAAATTATAAACGAGCTCAAATTGTTACAGAGGTGTTGGTGCAGTGGGAAAATCTTCCTGAAGAGGAAGCAAGTTGGGTATTGCTACATCAATTGCAACAACAGTTTCCCGCTGTTCAAATTCAAGACCCTTGAGGGCAAGGGTAGTTAAGAGGAGGGATATTGTTATATAATCATAACTATTGGATTAGGGGGGCGGTGTACTAATTCTAGGAGCCACAGGGACTTATTAATAGAGGCTTACTAAGTCCATAAGGCCTCAAGGGTAGTTAGGTAATTAGCCTTAAAATTAGTTAGTTAATACACTATGCGGCTATCATCTATATATACGAGTCAGGATAGCTTAATTGTGACTTTTGTTGTTGATGATTGATGAATGATATTCAGCGAAGTTTCCTTTCTTTCTCTCATGTCTCTGATTCTATCTCCCTTCTCTCTTCTCCTACTCCCTTTCTTCTACTCTGTAAGACTTCTACAACACTGTATCATATACCAATTACAACCTCAATCATAATACATGCAACTGAAAGTCCCTTTTTTTCTTTTGGGTAAAACAACGTGAAGACAGTAAACAAATAATATGGTTGAAAAAAATAAAAGCAAGAGAAAATATCAAGCAGAGATCACTTGTACCTGATTAGATACAATCCAGTTTACAAAAGGCAAACGTAGCTCGTAACAAAGATCAAGCATGTCTCCTCCATTGGTCAAAAGTTTAACTGCATTTCTGGTTTTTTTTTTTTTTCCAGATTAACAAAAAGAACCATCAGGCAGCTCTCGCACAAAAGTAGTCAAGTCCAAAAGAAATTTTCAAACATGGGAGCAAATAATTTTATCCAGAGATTGACCTATTATACTCTGGAAAATCATCAAATAATCGCATTGTTAATATTTCCAGCCGCTTTGCACAATGCTGCCTAAATGCTTCCCTTGTGACATCTACAACATAATCACGAACCTCAGTTTCTAAATCTGTGTATTGAACGGACGAATTATTATCTCCAACTGACCCAAATCTACCAGCCCCTTGGAGGTTTTCTTTTGCTTTTAACATCTCTTTATCAAAGATAGCATTTACAATTTTATCATATATCCTTGTATCCTCAGACGTCTGCATAGTTTGTAGGATATCTGAACATAAAGAGAGAACAATTACTATAGTTAATGTAAGGGAAAAAAATTAACTTCAAAGAGGGATTTCAAAGTCTTTGATGTCAGTACTAATAAAAATACAGAAGAACACCAATCTACAACAAATTTTCTCCACTATTAACTCTTACTGCACGCTTCAAGATCATCTTATTGATCCTATTTGTATACTCCTAGGTATTCGTGCCTTTGGCACTTGGCCTCTCGTCATAATCCTAATAACTGTATTATCCATCAAAAGGAAAGACTACTCATCAAGAAGCAAAATACGTTCTTTGATTTCTGTCAAAGCTGCTCAAGTTGCACCAGAGCAAGTGAACTTACTATATGCGCAAGACATTCTTTACGAAATATAGTCAATCATAATAATTATAAACGAGCTCAGATATAGCACATTCAGGAAGGCTGCTAGGCACTTGTAACTAAGATACACATGAGAAGAATATATTTTTAGTGATGCAAATTTTAACAGGGTAAAATAAAGAACTGTGAATAAATCTGATTATAGACACATAGGAGCATAAGGTCTAGCTAAAACTAGCATAACTACCACAAGAAAATTTCAGACATCCTTTAATTTCAAATTAATTTATATGTTCTGAGTTCATGCTTTGTACAATGTCAAAGGAATTTTATTTTATGAATCAATCACCAATGGTGTACGATGTTCATTTCTTTTCTTTTGAGGAACAATTCAAGCCTAAATAGGTCCAATAAGAGATTAAACGGCGGCATTCACTACCAATATCTTAAACACTTGCCATCTAATAACTCAGACTCCATCCGTGGAGGAAACACATGCTGTAAAAGTTCTGTGGCAGAAGGACGATCTCTTGGACTTGGAGACATTAGCTGCCGGAGCAAGGCTTCCTGTTCTGGAAACTCAGCAACCCATGGAGAAGGTAGTTCTCCTTTCTGCTTCAGATCAGATAATACAATATGTCTCTCCATTGCTGTTGCAAACGGATGCCAAAGTTCAAAGAAAACTACCCCTAAGCTGTACATATCAGCCTGTTACTCAAGCAAACCAAAGAATTACATAATGAGGATTCAAGTAAATAAATCATGACTGCAGAGGAGGAGAACAAGCATGAACCAAACACAACTACTACAACAAGAAGCCTTATCTCACTAAGTGAGGTCACTTGTATGAATTACATGACACCAATCTTCTAGAACAGTTATTAACCAATTACTTATGGAGAGTACCAAGGCACAAACCTTTTCATCAATCTTAGGCCACCCTTGCTCAATTTCAGGAGCTGTATAGAAATACGTCCCAATTTGTCCAGTGCCATCAAAGGAAACTCCATTTGTGTCACCTGGATATCCCAGATCTTGATCCAACTGCTCCAACTTCAAAAACTTGGCTGACAATGAAAAATATTGAAGAATTTAACTTCATCCACAGAAAGCTGCTAATCCACGGAAAACAGCCAGCATTTTAATGTGATTATGACAGATAGTGTTAATTATAGCTATGTGAAATTAGTTTCCCAATACTTGTTTCAATTTTTGTGATTGAACTAGCTTTAATATATTGTTCTACATGATGACGTAACCTAACAGGCCACAAGAAAGAGCAAACAGAGAATAGTATGTGCTGCCATCACATATGAGAAAATAAATGGGAAAAAAATTTAATAATAAATTAGAATGCGGAACAACTAATTTTTCCAAGAAGTCTAAATGTCCATAAATGAAATACCCCAATAAAACTCATTTCCCAAACAAGAAAGCCTTCAACATGTCTACAATGCTCTGTCCTCTGAGTATCTTCTCAAGGGGAAAAAAATCCTCTGTTTGTTCCCATTGGACTACTAGGCGTCTCGAATCATTTTATTCACCATCAAAAGCATTTTTATAAACAGAATACATTAATCAGCTAACTTTAGACATGCACACCCGAATATAAAATTATTATTTGCTAAAGCAAGCTAGAAGTAACTTCAGATGTCATACTAAAGAGAATATTAAATCATATCAGTTGCTGGAACACGGACCTTACCAAGACCAAAATCACCAATTTTGATATCATTCCGTGCATCAAAAAATATGTTACTTGGAGTCAAATCCCGATGAATTATTCCCTGTCCATGTATGTGCGCCAAGCCTTCTACTATTTGACGAAACAAATGCCATGCCAGTTCTTTGTCAAAATGAGTGTAAGACTCAAATACCTGGCGGAGGGTTCTTTGAGCACCAACGATGCCCACCCCCAAAGAAAAAGAAGCATAATAAAAAACCATGGTAAATAGAACATGATAGAATCAGAACGTGATTAAGGGAGCATTACAAACTCTTTATGTGAAATTAATTAAAACTTTTGTTTCCTTTATGTCTCTGGGTACAGGAATGTAAATGCTTGCAGAGTTTACTGCAAAATCAAGAATAAGACAGGGCATTCCTCAATATTCTGCTTCAGTTTCTATTCTAGTTATTGTATTAGGATAAGATCAGTTTTAGTGTATGGTTTTTATTAAGAAAGGATACACATTAAGTCACGCTTTTAATATGCTCTCAGTTCATCTTATTATGTACATGCACACAAATGCTATTCAATAAACTAAGTTCAAACGACCACTGACATTGTATTTCTTCATAAGCAAGGGGTCAAAAGGGTGTTAGTCAACACAAGTTGAGCTGATGACAATCAGGATATGGACGCCTAAGACACATTACTTCACCATTTTCCTTTACAGTATTAGTACGCAGGCAATAGGATTCCAGGCATAATTAATTACTCCAAACCTCCATAAGAAAAGCCAATTTTCCACTCTTTAAATGCTTCAAGCTTCACATCCAAATCATACAAATAGAAACAAATGAAGGGGCAGGACTTCTCCATTGATATATGTGGAAGTAATAAGACGTTTTTAATTCTTCTACTTTTTGCTGATGTAAATATAGTAACATCTGAGGGCACTATCATACTTTCATCTTAGCTCTAAGGACATATTTGGAAAACTGTCTTTGGCTCATGTCTATAAATAGAGGCCCATTCATTCAAAAGCAAAATGTTTTGAACAGAAGTCATTGAATGTCTTACCTGGGACAGTACTCCATTTGAATGTAAAGGAAAGTTGATTCAAGCTGATTCTCATGTCCGAGAGTCTCTTGGGACCTTGTAGCTTTAAAGCTGAAGGTGGAGCTCAGTGGAGTTCTTGAACCCCAACCAGCATCAGCATAAGAATCAGCAACACCAGTTTCAAACCATGCCTGGAAGTTATACAAATATTATGACAGAAAAAGGAAGTTATATTTGCATCTACATGTTGGCTCTACCAAAAAACTACATGCCCCTCTCAAGATATCAGCAAAAGCGGCATCTAAGACATACAAGCTAACTATCCAAAATACCAGGGTAGAATACACAGGGGAGTTAAAAACGAAAAGGAACCAAAAAAAAAAAAAAAAGGCAAAGCATAGACAGACAGTAGACACTTCAAAGACCAATGCCTACGAATGAATGCATATTACTCAACGGAGCTCCCATAGTTGGCAAACCGAAGGATAAAATCAGAAATTAGATACCTGGTAATACCGAACAACATGCTGATGTTGCAGACGGGAAAGAGTTGCTACTTCCCTGATTATCTCCCCACAAGTGAACAACAGAGAAAGAAACGATGATGGAGAAAAACATGCGGGAAATAGAAAGTTAAGGAAAAGGAATATGACTGACAATAGTCAAACAGAGATATCAATTGTTTCTTTTGCACAATCTCATAAAGGTAAAAAAGAAGTGATATGCAAAGGGGGAAAAATCAAGGGAAACGCACAACATCATGACAAAAGACAATAAACAATAAAAAGGCACCTGGCTAAATAACTGTAATCTCTGAATATGCATCTCAGTAGTTACCAAGTACACTTCCTAAGAATGGATTGACTGTTTTCTCTCACAACTGACTATTTTCTGTTCAGATTGAACAAGTTGCTAATCATAAGCTTCATTATTTCTGTTCCATTATTTCTGTCACTCTTGTTAACAGTTCACAAGATAGGTTACGAATATAACACATTAATTAATATCAGCTTTAAATAAGACTTCAGCCAGTTTATGGCATTGCATTTCCTCTAGTTTCTTCTTGTTCCTTATGCTTCCCCTTTTATCACATTTTTGTAATCACATAAACTCGGTCACAAAATTTAAAAGTCAAAGTCTGCATGAGATAAACTTGAAAAGGCAGAGATAAATGTTACACTTGCTAAGTATAAATTGAAACTTGTCTCAGGCGCGTCTGTCCAATATCAAATATGACTATTACGACTATTGTTGTTGAACTACTGAACAATAAGAAAATTTTTATTCCCCCCCCCCCAATACTTTAGAACACAAATTCACCTTAAAATCCTGTCATTTACTGGCATGCTTTTGTCATTAAGGCGAATTTTCTTTACTGCATACTGCCTTCCGTCAAGTTTGTTTCTGCACAACACAACATGACCAAAACCACCATGACCTGTTTCATAATGCCAAGTAAACATTTTAGCTAAGATTAAACAATAAACAATTATCAAACCTAGTTAATTGCATTACAATATTCTATGAAATACTACCTGACATTGTGCCCCAATATAATATGAAATATTAATGCTAACAATAACTGAATCTACCTATTTACAGAGAGAGATAATAACCAGCCTAACCACAAGTTATTAATTGTTTTTAATTTAATTTGACACTGATTGTACTTTATTTTTCACTATTTCTTGTTATATTTAAGGACACAGAAATTTGATTAACTCAACAGATTGTCTCACAGGTTCTGATAGACTGTTTCATTGTGCAACAAACCTAGCTGCTTCTATGTAATTATTGCATGATCAATTTTTCAAATTTCTCAGCCAATCCCAAAACCTATGCTACATGACATGAGCATCAGCAAATAACCGCTAACACACACTCTCATGTTTCACGATAGTCGCACCCTATCTCCTACTTTTTCAATCAACATCTTCAACCTTGGCCCCCTTCTTCCTTCAGCAGTGTATGATCAAGTACTATTCAACACCTGATTCTCTATATATATACACAATATCTCATATATACTGGAAATAAAGGCATAAGAAAGCATTGCACTAGCATCCAGTAGAAATGTAGCTCAATCAGTTTGCATAAAAATTATATCAACTTTTAACCAAAAGAGAATAAAAGCTATCAGTAGAATATGAACAACTAAAATAGAAATATATCAAGTTTTTTACCAAGAGGCCGTAGCTCCTCAAAGTCATTCAAATATCGAGAACTTATGGGAACCGTAGTTGGGCCTCCAAGATCAGAAGGTTTCCAAAACTGTGATATTTTAGATGATACCTAGATAAAAACAACAAATTACTACTGAGAACTGAGGACAATTATTTTTGCAATATAGAGAAGTGTGATTACCCACCAGGTGTTTCTGGAAAACATGATCAAAAGTTTTGTTAAAACAAGAAGGTGGCTCAGATGCCATATCCTTTGCCCAATCAGAAATGATCTAAGAATAGAACTCAGAAGGATTAGGGTCATTCTATAATAGGAGTCCTCCAGAACTAAATCAACTTCAATTAATACCCCTAAATTGTACAGCTCTGAAGCTATTTGCGGCAAAGAGTTAGCCAAAGGACTTTTTGAGGAACAAACAAGGCGAAGCAAGTGGACCTAGTCCATAATAAAGCAGTACATGGTCAGTGTTTGATAAAATACAAATGAGCCAAAAACAAAAAAAAAATTCAATGTTACCATCATCAGATCCCTTTCATCTGTTTGAAGTTCTCGATGATGAGCCATGAATGCAGAAGACTGAGGCTCTGAAAACGCAGTTGCATAAATACCTTCTTCATTATCCTCTGATGTATACTCATCAAGGATAAAATCTTGCTGAAGCAGTAAATAAATACGTTGTAAGAGAAATTAAAACACTTTTGTACCACTTTTTAACATAAAAGAACTACCGCAAATGAATGCATGTCACAATGATACCAACTGAATAACAGAATTTATACAATTCAATGGGACATGAATACTCTGTTGTCCATCCACCCCCAAACAATTCACAATATAAATCTCCATCTTGAAATGTCTTACCAAGTAAGGCTCTTCTCATCATGATTGACCAGCAAGCTCCTAATAGATCATGAAATGTGATTGCATATTGCACACAGAATATATATCATAAAATTTTGAAATAGTATGATAGTTAAAACCAACATTGCCCGTTCATCAAAATCCTATTGCACAATGGTTTCACATATCAAACTTAAAGACAGTCTATGAAAGAGCATTACAAGATTCTAAATTACCTCCGTTCATATTCCTCATTTTAAATTAGCACTAAACAGTCTATTGTACTCTGTAGCGTTTCTTAAGTCTTTTATCACTACTGCAAATTCTTAAATTAAAATTCATAATTTTCAATTGTCATTTCAGAATCAATGACCTTGACCTTAAGCCAATTTCTGACAAGGGAGAACAAGTAAACAAAATCCTCAAATTTATTGAGAAATTCCCATCTTTTTACCATTAATGCCACAAATGAACCTTGTAAGAAAATTACCTTCATGATTAATGCATTTTTAAAATTAACACCCTGACTGTCTGAGAGTCTGAGACACTCTTTTAGGTTTATGGCAATAAGAGAAAACACTTTCTTTGCATGAAGTATATCATGCATAAACAATGAGAGGTTGAATCTCAATGATGTTATTCAGATGAGTATGTCAGATACATATATAATCAATGAAATGCAAGGATAGCTATAATATCCCATATTCTAGCCTAGAAATTAAGAGATATAATCAAATCTACCAGATACATATAATCTGGTACATTAAGAAATAAATACAGAATAAACTAACACTTCTAATAATCCCAAGACTCTAACAATGCACAAATTAATGATGCTGCAGAAACAGAAGTATTGAGTTCTCATTATATTTTAATGATGCTGCGCAGAAACAGAAGAAGTAAACAGTGCTCATTATATTTACCTCTTTCTCATTTTCATTGCCATTCCCTATGAGATCCACTGCATGACATCTACTTGAATTAGATGAAGGCATGCTCTTGTTGCTTTCTTCACTGTTTTCCCCCGAGGTATCTAATTTGGCAGTTGGAGAAACTAACAGGCCTTCCTTTGTTTCTTGTATTTTAGGTGGTTTTGAAGTTATATCAGATTTATTTTCCTCAGTCCCATAAACATGCTCATGGGCATCTAACTTTGAGGCTGGGACTGGAGAAATTTTACCACAAGTTTCATCCATTCCAAAACCCCAATTCCATGATTCTCCATAGCCATTGAAGAGGTCTATGAAACCATAAACAAAAGAACTTCCATTTGAAGTTGCTATATCCTTGAGAAACAATTCTTCATTGCTTTCCATAGTTGAGCGCAAATTCTTCTATGAAAGGCAATGCAAACTTATCACCATCAAGTTGAGAAGCAAAATAACTTGTTCTTACAAAATCTATTAAAAGCAGTATCAACCAATTTCTTCACAGTAAGAAATTAGTGGTGCACTGAAAAGAAAAAAAATAGAAGAAGGCAAAGCTCACAGAGTCATTTAATTTGCCAGCAGGCTCAATACTGGACATAAACTCTTGAGCAGCCTCTACCAAATTAAAGATCATTACTCTTCCCTCCCTGGCATTTAAATTAGCCTGAAAAGACAAGAATAAAATGAAAAAAGAATACAAAGAAAAGTACTACTTTATACAGAATGAAATCACTGAAGAAAGATACGGGTAATCCAGAGCATGCAAATCTATGGCAAGGCAGAGGAATAGAATGGACACAAAGGATTTTATGGGAATAAAAATTTATGAATCTAAACTAAAAGACAGAACATTGTAATTCCAGCAGAACCAAATCCGGAAAGTTCCACTTCAAAACCCAATAAAACTCCTTGTATGATACATGGCAAGAGCCTAAGAATTAGAAAACCAAAATAACCAAATACTTTTAGAGAATATGTATTCATTTGCTAATCAGTATCCTTGTGATTAAAAAAGGAGTGACTGAAGAGGTTAATATTCACTAGGAATTGATTTGTATTAATTAGGAAGCTACATATAGAGACTCCTACCAACGTATAAATACCCATCATTCATGTGAATAGAACAAGCAGAATATTAATTAGGATGCCAAGGTACCAGAGATTTTTCTTTCTGATTTGTGAAGTGAAAGCACATTGGGGAGGGAGGTGGTTCAAGAATCGTATATAATGCAATTTGTGTGTGACACTAATATGCAGGAAAGAGACGGAGGAAGAACATCGAGAAGAAAAAGAGAGATGAATATATAGAAATAGAGAGAGAGACAGAGAGAGAATTCAACTCACATATCTTAAACAAAGCCTAATTACAAACTACCCAAGACAAACTATTTATAGCCATGGTCATTAACAACCTACACCCTCTTAAAACCACCCTAACTATCTCATTCATTTACAATTGCATGTCAATGCCCCCTCTATGAAAGACCATTGTCCCAAAGGATCAAATACATTTGAAACTGCACTAGACCACACCCTAGGAGCATCTCAACCAGTCATCACCTGTAGCAAATCAAAACAAAAATTAATGTACGGAATAGTTGAGAATATGCAGGCCAATTTAGGACAACAACCTATTAGTAATGACACCAACTGATAAACACGAGACTTGTAAATTCCCATTTGCACCAATGAAACAGAATTTGAGAACCAAAAGGATTAGTGCTAATATAATCTCAGCCTTGATGTGAATACGATCACAATTCACACAAAAAGATTACATCACTAGTTAACAGCATGTAACAGTTTAGTTTATTGAAGAAACAGACGCCCATCAACTTAGACCTGATCATGGAGGAGAGACATAAGTTTATCAGCGTCACTTTCTGATAAACCATTCTCAGGAGTAATTTGCAACTTTGGACACTTGAAAGGATAGCCAGGTAAGCACCTAGAGCGAGAAAGAGAGAGAATTAGCAACAACATTGTAGCGGATAAACACAATGCCAATCAACCAAAGCCTTACTAACCTAACAACAAGAACAGCAGAAACATCTACATCCTCATAGCCCATGCCCTTTGAATACGGTCTGCTTGATTTCAAGCAGAGAACAATTATGAGATGTGAACAGAAAATTATCACGCCTGATACAGAAGCAGAGAAAAGCAGCAAAGAAACAAACCTGAGCGTAATAACTATCTGAGGAGGTGATCCAGGAAGAACATTGCAGTCTTCTTGGAAAATTGCACATCTAAAACCCAAAAATATCATATGAATAAGATCATGAAGTTAACGACATTTGCTGCAGCCCAAATTCACAAATGACCCAACTTTCTCAGATAAAAAACAGTCAGCTGCCTCAAGGAAGTAGTACGAGCAAAAAAAAATTTACTTAAAAAAAAAAAATCATTATCTGGGTTTTCCACTTAAAATGTAGTAGACATATGTCTCATACCATATAGCAGGCTATCTTCTGTCAAACTCTTGTTCGTTTGCAACGTCATTAAGGTTCTGTGTGTTTTCCCTATCTTATCCCAACCTTTCTCTTTTCAAAAAATGTTTTCCTTAAGGAAAGAAAACAGAATCTTTAGAATATGTTAACATACCTCCACTGCTGGTAGAGGAAAACCATGATTACAAACAGTGCAGATACTACTTTGCAACCAATAAGTCATAAGTTTTTTTTTGGGGGGGGGGGGGAAGGAAAAGTAATGGAACCCAAGGAGTTTTGTGATAAAAATTACGGGACTGTGATTAATAATCAAAAGGAAGCTCCTCTAGTTGTAATAAGAAGAGCAATTACAGCGAAACTGAGACTACAAAACAGTCACAGAACCTCTGGCTTTCGAGCGGCCAGGACGCTCCTCTCATGCGCTCATGATACAAAAATAATCCCTTAACCCCCTCCCCTCACGACAACGTCTCTAATAACACCAGAAAAAGACAACACAGTCCCCAAAATAACCCTAAAGCAAAAGCAGCAAAAGCTAACAGCAAGCCTAGAGCCGCCTACTCGCCTACGTCTTTCTCCAAATTAGTAGGAACCCCCAAGTCAACCGTTTGACCCACAAAAGGTGTATTTCTATTTTCGTGTATTCCTCGAAGTCTCCTTTTGTATGTCTGTTTATACGGCTGAACACTATGGGTGGTCATATCAAAAAGACAAAGATTAAAGAAGAATCCTAAATGCCAAAAACAAAGTAGAAAGCAGGGAAATGAAATAAGATAAGGGAAAACACACAAAACCCTAGTGACGTTGCAAACCAACAAGAGTCTGACAGAAGATAGCCCGCTATATTGTATGAGACATATGTCTACTACATTTGAAGCAGAAAACCCAGATAATGGCAAAGCCAGTTACGTGACAAGAAATCCTATACATACTCCTCCAATTGCACTATTGATCTAGGTTTGATTCCTCCAAGTGCCTCATCGAATTATCCTAAGCTGCTGTCCAATATTGTCATAATGCATTAAAACGAAATCCTGAAGGACTCGGCTATCTTTCTATCAAAACAGAATCTTATGATACAGATCTACTATTCCTCTATTTCTGAATCAGACATGATTCATGAATTACTAGTATAAGTCAAATGAGCACCCACTTAAATTATTACAACGCCAATCAAACAAACTTTACAGTATTATCTGGTATATTTGCCGGTTCCTTGATGTTACAAGGTTTAACTAGTTTCCTTTCACAAGGCTGGTGAACCTGAGTAGCAAGAGCAAGACGTAACAGACTGATAGCACTCTATTTTTAATCCAAACAGGTTATTCATCCCGATCAAATCCATATTAATCAGAGTATTTCGAAAAAGAAAAATATATTTTATTAATTCTCCGACTCAATTCTATCCAGGTTTCCTAGCCCATGTTAGGCTTCAATTAACGAGTTCACAGGTTAATCGAGGGCGCAATGAATATAAGTAGCAATAACTTAAGCAAACAATACACTTACAGAGCTGTTATTTCTTCCGATAGTTCATTATCATCCCCACTAAATTGAGAAACGTGATCTTTCAGGGGTGTTCTTCCCTTAATTCTCCTTCCACTACCTCCTCCACGCTTCTTCTTCCTGGAACTGTGCCCCATTCTTTTCTTTCACCCAGCAAGAGGAAAACTCTTTTGCTCCTTCTTCTACTCTCACTAACTTGATTCACCTTCTCACTCAACCCACCACATTAACTATGTTTAGTCACCGGCTCAAACGATCGATGCAAATTCCCAGAGAAGTGATATAAATGAGCAATGAGAATTGAGAAATTGGAAATGGTCATATTGTCAGAGCACGGAGCAGCGAAAAGTAGGATAATTTACGCGGAGACCACAGTGCTTGTTTCGCATCACTATGTCACGTGCTCACCTCCCATCCTGTGCTTAAAATCAGGATTAAAAAGTGCTCATGAGAAGAGATAGAAACAGGTCAGGCTTGGCTTCAGCCAGACTAGGCTTGTGGTAAATATTGGGTCTGGTTGGTTGGGCTTCTGAGGGGCTTATAAGCAGCTTAAAGTCAGCATAAGCCCGATTGGAATTCAGATGCTGTTTGGATGGGCTTGGAAAAAAAAGTGGCTTATGAATTTTAAGCTCCTCAACGCACGTTCTGGCCCAAGCCAATTTTTATGGCTTATTGAATCATAAGCTCTTACTTTTTACCGTTGGATCCTATCAGCCGGTCCTCAATTTTTTTCCTCAAGTCTTCGGTCTTTCTTCGTCTCCTGGAGCCTTCGTTCTTTCTTTTCTTCTTTCCCATCTGCTCTCCCTTCTACCCGACCGGCGACCCTCATCCTGCCTCCTCCGTCGCCTTGTCGTCCGACCACCGAGAGTTGCCGTGAGCTGCGCCGCGTCTCCGCCGTGAGGTCCTCGTGTTGGGTGTGGCTTCGAGTGACCAAAAGCCTGGTCCTTCACGCGAGCTGCCTCCCCTCATCGTCCATCCCCAGAACCACCGAGAGTTGCCGTGAGCTGCGTCGCGTCTCCGCCGTGAGGTCCTCGTGTTGGGTGTGGCTTCGAGTGACCGAAAGGCTGGTCCTTCACGCGAGCTGCCTCCCTCATCCTCCGTCCCCAGAACCACCGACACTTGCCGTGAACTCCGTCGCCGCCGTCAGCTGGTCCATCTCAGGTGTGCGTCGAAGATCTGAGCCTGATCTACCTCTGCCAAACTTCGATTGATCTGCTCTGAGCCAGGTTGACCGATTCGTGTTGTATTGCTTTTCGGTGAATGTAGGATACGGTATTAATCAAAGCATGTGAGGGTGTGTGTTTGTTGATCTGGTGTGAGCTAATAGATTGACTGATCGAACCACCGTGCTGTGTTATTTTTTCTTCTTGGCCTGGTTTTGTGGTGTGTTTCGGTGATGAATAATTTTTTGTGATGAATGCTTGACATTTGTTGATTTTTAGATCTGAGTTTTGGGCTAAATCTGGCACAGATGTAATTGCTACCTGCAAATGAGTGTTGTAGGCGACAGGAAGAATGAGCCAAAATACATTCCATATCAATTAATGTTGTCAAATGATCCGGTTCTTATTAGTTTATGATAAGTTTTCTTCTAATTTACACATCAATAAAACATTTTTAACCAATTTAAGTAATTTGACCTAAGTATTCTTTTTTTTTTTTTGCCTTCAATTGTTACCTATCATATTCTTATCAATTAGATTATTAAGGGTGAAGGATATTTTAGGGAAAAATTATGATTACTCTTATACGTTTATAAGGAGAATATAAGGATTATATGCAATGATTATATGCACAGATCTAATGTCTTGGGATTTCTTATTAATTTTAGATGAGAAGAATATGCAAGAACAATTTTTTTTATCTGGGTAGAACTTATTTCTTACATAATGTAGCTTGGAGTTCAAAACTTTGTTATCCATTTAAATTATGTTTAGTTGACTTCTTCGTATTAAATTAATTTAAATTTATTGTATTATGTTTTTTTTTATCATGTTGCACTTTGTTTCTTAAATATTTTTATGATTTCTCTACAGTTCGTAATTCTAATTCACTAAATAAATTTTACTTCATCATTATATTATCTCTATTCAATTTTTTCCTTCTTTCACTTATATTTAAAATAATTTTTTAGATTACTCTAAATTTTAAAAATTTAATTCACTTATTCATATTAAATTATTTTAATTCCATTGTATTATGTGAAATTATTTTTTCCTATGTTTTTACTATTTATTAAAACTCATACCTATTTTAGTCATTTTACAACCAAACTTACTTTTACTCAACCATAATCCAAACAGCTTTTATCCATTTCACTTTTGCAAACGGGCTTTTCTGAACTCCAATCCAAACACAATTCAGCTTATTCAATTTAGCTTATATCCCATTTCACTTATCCATAAGCTGCTTTTCCAATAAGCAGCTTTTCCAATCGCTCATCCAAACGGGCCCAGTTGATACAAACCTTTATACTATTTCCGGTCTTAATTATAAGAGTCAGTTGATTAATTTGAGGAGATTAAGAAAGTAAGTTGAAATAGTTATTTATCCTAAATAAGTATTATCTTTCCTAAAATATCTTTGTTAATCAAGTATATTGATTAGAATTATCATTGTTAGAAGGGTACTTTGAAAAAAAATATATAAATATGAGAGACAAAGTAGATTGGGATCTTATATTTAGAATTAAAATAAAAGTCAAACAGGATATTATATTAATAACCGGAGGTAATATTTAAATAGATCATGTCACAGGTTCCTGAAAGCCGTCTGACTTATTTCGACCGCTATTTATAAGTGCTTATAACATGAAAGGTAAATATCAATCTCGGCCATCCCTCCGTGTTTTAAAACCTTGGTCCAGCCGGAGGCCGAGTTAAAACTCAGGAGAGGTTGGCTGTTCATGATGAAAACATCCAGATGAGGGCGGCATAGCATCATCAACTCATCATGAGTTATGTCAGTCAAATAATTAGAAAATATGTTTTTTAAAATCAACAGTTATAATATTATCTTGATTTGAAATTATATATCTAATAAACTAAAATTTTATTTAAAATATAAAACATTAATTAAATTAAATTTGGATCGCATATATTCAAAATAATGACCCAATTAATAACAAGTACTTTCACGATTATGACCAGTGTGATTATAAAAATGATTTCTTGATCCTGATCACTAATCATGTAAGAATAATGGGAAGTAAATTCTGAATTGTAAAAGTTCTAAATCTCTAATCTTGACAAGCTAGAAGGTCAAAAAATGCAGGCGAAAAAAATGTCAAAAATAAATCCGATAAGTTTCGAAACTCTGCTTACTTTAGTTTTCTATCGTTTAGAAAGAAAAAAAAAATAACTGAAAGATGGCATATTTTCACTTTTCATCTCATTTTTTTGGAATTCAAACTGAAAGCGATTATTGTAATGGATATATATATATATATATATATATATATGTTTTTTTGCCACTTTACATATATCTCTTTACTTCAAAAACATAGATAAAGTCAGTTCGGCTGCCTTTTTCTCCCTATTTCGCAAAATCTTTTCCTTTTTTCCTAGTGAAGGTTCGAAGTAATTTTATGTTTATATTTTAAATTAATTACGTTGTTCACATTGAATTCTCTGTTTTATATAAAAGGACAATTTATTCATATATAAAATGAGCACATCAGGCTGGTCAAAAAAAAAAATGAGCACATCAGGATAAAAAGGCCCTCCAACTCCTAATGGATCATTGAGAGGCCCAACATACTAAACTCAAAATGAGGTAGATTGCAACCAAACATAGTGGGGGAGAAAAAAAGACAAACACAAATCCTTAAACAGTCCACGCAAGACAAGCAAAAGCCCATTATAAGCTGCCGGCTCATATAAGCAACCCAAAGTCCATCACGCAAATCAGCACTCCAGTAACCCGAACAGGAGCGTTGATAGACTGACCATGTTGAAGACCTGGCGAAAAACGCCACCACAAAGCGCTGCGCTAACCCGATGACTCATGACGTCTACACCTGCAGTTTAGCGTTTGAGGGTGCCACAATGACAAGCACTGAGACAACCAGAAAGGAAGCGGTGATAAAAGAACCAGAACACCATCACACAAGTAGAATAACCAAAATCTTTCTTTTTATTTTTTCTCACCCAAAAAGCAACTTATTGGAATGGCCAAATCACTGAGAGTGGAAACAGCAACTTAATGGAAGCATTTTTTTCAAATGAAAATATCAAAATTTATAAAAAGATTACATTATGTTCAGGAAAAAAGAAAAAAAAAAGATTATATGAACAACTCAAACTGCCTAGATGAAAACAGCTTGAAACAACAACACAATAAAACACTATAATAGAAACTAGAAAGTAACAAGCAACAATAGGGTTGAATAATGAAAAGACTAAGTTTCTCACAGCATTACATAATGAATTAAAATTTGAATTTTCACTGAAACAAAAAAAGATACCTACATTTAATATCCAACAACCCTTTAAATTGGATTGTCCTTAATAAAAAAATGCATGTGCCTAAAAAGATAACAAACAAAGAGGAAAACACAAGCTGCTAACAGTAGAATGACATCGATGACAAAAACTTGTCGAGACTCTTGAAGAAGGCAAGGAAATTTCATGCAATAAGTAACGTTATATCACGATGAGACACAACAGCCCACTAAATCAAATGTGCCCCATTGCCAAACTCCTAAAAGATGGTCTCAAAACTCCTAAACTCCAAACTAGGCTCATAGTATAACTTGCACTGTACTCGACATAAATGCGAGGATAACGACGTAAAACTTGCCACGCGTCCTTATAATTAACCTAAATTATACTCCCCACAAAGTTAAGGGTCCGCCTGCCTTCACTGGGCAAGCCATACTCATCCCCAACAGCCGTTTGAGAGCATGAGTACCCATCCTCCTTCTCTTTCTTTCCCTTTTTTTTTTACTTTTAATATTGATTTTTATTTTTTTATTTAAGCTGTATTTAACATTTAAAAGTATTTTTCAGCAGTTCCCAAGTCCTAAATTAATTGATTTTTAATGCAAAGAGAACTCTAAAATATTTTTCAATAATACCCGATATTCTAAATTCATTATTTTTTAATGCATTCAGAAATATTTTTTCAATAACATTAATATTTTTTATTAGCACCTAATATCCTAATCTAAATTAAAAAGACTCTGGGAGTACCAAAAATTAATTAATTTATAACACTAGATACTCCAAAAAAATATTCTAAATTATGAGATACAATTCAAAACAAACAAATAAAATTAAAATAATGAAAAAAGAAAGAATGGGCATCTCATTCCCTGCACATCGAATAGGGAATACAGATTCCACAATTGAGTTGTCTTCTATATTAATAATTTTTTTCAATTATCTCTTTTAATAATACACATTAAATAAAAATTCTCATCAATAAAAGAAATTTCCATTACAAAAAATTCAATACATATTTTTCATAACTACTTACTTAACTTAAAAAATATTCTAACCCTACTTAAAACTACTCAATTACTCATGTCACTATAGAGCCATGCATCGATTGTTGTTCCCAAACAACAGGAATTCGGTCTCTTCTCTAACATTAAATTGCCGAAAAGGCCAGGACAGGGATAACAACGACAATTCACCATTCTCGAACAAAAAACATACCCCCGGACCTCCATCGTTTAAGCCCCCTTCCCTTTAATCCTTTTTTTTAATTACACAATTTTTATATAACGTATATATATGTATGTGTGTATGTATAGATATGAGTAAAATAACTGCTTTGATCCAGAGATGGCAACGCCAACTATTCCCCACTGCAAGATTGACCCTCTAATTCAAAACAACATAAACACACTACAAGCCTGAATCTAATTCCCCAGCATTACACTATATCAACAGCTACTGGCTTGCCTCGACCCATTGAAAATCCTTTTGTGCCATCTGGCATACGAGGACCCGGAGGCTGCTTGGCCACAACCTGTTCGACAGGACTCGAATTATTTGAAGGGGGAGTTCCTATGGGATTGGTGCGACTAAACTGGTGACAATGAGATCGGCTTCGTCCCTTGCCCCGTCCCCGGCTACGACCCTTCCTCTGGCCACTCTCTTTCTCAAAATTATGCTCTTCCCCCTGCCAAATAAAAGGCATGTCAGATACAAGCAAAAAATAACGGTCATGCCCTACAAAACTAGATACCTCAAACAAAAGCGCTGAACAAATCACAATTTTTTTATTACGCTGCTTTAAATAATCTCGTTAAAATGAAGTTTTAGTAATGTTCGATTGACTCATGGAAACATCTTACGATGAATTTGGGATAGCTAGCTTTCTCTTTCACAAAAAAAAAAAAAAAAGATGTTTCAGGATTAACTTTACTAATCACAAAGCCAAGTCTCGTATCTCACAATTTAACCTGCAAGAATGTAGGGATCACCTTTCAGTTGCTGAACACTATCGAGAAAATTACCAGTGCTTCAGAGGTTACCAGTCTAGTATTACTGTTACTAAAAATTAAAAATAAAAATCAGCGCTTTGTCAAATTACCCAAAAGGAGCATTCATAAAATAAACATCATTTCAGAATAAGGACTTTTTGTAATGCGATGGTGTGAAATACAAAAATAAGTTTTGGAAGGTAGTAGCAACAACTCTTCACTTAAGTTTTAAACGGGGAATCAATTCTGACGCCACTATAATCAATTGAAATCAACAATGATCTTCCTAACATGAAAACGGGGAACTAATTAACAAAAAGGACAACACTGCTAAAGAATACTCCTTTTTTTCATCCTGATACTGATGGCATTCAGGATTATCATTAGTCAGTTATTTTATGATGAATATACAATTCTTGTTACTATCCCCAGTCTTTTAACAACTCCTTTAAACCTCCTTTTTTTATATATTGCACAAAATAAGATATCAATATATGCGAGAACTTACTGCAGGTTCATGCAGCTTAGAATCCACTAAGTAAGAGTCTTCTGCTAGTTTCTCATTCACCTGTTGCTCAGGCACAGAAGTATAATCGTGCTCACACTCCACTTCAACTTCAAGCCCCTTCTTTCCACGAACTTGTGCAGGTTTTGACTTGATTTAAAAAAAGAAAAAAGAAGAGCATATAAATAGCATAATCATACAAGTTACATTACAAGTCTATCTTCTTTTGTCAGCATTAAAAGAAAACAAAAGCATGCAGTGGCCCGAGGAATCCCTATAGAAACATTATTAAGACTCCTCCAATGCAATAGAAAGATCTGACTCTGCTGAAAATATTCAGTTGAAATTTGAAAATCAAACACTATCTCATGAGGGACATTAGGTACAAAGACTGTCATTTCATTACAAGAATCACATCACTGCAATCAGTTTATAAATATTTGGTCACTGACAAAGTGACAATATTTCTTGGAATCTCAGACACTTTCCAAAATACCCTTTTATTAACTATTCATTTTCACCCACAAAATCACTTTTTTCATTCTATTTTTCTTTCCATTCTATGCACCGAATGATTTACCGTATATGATAAACAAAAGTATCAGAAGATCAAACAGAAAATTATAAGATCCTACCAGATACATATTATGTTATTTTATGCTTAGTGAATAAATATCCTAATGATTGAATTAGTTTTAACAGCCGTTTATTTTATTAGTTTCTTCATTAATTAGTGCCATTATTTATTAGGGTTATTTCTCTAATTATGTTATTTTATTTTTCAGTAAATAAATATCCTTATTTTAAGGAGAATCATAGGCGGCTAGGACATTGTATATACACTTATACAGAACTCTATACGTTCTTTCTCGATGAAATAAAATGACCTGCAGTAGAGAAAAGAAAATGGCAAAAGAGAAAGGGAAGGAGAAGGGAGAGAGGGAGATATAGAAAAAAGAGGGTAGAGATGTACGGAGAAATATAAAGAAAATAGGGAGATGACCAACAAGGCAAATTAACTTCAGTAATAATCAATCAAACATTTCACTAACCCAAATCACTAACGATTTTACACAGAGCCCAAGAGATAACTCATAATGACATAAATAAATTCAATTTCTATTTAAAAAAAAAAAAACGGCTCATAGCCATTCAGAAAGCCACGTTAGAAATATCCCAAAATAATCCTTGATGGTAATGAACTATAACCCCAGTTGAAAGACGTTATAATTAGAAAAATCAATTAAAAAATAAAAGATAATTACTCAAAGGATAATGAAACCCTAACAAACGTTAATTATTCACCATAATGAAAGAACAACTAAATGTAAAATAAGGCCAATTAAATTTACAAATATATATAAATCGCAATATTTAAAAAGCATTCTGTATTACAACCATTTTGGACCTCACATTCCACTAAATATAAAATCTACCTAAACAAATCACCAGTCCACTTAGGTTCCATTGGATAGATTTGCAGAGGATTTCATAAATGAATCATTATTTTCCATTGTTCAAAAGTTACTTAGAAGGTAATTCAGGAGAAAGATTGGTGAAGATTATAAATTTAAAAAACACAACGTAGCAGTTACATGACTAATCACACAACTAACAAAAACCATAAAGAGAAAATTCGTGAGCTGTAGAGACCAAGCCCCTATCCCACCATGTCCACTTCCTCACCCTAATCAAATGGATCATTATGATCCTCAGGAGGTACATGCCCAACACCAAAGACCTATATGAGGACAACCAATGTGATGCGACACCACTGCATTATGGATATCCCAGGTAGTAATAAACCACCCTATATGGGAAAGATGAAGGATAGAGAAAGAAAATAGCATTAGTGATCGGTGAAACTCCAAGCTTCAATGCAAACATCCAATCCAATAGGCATGCCTCACTAGCTTATGGGTGTATCACTCGCCTAGAGACAAGACGGCTCCAATTGTCCATGCTCATCATGGAGCTCCAAGGAGTTGGGGATGGCACAAGTGCATGACCATCATATTGAGTAGGATGTATAAAGGCTAGAGAACAGAGAGTCGTGACCCCCCCAAAAAAGCCTCTAGCCACTTTACTGCTAAACTCAATGAAAGTGACTCCATACAGCATCTATCTAGAGTAGTGAGTAACTGAACCCAATAGGACATTCGTCCATTTAGATCACGTATTCCTATTGTGCTTGGTACTAAACGCTTTGCCCCTTCCCCCTCAAGGGGTGATCACATTTTCTCACATTATAATGCTAGAACACTAGGGGGAATAGTTTACTCTCATTTCCTCAGCTTCAAAATTATAGCATCTGTATTTAGAGAGAAGGCCACAAAATAATAACACTAAACTACTATGACTTTCTAATGTCAAAACGTATGAATATTGCAACTAGTGAACTGCCACCAGTTTCATCTTCTGCTAAAAGTCAAATTTGATCAGTGATAAAAATAAATCTACATAGTATAAAGAAAAAAAAAAAATGGAGCAAAAAAGTGTAACCCATACCATGCATCTAAGCATTAGACGAACGCGGAGGCCACTCCGCCAATTCCTCTCATCATTCAGCTGAGCGACCTGCCAATCATCATCAATCTTATCACTATTTGGTTATATTTGACATCTAAGTAAAATATGCTGAAACGATAAACAATCAATAAGCATGAGTACTTACTGCTCTCTCAGCTAGCTCAACAGATTCATATTCAACAAATGCATGCAACTGGCACAGAATAGCTACATTAGATTCATTCAATTATCCTCTCTTCAGAAATAATCTAAAAGGGAAAGGGGGATAGAATCTCATTATTTGAATGTCTGATAAGTATAGGGGCGATTCAGACATATAAATTTCTAGTAATTCCAAGTGTCAGATAGGCATGTATTGCATAGAAATACTGATAGACAGAACAATATATCCTGGAAGAGGAGGGAAAACTAATATCAAAACTAGGAAAAAGGAGACATATTTAAATGGACAAGGCCAAAACAGCTAAACAGCCCTAACTTCTGATAGATGCGAATCATAGGACCAAGACAGAAAACATCAAGTAACATCTCCATGGGTGAATTCTGAATGATAAGCAAGTTTATCCATATCTTAGTGTGCAGCCCCTTGCATTACCGCTCATTGGCACAAACAAAAAGGTGTGATCTATGAAATAGCATGAGATCATTATGTAGAACTCTGACCAAATAATCAAGAAAACCATTGATAATCACAGATTCTATTAAGTTATTCACATCCACAGAGTTCTATTTAAATCGTTCAGACTACACGCAGATCTTAAGCCCGTGTTTTAAAGCCTACACATCAAAAAGCAATAAAAACAAACAAACAATTAGTAACTATGTATGCCTCGCATGTGAACTAGTAATACGTGCTTTCATATTATGGGTACCTTGTTAGATAGAGGCATGCTATCAACTTTTGCCAGCCTAGATGCAGAAGCTCCACCATTCGAAGATTGAGGTGGGCAAGTCCGAATAGTATTAACACTGCCAATTAACACATGATAACGAGAATTCAAGATTTTGAATCCTTTCAAATGTCCAATTAAAAATGGGGGTCCACTTCAAAGTAAACTCAAATAGAAGCTACAACAGTACCTCCCCACAGCAGAGAAAACCTTGACAAGATTCTGGTGGCAATGATCCTCAGGTAAGTTCTCAGCAACAACAATGCGGGACTACCAAAAAAAAAACGAAGGAAGTTACTAGATAAAGAACAAAGGAGAAAAAGTAGAACCAAAAGCTACCACTGTTGACAACAATAATACGTCACAGACGAAACATTAGGAAGAAAAACACATGATAAACAGGTTAAAGGAAATCAGAGTAGAGCAGAAAAACACCTGTAACTCTTCTATATCAGACTCAGTCAAGGGATGGAGGCGTCTGACTTTCTTTCCATCTTCACTAACTACCTAGATAATTCAGATACAATCTGCATTATAAACAATATTGTGGGAATATTCCTTCATCTGTATGTGTTGGCAGTCATATCATTCTCCGGAAATAATGAATGAAAAGATAATTTTCCCATTCGTCTGTGTGTGTTGGCATTCGTATCGTTCTCTAGAAATAATGAATGAAAATACTACTTTACCCCCACTATCCCACTAACAATCATAGACTTATGAAATTCATAAAGAAAGTGAAGAAACTTACAAGTTTTGATGAGTTCCTCAAAATAGTTGCAAGCTGGGAGTGACTACTTATAAGAGCCTTAATTTTCTTAAAGGATGCAACAACGGATATCGGCACTACATAATTTTGGCAAAGCATCAGAGAGAATACAAAATAGCAAAGCTCAGAAAACAAAATCCAAGTCAAAACAAGAATCAAGATATCATATTGTAGAACCCGATGAACTTCAGAGTTCAGATCAAAATTTCATCATACCATTCCCTCCCCTGAAGAGTGGAAAGAAGGAAGGTTGTGCAGGAGGTAGCATGAAATACAAAGCCCCTAGGTTATTCAATTACATGAGGAGAAAAACGATAAAATTAAAATATATATATATATATATATATATGTACACATCTTACCATAACCTTCAGGATCTTTGTTGATGAACCTCATCAAATGATCAGTTGTAGCTAAGTTCAAATCACTGAAATAATACTCTACCTACAAATGACAATAGTATATCAACATCTAAACAAAAATGGAGTGGAGCTATGATTGCTTAAATTCAAAAAAAGCATGTGATAGATAAATATATTTTCACAAAAATATAAATTATGCATACTTATTAATCATTTCAATTTCCTTTCCCGAAATAATAAATATGCAGAAGCACAAATGTCCTAAAATTCCTCCTCGAATCCATCTCATGATTATGTATAGACATCCAGAAAAGTGAAGTTCCCACAGAGAGTATTTTAATGGCAACTAAAGAATGTTGTTTCCCTCTTCCATATTTCCAATTCATACAGCAAAACTGCGTCGCCCTCGGGGGAGGAGGGGAGGCACCCCCGAAAGGCCAAGAGCATAAAACTTCCACTGAGCACCACCGAGACCGTTGAATAATATTTCAGGTATTAGCATCTTTATGGTTATGAACTTAGCTTTTGCCTCTGCGTGGCGCATAAGATAGTTCTACTCTAAGCAATGGAGCATCTGCGACAAAAAATCTAACGCCTATAACACATATGTGTACAAAGCATAGGATCAGGAGCAATCCCAGTGTAGACTGATTCAAGGATACGTGTCCAGTAGATGCGAAAAGTTGAAAGATGAACACAGAAGTCACCTGATTCAAAATCTTCTGACTAGCTTCCTCAGATAGTTTATTCTTGAAAGAAGTATGATCTGGCTCAACTTGGGACTTCTGACCTGACTGCAAGCCAGAGTCTTGCTCCCCCAATCCCCCTCCACCAGTGCTAACATAGTACTGATGCTGGTGAGGATGATAATGAACCGGATGCTGATGGGAAAGGTGGTGGTGACTCTGAACAGGAACGACGTGACTGCCCACTGGCAAATGAGGTCGAATCGGCATATGGAAGGGCGAAGTTGGAGGCGGCGGATAAACATGTACCATACCTGGCGGCGGGGGGGGAGGAGGTGGTGGAACAACTAGCCTAGGTTGTTGTCGATCGGTCCGTGAAGTGGGTCGAGTAGGCACAAATTCAGGCGCCTGCGCGTTGAGTCGGCTAAACGAACCGCTTCTAGAAAAAGTTGGATCTGGCTGGGACGGAACACTGCAAGATGACGATGCATCTGGGGTTTCCGAGACTGACTCCTGAGCCATTACAAGGAGATGTTGGAACTATATGAGACGATCAAAGAGACTTCTGAGCGGGTTAGGGATCGGATTTCTGACTTATTGTGAGGAGTGCCGGGGAAAATATCAGTGCAGCCAAGTGGGGTTCAACACCAGGTCCGATGGAGAAGAATTCTCAAAATTTCGGTGGGATCCTTTCTCCTAAATATATGTGACAAGTTTTTTTATTTCAAGTCAGTAAGCGACTTTTATTTTGGTTGGATAAAAACAAAAGTAAACGACCAACTTTCTGCTGCGACTAAGGACCAATATCCATGAGATAAAATAAACATAAGGGAGAAATAATGAAATTACTCTTGAAACATTCTTCCTCATCTTCAAACAATGGTGGCAATGCCACATTTGTTTTAGCTTTAAAAGGGTGTTTGGCTTCTTTAAAAAGTATTAGTTTTATGCGAATCGAGATAAAACTCTAAAGTATTTAAAACTGGACTGGTGAATAAACCGGTTGAGACGGTGAGTTAAGCGACTGAGGTTAGCTTCGAGTCAAATCGATACAAATTAAAATAATTAAATTAAATTAAAATGTATAAAAATATTTATTAATAAAATTATAAATTCAAATTATTTTATTATTAATATATAAACACATTTTCCTTATCATTTCTCTCTCATTCATGTGCCATCTTTTGTCCTTTTGTCAGATTTTCTTTCTTCCTAATGCCATTTCATCATATCACTTGCATTCTATTGTCAAATTACCATTTTTCAAAGCCTTGAGTTAAACACAAGCCTCCCCTCCTACAAAAGAAAATCGGCATCCAGAATTGAGGTTCATCATCTATTATTGCGCCACCTCTTTCATTCGTCGATCATCATCGCTAACTCTTCAATCTTCACTTCCATCATAAAAAATCCACCATTGTGATGCCACAACTTATGTCATCCTCCCTGAATGTAAATGCATCATCAGTATTAGCTCTTGTAACTTACTCTTTCATTCATCTTCCTTTTCTCACTTTTCTTCTCTCTTTGTCTACCCTACCCCCTATTTTTTTCCAGTACCTCAAAAATTTAACCTGAGTAACTCACCTAACTTGGAGGGTTACACGAGTTATCACCAAGCCATATCATTTTTGCTGGTCCATGCCAGTTCATGTTTTCATTGGTTTAGGGATAGAATTAGATCAAACAAGCAGCCGGTTTGCCGATTTCCAATCAGAACCGGCCAATCCAGTCCAGTTTTAAATACTATGCAAAGCTCTTCTCACATATTTACTTTTTTTACTGTAAAATTATTTTTAAAATCATGGTTTAGTTTTTACTTAAACACCCACTAAAAGTTATAAAACTCCTTATATCTCATTTGCTAGCGAGAAGTTGGAGGTTGGAACCAAAACTCATGTTTTTATCTATTTGATATTATAGAAGTCAATTCCTAATATTTATTGCCTCCCTCGTGGAACCGGGTTCTAGTTTTAATTCTATAGGTCTATTCTCTTCCTTATCCTTGTGATCTCCCTCCTTCCCTCCTCCGACAATGATGGTCTCTACAACAGCCCTCCACTAGTGACAATAGTGATGGTCCTTTGCCAACAACGATGATGGCAAAACCCTAGTGGATGTGGATGCGACAACAATGGTGAAACCCCTTCCTAAAATGATGTTCTTACTCGGGGATCTTCTTCAATTTTGATTTTGCCCATCAAGAAATCAAGGACGACACCCTCCCTCTCTTGTCTTTGTTTAAGATTCCAAGCATGACACCCTCCCTTTCTCATCTTCCTCCTTTTCCCTTGTGATGCAGACCTCCTTGTCATCTTCTTTTGCTGGAATCGAACCTAGATGTGTCCCTTCCTTCTGTCGAGAGTTTGAAGTTGATCTAACTCATTTCCTTGCAATCAAGTCCTATACTCCTATATAGTCTGAAAGCCACTATCATGTGTTTTCGGTTCCATTTTTACGACTCCCTCCATTATTATTAATGGGTGACAGTGGCGGACAATGACTTTCTAAGGGGATTATTGGTGATTCATAGATGGCTGTTAGTATTTTGGATGGAGGCTAGAACTTTTGGTAAAAGGCATATTAATCATTTTATAATAAAAAGTAAAATATGGATTAAAAATTATATTATACTTTCATGCTATACCAATATATTTTTAAACTCTTTCTCACTCCTACTTTTGCACAAAATTCTTCTGAAGTGTCAAAAAAAGGCATCAGCCCGTCTTTAAGCAACCAATGCATTTCTAGCATTCTTCCTCTCAATTTGAAATTTTCATAATTGACTCCCCATTTTTATGAACAGGTGTAGTATTAAAATGGTTTTTTAAAACTTTTCTTTTAAAATTTAGGTGGTAATTCTTGAAGATCAACTTTTGATTGCACAACTGATCTCTTTTCTTTGTTTTTGCAATATAACCATCGATCTCTTTGCGAATGCCATGGATTTCTTCTTCTTTCTTCCCATCTAGTTGATCTTCTTTTTTTTTTTGTGGGTGCTGAATGAGGGCTAAAAGCCCCTATTACAAAATGTCAGTTAATTCCACTACAATCACTGTCCACCACTGATCTCAAATGCTCTGGGCAAAGTATAAAAAAGGGCAGACGTCGAAATTCCCATCTTAGCTAGAGCGTCAGCCACCTTCTTGCCATCTCTTTGAGTGTACTTTACTTCTACCTACCTCCTAGTTATAATGCAGCATAGTAACCATTCTAGTAAAAACTAGACTGCTGTTATCATTATGCTTCTGTTGGAGTAAAAGATCAACGAGACTCTTAGCATCTGACTCTAAAATAACTCTTTTAAGATCAAAGTCCCAAGCTAAGGATAAGCCTTTAAAAAGTGCCCATTCTTCTGCCTCTATTGCACTGTTAATACCAATGGTGTGAAAAAAAGGAGCAAACCAGTTGCCTGAGTTATCCCTCATAATGCCTCCACAGCCGGCTTCCGAAGAACTTTGATTCATTGCACCATCCACATTAATTTTCACCCAGCCACACAGAGGTGGACGCCATTTGCTGCTTCGAAGTATTTGGCCATCAGACCAATTTATCCTTTGATTAGATTCATGCACAAAATATTTCCAACAATTCAAGATAGAAGTAACAGGATCTGCCGAATCTACCTTCTGCTTCGGTTTCAAATATTGATTTCTTGCACCAAAGCCAAAGTTTCCAAACTGAAACCCCCCATATAAGGTCCCATTGTATCATATCATTCATTCCCCCGCTTTGTTTCAGATTATCTGAGACCTAGTCTTTTAGAGAAGCATTGAAGAAGTCACAATAGAACTTGGGATGAAGAATTTGCAACCTGAGATTCCTTGCACAAGAACAATCCCTTAGCACATGTAGATTATCTTCAATCTCCACTTGACAGTAATCACAATTCGATGGAGCTTGAGAGTTGAGACCATCTGCTCCTCCAGTTGATCAATTTTTTATGAAGGCGGGCTTTAGTGATTGTCTGTGGTGATCCATAGCAATGGGCCTTAGAGGCATTATTGTGATTGATTGTTGTGATCCGAAACCGAAACGATGAGCTTTAGAGATATTGAAATATATAAAATTGTCTCCAATAAAAGAATATTCATACTTATAAAAATAATAATACAACTTTTTCAATGTACTTTTTTTTTGTTATACATGGATATCTTTTTCTCAGAAATACTGTTGAACACTAAATGTCAGTACTTATTTTAATAGGAATTTGAACTTTAGTTTGCCGTATTTAGAGGAATTAATCCCTTTCATTAAATCCAATCCCATTAGATACAAATAATATACATAATAAGAGGTTAATTTTCTTGATTATATCCTACAGATTATGTTTACAAAGTTGTTTGTCTGTTATATTGTACTTAATCAAATCATACTATCCATTTATTATTATATCAGACATTCATTTAAATGAGATATTGTCAAGCACTTTTGGAAATACCCAAAAAGCAAGGGCTCAATATAGCATCTCAACTATACTCTCTGGCGAGCTGTCCAAGGTTGAACGTGGGGTAAGAAGAATGTTGTGGACGATGCTAAAAATAATGGACTGTGAGGCACGGAGGAGAGTGAAGGGAATATTGGAAAAAGAGGAAGGAGTTATGAGATGATCATATAGGATTAAAGAATGATGGTCAAGAAGCTAAGAAGAACGTGGAGGAGGCCAGGCAGGAGATAAAGATCATCAAACTCGAAAAAGGTCGCATGCAGATTCTTGAGTGTTCTGATCTCCAAAGAAGAGAACCAATGACTTTACAAGCCATTCCAGAAGAGCTTAATCATAAATCATAAATTTGTTTGAAGGGGTTTTTAGTATGGGAAATTGGAGTCTTGGAGATAAGTCATGGCTTCAAAGTTTGTGTGATAAGCCTGTCGTTATTTTTAAGTTACTTGTAAGTTCATAGGGGCATTTTTATTGTCTAATATTTTCAATATCAACAACCCTGGATCATTGTACAGTAGTTCTTCAAGTACTAATATTTAGCTAGTCGTAAAACGTCATTTAATGTTCTCGAGGAGTAGATTTCAGTTTAAAACAAAGGAAGTGGCCATAGATATTAAATTATAAATTAATATACTATATAGAATTTTTCTTTAATATATATAAAATAAGATGATACTCCCTTTAGTTATTTTTATAGCTTTATTACTACTTTCACGAAAAGAAATTAGGCGAAAGTGGTTAATTAGAAAAATTACAGTTTTTTAAAATAACATTTTTGTTTGGCATAATTTACTGTGGGGAAACGGGGTGACATAGGGAAAAAAGAGAGAGAGTAATGTCTCCACTTAATTTTCTCTTCACTTCTTCTCCATTTACTATGGATTAACATCTAATGGTTGAAATTTATACAATCAGACTGCAGAGGATAAAAAAATAAAGAGTTATAAAATATTTTAATAAAAATCCATGTTTAATTAATATTATAATAATATGGCTATAATATATTAAACCTTAATCATTGGATGTTGATCTAATGATAGAGATAGTAAATGCAGAAGAAGTAGAAAGGAAATTAAGTGGAGCCTCCCATCCATGTACCCCACAGCAATGAAATGGAGTCAAATTAGCTTACTTGACTATACAAGACCCTATCCTTTCAAGTTGCACCCAAAATTCTTAACAGATTAAATTTAACGCAGTTATATATTCAAATGCTTACAGAAATAACATAATCAATAATACTTAGGAGTGTCCAGATGCAAATTCTATATAATCTAGGATTCAACCATAAATATTACCGTCTTTCCTTCCCGGACCATTTAAGTCGTCACGATAATTATGCATCAATCAGTGTAATAGAACACTACACAAATGATTTTCAATTATTGGGTTCAGGCACAGACTATGTCTTGTATATCCCCGAATAAAAAGCCAAGATACTACTTTGCAGCACGCAAGCTACCCCAGGGGTTCTTCTGTAGGCTATATCATAGCCCGTATCTCGTCTCCTCACAACCCCATACTGCTCAATACTGTAGGAACTACCGAAGATCATTAAAGCTGGAAGAAAATAACAGAACCAATGAGATACACACACACTCACTACTTTCCTTGTCCTAAAGTGCGTACATCCTCTTGTATTCACCGTTTAAAAGTTCTTGATCTGATGCATGAGACATGGATAAGGAACGAGAGCGGCTCTCAGCCCTCAATTTCGTCTCCTCCATTCTATGCAAAATGACACAGAAGCACATGGAGCCAATTGTGGATACCATTATTAGGCTTCCTATCACCGTAGCATATATAGCAAGCCATCTGGAGTGTGATCCTACCACCACATATGTGAGAGAAATGAAAGCAATTGAAATGAAAAGACAGGCCAGCCACATGAGCTTGTTAATTACAAAAACGAGCTGCTTCTTTGCCTTCTGTTCGATCACAACAACAGATGTTTGAACAACCACAACGGCCAGAGATATGAATAATGCCAAGCTATCAAACACAAAAAATATCAGAAAAGCTGCATCATTTGCTATATTTGCCTGTCCAAGTGAAAAGGCCCCTACTTTCTTCTCGACATATTGGCCAGGGACAGTGAAGATGGCTGCAAATGCAACTGTAGCAATCAGAACAGCAACAACAGTCGCAGAATTTATAGCATTGTTCAGGCCACTGATATGAAGCTTTTTCAACTTCTTCGCAATTTTGTGGACCCTCATACCAGTTCGACGAGTTTGCTGGAGTTGGGATTGTACATCATGCCTTATGTCACTAACTGTCTGCTTAAGTTGGTTGGATACATTTCGAGGTTTCTTTTGGTCAGCTGAATTATTGGCTCCAGCATCCCTTAAAGTGGAGACAAGTTCTGGAGTTCCAAATTTTTCTGCAATGTCAAGAGGGGTCTCCCCGGCCTTGTTAACCGAGTTCACATTGATACCTTCCAAAGATAATAAACGGCAAACATTCTGCAGTGACCAGCACCACTTCAGAATAGATATTAAAAGCCAGATTCTTTCCAACCACTCTTTTATTGTAAAAATCCACCGATAAATCTTAACTAAAGATAATGCTAAAGGATAACTAAGACTTCTGAACAACAATAAATTGTAAGACTGTAGATAATGATAAAATAGACTGGGATAAACTCCTAATCCATTAGGAATTTCACCTAGATAGGTTTCTCAATAACATGCCCATTCACCCTACTACTATTATTATTCACAACCTTTTTCTTTCTTTGGCTTCATTATTATTCATAACCTTAAATAATGCGTGCATGCGCTTCAGCATTTTATTCTTGCATACCAATTTCTAACCCTCAGGAACAGCATGCATCAGAGATCATGCACAAACATTCATTTATCTAACATAAAGACACAGCTAGACATAATTACGACAAGCAAGGCTGCTAACCTATAGGAGGAATATGAAAGAGAAATGGGGAGGCACCTGCAAACGGCCTTTCTTTGTGGCAATATGCAATGCTGTATTTCCCTTATTATCCTCCAGACCCAAAATAGATGGGTCAGGTTTTACCAATTCTAGCAGAATTTCCTCATTTTGGCCTTTAACAGCCATGTGTAATGCAGTTTGACCTTTCTTATCAGTCCTAAATGCAGTACTCGGATCCTTCTCCAGTAAGGCTTTCACAATTGCTAAATGCCCCATTCTAGATGCGGAGTGAAGAACAGTCTTTCCATTGTTTCTGGCTATTTTTGCAAGGTTTGAATCTGATTCCAAAAGGAGGTTAACCACTTCAATATGACCCTGGATTGCAGCTGTGTGTAAAGCAGTTGAATTGGACAAGTCTGTGGTCATGGCCAAGTTAGGGAAGCAGTGCAGCAGTTCTCTCAGTACCTCTGCAAGAGTATTTTTTTCCACAAGAGCTATATTCAGGGAAATGTAGTAACAGACAAGCCAGTGCAACAATTTGTGAAAAATATCTCCAGTAATGTTTAGATTTAGGAAACAACAAAATGATCTGAAAGACCAAAGCACTAAAATTATTCACAACAAAATTTTGGTTTAAAAAATAACAAATAGCTCGTACTTTTTCAGTTACAAAGAGAAAACAAATGACAGGGATTTAGAGTGGGGAAAATTGCAGAGGTCCACATCAAAATTGACTGAATGACTAATAAGAAGCCACAGTCGTGCAACTTTGTCTTGTTATTTTTCTCCTTTTTCTTCATTTCAAACAAGTATAGATAGAGACAGGATGTGAAGGGGAAGGGGGAGAGACGAAAAAAAAAAATAATAGTCCCAGGAGCGTTTTCCAAACAAGGAAATATGGTTATCATACAAATCTCCCAAATAAACCAAAAGCTAGCACATCTACATTGCTGCTTAACTAACCAAAACTAGGATTAGGGAGCAACATGTGGCCATTGGGAATTCCGGTTTTGGTTTTCATGTCCAACTAAGAAACAATAGTTCTTCACACACATAAATAAGAGGGAAAGAAAGAGAGCGTGTCAGAAATATTTAGGACACATTAGATTGAGGAACAGTGAAACAGAGCCTCGAAAACAATTAACGCACAAAGCAGTGTCTTAAAATTTTGAGAAACTATGACTTAATATTTCATAAGAAGATAAATAACAAGTGGAGCTATTGGTCATTAGATACAGTAAACAAATTTAGTTAGGCATTTTTTTTTGGGAGCAAATGAATGGATAATAAGTGACCATAGAAAATGATGAGGCGTGACCTTTTTCCCACTCACTAAGGTGCAAGTAGTAAGCGCAAAGAAACTAGTATAACGCAGGATTAGTAAAAATATTTCCAGAATACGATCAAATACTCTCATTGACCTAGCATGACCACTAACAAGAAATCATTTATTGTGCATGAAAAAACTTAATGGACGATAAGCCGAAATGTGATGCCAAAAGTCATCATCTTACCGAGATGACCCTGCTTTGCTGCGACATGAAATGGATCATACCCATTTCTAGCTGCAATAGACGCAATTTGCAGGTCCAAGTGCTTCAACATCTCGCTCACAACTAAATCATACCCCCTCTCTGAAGCGGCATAAAGAGGTGTCTCCCCATCCAGATTCTGCTTTGACAGCAAATCCTTTGACTCGTTATCGTCACAATTTTGAATTATCTCCCTGATTCTATTTATGTTGCCTGCACGAGCAGCTAAATGAAGTGGGGAGTCACCGCGTTTTCCGGGTGATTCCTTGCTCCTTTTCCTCTCGCCCCCTATAAAGCTGAGCTGCTTCTCCATCACTATGCGAAAACTTTTCTGTTTTTCCATAAATCCGCGAAAGCTCCTCTGTTTTTCCATTGCCCCGCGAAAACTTCGCTGCTTTTCCACTGTACAGGCTCGAAAGCTGCTCTGCTTCTCCATGATCACTCCAAAAGATGGCCAATGACACTAATGGAAGTGTTCATCTATCTATGAGATCACACCATCGATCAACACCTCAGATTAAACTTGCGTAAACATCGAAAAAAATTTTATTAAATAAATCCACCATAATTTAATGGACTAAATTATCATAGGGTTGAGGAAACAAATAAAGAAATCAACCAGAAACTAAACTATCTTCGTCCGCCATGGTTATCAGAGAAAACCCAGAGGGCAAAAACTGAAAAGTCGAGCCAATAATATCGGTCTCAGTAATTAATTCTTAATACCTTGATTCTTAGAGCTCTATAAAGTTGAATATATAACCGCATCCAAACCAAACAGGCCCCGATGGGCGCCCAAAAAAACCCAGCCGATCTCGACAATTAAAAGTAACAGGACTTTAAATGGCTCATTGGCTCGTAAGCGCAAGAATAAGGATCATTTGAGACCCATAAACTGATCGGGGTCGGGGAGCGTAAAGAGAACTAAGCTAATCCATAGGAAAATATATCCTGCAACCATGGAGGCTTGAGACGGAAAACGAGCTTATCTGATTCTGTGACTGTGATTCCGTCGGAAATCACTCGCTCCCAGTCACAGCTGTTATTGATGGCTATCTTTTAATTATACTGTTATTTTTAATTAAACATGATTAATGAGGGGGAAAAAAGAAATGGAAGGCAACAAATACAAAACGAACTGGTGAGAACGGGACTCGCCTAAAGCGGGGGGCAAAAAAAAAAAAAGACACTAAAAGAAATTAAAAATTATAATATTTTAATTCAGATATTTAAAAAATCAAAATCTTAGGAAAAGAAATGATGCCTGATTTGTTATTTTTTAAATCTAGTTAAATGATAAAAATACTTTTGTATCAAAAAGTTTATTAATAAGTTATAAACTAATAATGACAAGTATTAAACAACAAATGACAAGAAATATGCTAGCAATGATAAGTTATTTATTAATAAATTATGAATTGACAATAACAAGTGCTGAATAATCAATGACGAGAAATATATTGGTAATGACAAATTTGATAACTTTTTTAGAAGAAAAATTTAATACAAAGATATTTTAGTCATTTGATTATATTTGCAAAATATGCACCATTTTCTTCCGCAGGATTTTAGCTATCTAAATTAAAATATTGTATTATGACATTTTTCCTACTAAAACATACTTATATAAGTGCTTAATCTTCAAAAAGTAAAAGATAGCAGTAGTTATTTCAATTTAATGATGAACAGTCTATGGTTATTTTAATTTAATGATGAGCAGCTCTAGATTTGCAAATGACCAAACTTGATACCGAACCGAACCGAACCCGAAGTGTGGTTTTGCAACATCGTTCCATTTTTTTGCCAGCAACATCATTCCATTTTTATGGATTCAAAGTTGGAAAAATTACCAAAAAGACCCCAAAAAAATTTATGCCAAAAAGTCTCAATGAACAGTCCTAGAATTTGTTATTGTTTACTCTTCACTTGTTAATAAACTCTAAAGTAATTAAATTCTTTCATTAGGACCTAATTGTCATCCTCCCTTTAAAGTTTTATTTTTTTTTTTGGCGAAAGTTTTGAAAAACAATTTACTTATGTATACATTATCAAAATTTTCAATTACATAGGATCAAGTGTTTTAATTTTTTTATACAGATTTATAATTAAATCTTACTAGATATCAACAATAAAACACATGATCACATATAATTAAAAAATTAACATGATAAATATATGAAATTTGATGTAAATATTTTCTTTAAATTTTTCACTTCTCTTTGAAGCAGGGCCTAGCTTAAGACTTGTTTGACATAGTTTTAAAAGTCACTTATAAGTACTTTTGACGTAAATCTAAACAAAATTTTTTTCACATACTTATCTCATATTCCGTAAATTACGATTGAAAAACTACTTGTAAACCATTCCAAATAGGCCCTTATTGTTTTTTATGTCGGCAAAAAAACAACTTCTTTTACTTACGAAGACTATATTATATAGATATTAATTGAAAATCTCCATTTTACATAGAAAAAAATTTAAATCAAATTGTTTATATCCATTATGTCAAATTTTGTAATTATATATGGTCATGCGTCCTTTTTTGCTTTATGTGAATTTATAAATAAATTATATTAAATACTAATATTTTGAAAGATAGGAACGTTGATCATGTGTAATTGGAGAATTTGATATAACGAATACAAATAACTTGATGTAAGTGTGGTCCTTCTACACAAACGGACAGTTTCATATTTGATTTAAACTGTGCTAATTTTTATTCATGTTTTATTTTATTCTCATTATTGACGATAATTTTTTTAATAATTTAACGTTGGGAGTTAAAATAATTTTGAAATATAAAAAAATTATATTATAAAATCTGGACCAATCAAAACATTGTCCCTTGCACCTCCATGCTATGTTGGCACAACGATATCTAAGGGGAGGGAATCAATTTAATAGGCATAAGAATAAAGTTCAGGAAAAAATTTGGACAAAGTTTCTTATATTGATTATATTAAGTTTTCTAATCATACCATAGTATTGAAACTTAGACTGGATTGGCCAATTCAGCCCAAAAAAATCAGTAAACCAACCTAATAACAGGTTTGGTTGAGCATAAAAATTGAGATTGAATAAAAATTGACCCAGCATGACACGGATCAACTTGGTATTAGCCCGAGTAACCCCAACCAGTTTGGTGGGTTAACCCAATTGCTTTTTTTTTTTTTTTAAATTTTGATATTTTTTAAAAGCTACTAATAATTAGGTTGTATGATTGAATGACTATAGGGAGGAATATTTTGTTATCGCATATATATCTTGATATTTTGTTGGTATGAGTATTTAGTGATTTTAATAGCATGATACTATGATTCTAATGTGTCAAAAGAATTGCAAACAAGTTGAAAATAAATTGCAAGTATATGATTATTTTATTAGTGATTGAAAGTGCTAAATTGATATTTAGTTATTAATAAAATTTAAATTTTTATTGTTTTTATTTGTCATTAGTTTGACTCTGTTGTTGATTCCGACTTGATTCATTGACTTTTGACTTACTGCCTTAACTACTTTTGACCTACTGCCTTAATTGATTTAATAATTGGTCCGATTTTTAGTAACTTAAATTATGCATAATCATATGCATTTTTTTGTTTTATATAAATTTATAATTAAATACTATTAAATACCAATATTTCAAAAAACAAGACACATGGTCATAAAAAATTTGACGTAAGCACCATGTTAAAATTAATGAGAAAGTTAAGAAATGATTGAAGATGGGGAGCAATGAAAAAGGACGCAGCAATTTGTTGGGGCCATGATCAAAACAGCATAAAATCAATATGATAGGCGAGGGGAGTCTTCATTTATTATTGCCAACATTGAAGCCAAGAGCCGCCACTTATGTTTACCAAAGACGCACTTGCGCTGCTAATTGACTTTTAGATTTACATCCGAATAACAACGGAGACAGCCTAGGCATAAGCAGTCGAGTAAAAATATCGGGCTTTCTAATGCGCGCAGGATGGGATCTGATGTGGAATGGGAAACCGGAGTCTGACAGAATGACCGAAATGTGGGCCAAAGCGGGCCTTGGGCTGTACGCCTTCCCACATGAAACAAGGAAATTTAAAATTTGAATAAAAAAAAATAAAGACAAAAAAATAATAAAATTTTAACTTTTTAAATTCAGTTTGTTAAAATTTTTTCTGCTTTTTCCTTCTCTTTCACTTCATTTTCCTCGTATCAAACGCATCCTAAGAGTGAGCTAGAGTCTAGAGAGGTGAGAGCGGGAGGGAGGGGAAGAGCGAAGCAAGAAGAATTTGGAAGTGGGCAAGAGATGAGGGGGAAGCAAGGCAAGAGTGGCAGCAACAGAGGCAGCGCGGCTGGGAGAGTGAGTGCCCTGACCATTTGTCATGCAAGTCTTGGTGAAACCGGGGCAGAAGCAGTTCACGCTTATGCTTCCTTGGAGTCGCTTTGCCAGAATCCTAGAGTAAGCATTCAGAGCTAGCTTCGACACTGCGTATTCTGTCCAGTATTCCGGCCATCCTCTGCTCTTCCACCTTCCACTCTTCACGTCTCTCGCGAACATTCTCACCATTTCCTCTATCTCCTCCTCCTCCAGCTTCTCCCCCTCTAGAACTTTTCTTATCTCCTTGTTTCTCACCTTCTGCGTTAATATAATTAGTTAGATAATTAACAAAACCTAAATAAAACTATGTTCAAATAACTCAGTACTCAATTAATTAATCCACACTCACATCTAGAGATCCGAGCCTGGAGCTCACATTGAGAATGCGATTGATATTCGAAGAATTAGGACGAAAGAGGGGGAGGAGAGCCTGAATGAGCAACCTTGGGCCGCAGAAGTTGGTGTTCATCACCGTTTCTGCATGCTCCACCGAGTTCGCATGCAGCTCGTTGAATGACACCCCAGCATTGTTGACCTGTTGTGCATGATTATGAATGATCAGTTTTCACTTCTCTTTCATTACATTCATCCGTAATGTACATATATATATATATATATATCAATTAACTCACAAGAATATCCAAGGTGGGTCCAAATCTGGCTTTGAAGGCGGATGCGAAGGCGGCGATAGAAAGGGGATCAGACACATCGAGTAACAGAAAATGAACGTCAACAAGGCCTTCGGCTCGGAGTGACATCAATGCAGCCTCTCCTTTCTCTCTGTTCCTGGCTGCTAAGATGACCGTCACTCCCAATTCTGCAAGGCGCTTCACCAAAGCATACCCTATACCCCGGTTCCCTCCCGTCACCACCGCCAACGTCTCCCTCGACCACCATCTGCTGCTTGAGCATAAGGATGCATCAAAATCTGGGAAGTAAGGCTCGGGTTCCATATTTATGATTATGTATACCAAACAGAATATGATCTGATCGCACAATCAAGGACGACTGGGTATTATATATATATGTAGAGAGAGAGAGAGAGAGAGAGAGAGAGCAGTGATGAGCCCCTTCTGAAAGAAGTTCATGTGTGTGTGTGTGTATCGGGAGAGATCACCAAATATTAAAATAACATATGCGGGTTCAAGCAACGTGTTCAAGTGTCTCCATTCAATTGTTTAGTGCTGTACAAACCCTATTTAATCAGCGCATGCAGCCCAACCCACTCCGGCCGATCGTTTTTATATTCACACCTAGCTAAGTCCATCCAGGCTCTTTGATTCCGTCATATTCAATCACATGCAGCCAATACAAAATTGTTAATTATTGCATCCTTTCCATACACGCATGCATATATCTATAAACGATAATTAATTAATACATATGAATTAAATAATGCAAAGCTTGGCAAAAAAGAAAATTAATACAGAGTGAGGAAAAAATGGAAAATGAACAGATAACAGAAAATTGAATACAAATCACGTACTCCAAGGATGTTAATCGCTTTCTCTCATTTGTCTGGTAAAAGAAAATAATTAACTAAAGATATTACTGATAGGGATTGTCGTAGTTATAGTATATAGGTGTGTCAAAAAGGACAAGCTTTACGTTGTTCAAGATAGTAGAAGTACAGGGTATAAATACTAACCCGTGTTCTTGGATTAACTCCCATCGTTTAATTGCATCCATCCATTCTCCATCATGGTACATGAGGGTCAATGGTCGGTATGCGCAAGCTAGCCTTAAAGTCATTGATACTCTGACCAACTTGAAATATCATAAGGTCATGAACATATGTCCATATATATGGAGTATTAATTAAAACAAACAACTATGGGAACCCCCCTCGGCATGCCAACTTTCTCGATGACCTTTTCTTAAAACCGTGTGTGCGTGATGTGCTGAAAAATATTAAGCTGATCATCTTGGTATCATGGGGCAGAACCGTTGTTTGATTGTATCTCTCTGATTTCCCTTTCCCGTTTATGACCAGTATAGACGTAGGCGGGGGAATTATAATAATCTCAGAAGAGAATTTATGAAAGATGAAATTGATAAAAACTTATTGTGCGCCGCTTGGTTGGAATCCACAATGTACAGTGCGTTTGTTCGAGAGGTGTTTTTCGTGCAAGTTTCGCAATTGGAATTGACTATTGAAAGACTAAAAAGGAGGGAGGTAAAAGGCCAAAAAAGGGGAGGCAACAGGGCATCATCCCTTAATTTTTTAGAGCCTCTATCCAGCTTAAGAATATAGAAACAATAGGTTTGGAGAGCCTAAGATTCCAGGGCGAAGCCACACATTGGAGGAAAATAAACAAATCAAAGGGCAGGTTTGCTTTATGGGCATGTGACTCAATTCTCGGAATTATCAAATGAATTCTTACCGCCGCCAGTCAACTTCATGTCTCCATGCGTACCCTCTCCTTTATTCTGTTTCAAATATAAAGTAATTTTATTTGTTGCCAACAAAGTAATATCATTAAAATCAAAATACCAGCTGTCCAAAAACAGCCAAAATATTAAGCACATTTCACTCTGATTAAAGGGGTATTTGGAAGGAAGCAAATCATAATTTTAAAAGTAATTTTATAATATACAAAATAAATATATAGAAAAGTTTGTCTCTATTTATGAAAGAGTGTCTTTAAAAAGCATTTATGAAAATATCCAAACACTTTCTGATCAGGCCTGAGAAAATTTAGGAGCAGCTTTGAGGGAGTAGTGGGAGCTCTCTCATCACTTAGTTAGGAAGACATTACCCTTTCAATATTTCTTACAGTAAGAACGTTCTTTGTCACAACCTCTTTTCAATCAGGAGCCACGTGTCTCCATTCACAGATTTCGGGTCCGTTTGGATCAGCGATTGGAAAAATAGCTTATTGAAAAAGTAGCTTATAGAGAAGTGAAATTGGATAAAAGCTAAATTGGATAAGTTGAATTGTGTTTGGATTAGAGTTCAGAAAAGCTAGATTGCAAAAATGAGATTGGTAAAAGGTTGTTTGGATTATGATTGAGTAAAAGTAAGTTTGGTTGTAAAATGACTAAAATAGATATGAGTTTTAATAAATAATGAAACATGATTAAAAAAATAATTTCACATAATACAATGAAATTAAAATAATTTAATATGAAGAAGTCATAAAAATATTTTAAATATAAAGTGAAACACGAAAAAATAAAAGTATATTTTTAGGAGCATATTTAAAAATAAAAATATATTTCTAACTTATTCATTACTTTCAACTAATTTTAATTGATTTTTTATTATCTACAAATTAGTTATTTGAGACTTATAATAAGAACAAAAAGAGGTAATAAATTTCTTAACTTTTTCTCTCTCCATATTTCAAAAGCCATAAGCCATAAGCTATAAGTCATAAGCTGTTAATTTTAGCTTATAGCTTATTGTAGCTTTTCAGACAAAAGCCCGATTGCAGAAAAGCTGATCCAAACAGACCCAATTTTGTTAATCGAGCTTATAGAGCTTATAAGCTACTTGTAAGCTCTAAATAAGTGATGCCAAACAGGCACTTCATTAAGTACTTACAATCAGATTCAAACAGAATGTCCGATAGGTCATTTTCCATGACATATATAACAAAAAGCTTGCTACATCCCCAAACATTGAGCCATCAGTATTGAATCCGATTTAATTCAACTGGAAAAACCATCCAGCAGCCAAACATTCTCATCCCTTCCAGTAAAAGCAATCGCTGCAAGCCCTTTATCAGGATGGAAGGCGCAATTAATCGGTATTAGTCTGGGTTAAACGGCATTATTATTATTATTATTATTCTTGTACGAACTTACTTTTTATGTGGAATTTACAATTGATTCTGTGTTTCTTTTCAAATGTTCTTCAAAGTTTACAACTCTTCTTTCGCTGTAAATTACTTGAAGTCTCCCCCCCCAAAAAAATTCTGTGATGATTTATAACTCATATTATACTATTTAGATGTCAAATTAATATTGAAATTCACAATGTTGTGGCAAAAGTACAAGAGAAAAAAGAGACGGAGAGAGGAAGAACGAAAAAAGAGCCAGACAATTTTTTTTTTGGGTAAAAGAGCCAGACAATTTTATTCTCAGAATAATTTTGCAAGTAACGCCTAAATCCCAATAAACATCCTTTCAAATTAGTCTTAACACTAAATTGCTATTTTTCAAAAAGCAGATGACAATATTTATGTTATCGTCGTAGTAGAAATAGAATTTGTTATTCATATTCAGAATTTGTGCCTTGTAATCTAGGTAGAACATCTTTTCTAACAGAGATTTAAACACTGGTTTATTATGTTATGAAAGATCAACTCTTATTACTGTACCTATTAATTTTTGAAAAAATCTAAAGAAAAAAAATGATTGAATTTTAAAATATTAAATTAGTTTTGTTTACTACACTTTAATAGTATTTGACTACACTTAAAAAACAAACGACAACATATTTTTATAGTAATTTTTGATTTGAGATTTTGAAATTCAGAAAGTATTTTTTTTTTGAGTTTGCCTTGTTTTTTCACTCTGTGTAAAACACTCCACTGGTCTCAATTATAAGTTACTTCTAACATATTTCATATAGATCAAAGAAAACTTTAAGTTTCATTAACTCTAATTTAAAATTTAAAAACTTTTTAACTTTATCCCTATTTAATATACGTTATACTTTATGTAAATAAAGTCGATACAATAATAAATAAATAGTAACAGTAAATTGGGTCCGAAGGCCATGCTCAGCCCAATTGAGGAAATAAATATTGTAAGCTGGTCCAAAAAAAACAGGGAATAAATATTGCAGATGAATTGGAGTATTGATTATCCGGACGCCGAGGCATGAGATTAGATTACTTAAATAAAAAATTAAGAGGGGAGAAAGCAAACGGGGCCTTGATAGTTGATACTACAGTGGCCGAACCGATAACCTTGCCAGATTATCAAAGGAACCCAAAAAATCTCCGTCTGTAATTCCCGTTATGTCCCTGGAATGGTCTTCCGCCGGGAGAGACTGGTTCTTTCCCTCACCGTCGTTCACCCGCTCCTCTTCCCACTCTTCCGTCTCTACACAATACCCCCGTCGATTCTTGTCAAAGCATAGACTCTCTCGCCCTTATCCTCTGAACCCGCCGTCACCTCCGACCTCCAACATACGTAATGGCTTCAATCGTTCAGGCATTCGTCGCAGAGTTGAATTTCCTGTCAGTAATGAGAAACCTGAGGCTTTGGACGGTCTTTCGAAGGCCCAACCCCCGTACAAGTTATCTGATGAGAAGCAGCTTATTGACTCTTCAATTCGTTGGCAGATAGCCATTTTGGTGGCGACTCTCTGTCCTTCTGTATTTTTGTCTCTCTCAGTTGATGATTTGCAAATGACGTGCCACTCTCTTTTTTTTTTTTTTTTTTAAAACGTGGATAAACAGATGCTGGCCATTATTTTCTCCTTGCTGCTGGTGTTCAGAAATATTCATCTACAGAGCCAAGTCAATCAGTTGCAGGTAACTTGCTGGTTGATCAGTTGGTAAGCTTTTGCAATGTATTATGGAGAATTGAGTATTTGTACAACTTATCCACTTTATTATGCATGAATACCAGATTTTTAGCACTCCACTCAGCATCAAACTCTTCTTTTCTGCTGCTTATGAATGCGTTGATCATTTGTCAATATTTCAATCTTCTGGTTACTGCTTCAGCTGTGGAAATTAACAAGTACTTAATTGCAATTTAGTGGTCATATCTAGATATCATTAAAATTTTAGGGGCAGTCCACAAGGAATCGGATGGTAGACGACCATAGTTTTGAGGATCCCATTTGATTTATGCTTATCTTAAATTTCCGGATAGCATTTTCGTTTGTTTGGAGTTTTTAAGGATTGGGCTAAACAAAAATTTTTCTTCGCAGAGTGAGATTCTCAACCTTAATCATAGATTAAATGCGGACAACAAGGTGGATACGCTAGAT